ACAAATGAAATATGCAATACACTCTAAGTGTCGCATAGCCGAACCGCAAAAACATTTGCGAAAATTTTATGAAAAAGAATGACAGAAAAACTTGATTCTTGTTGCTGAACTCTTTTTGCTTGTGTGAACGCACACAGCGACACCAAAAGAGAATTGGCCGTTAATGAATGACAAAAGAGTCCCCATGTAAACGCAGTAACAGGCGTCTTCTTACAGATCAATAAGCCCCTACCCTGTCTTTGAAAAAGTTTTACTATCTAATATGTCTCCTTTCCTCCATAAAGATAATACAATTCCTACGCACCAATTTGGGTTCCGTGCAAACCACGGCACAGTACAGCAAGTAGATAGAATTATTAAAGAAATTAGAAAACTATTCGAGTATAGAGAGTATCTTTCAGCAATATTCCTTGATGTAGTTCAGACATTTGATAAGTTGTGGCATGAAGGCCTTTTATATAAAATTAAAAAAATTGTCCTAGAACCATTTCTATATATCTTATATATAGCAAACATTCCAACTGGTAATAATGTAGTGACATCGACTTTCGCGGATGACACAGCCCTAGTATGCCGTAATAAATGCCGCATCAGCGCGTCAAATGTACTAGAGAAGCACTTAGCTTTGGTTGAAAAATGGCTAGCCAACTGGCGAATAAATGTCAATGAACAAAAGTGTAAGCATGTTACATTTTCACTAAGACCAAAAATGTGTCAACCGATTAAAATGAATAACATCTTAGTACCACAAGCAAATGAAATTACTTATCTTGGCATTCACTTTGACGAAAGGCTCACGTGGAGAAAACATATGTATATTTGGTAATAAAGCTAGCATGAAAATAAAAGCAGCAAATTTTAACTGGCTTTTAAATAAAAATTCTATACTCAGCCTAGACAATAAAGTTTTGTTACACAACGCGGTAATAAAGCCGATTTGTATGTATGGTATACAACTGTGGGGCACGACCTGTGCAACTAATATTGATAAAATACAGAGGTTACAGTCCGAAATCCTTAGAGCTATAACGAGTTCATGGTACATTCGTAATGAAAATATTCACAAAGATCTTGGTATTCCTATGGTAAAGAAATAAGCAGAGGATAGCAGAAATAACTATGAGTTTACACTCCGTAACCATTCAAATCCATTAGCTAATGCCTTGCTACAGTCCTGTAATCAAACCCTACTAAAAAGGAAAGATCTATTAGCCTTATATAGAGCAACGTATCACCAAAGTTTCCTTAGTTGACGCTAATCCTTAACTTCAAATGTCGTCAAGTCCTTCACAGCAGAGTTTGCTCTTCTCTACTGACACTAGATGATAACGCAAATAATACTTTTAATTCAATTTAAAAGAACTTGAAGGTATTCGACAGCACTTGGTATCGAATACATACAGTTAAGTACATTAAATATACTTGATGCCTAAAAGCATCGATCCCAATTCTCAGGTTTCCTGCCCTCATATGATCTTCGAAATATATCTGTATGCATAGGTTATAACAATATACAACATTTACTACTTTCCTTCGATACAAGTTTTGTTTTCAAAAGGTAATAAAATTCAAAAGTTAATTAGTTAAGATGCCAAACAAATCATTAAAACTGAATTAAACTATAATTTATATATATATGTAGTGCAAATATATGTATTTACACTATAAGAAGCAATCAGCCTATATACCATATATTATTTTAACTCAGTCTATTTGTAGAGCAGCCGTCATTTGTTCAGTAGTGTGTAGTCTTTAATAAATCGGCATAAATATGTATAGTATTAATGAAAGTATTTTGCTGACGTCTGTAACTTTTAATAAAATTCTATAATTTTCGTTTAAATAATTTTTTTTTGTATAAATTAACTTATTAGTATCAATCTTAGTAATACTACTTGTTGACATTGATTGTTGATATTGGTTGCTTAAGTTCATGGAGTTAGCAAGATATAAATATTTATGTATCAAAACAATCAGATTTCTAGTTTTTTGTAACTAATTATCAACTATATATTATAGTTTGGCGTCAATTAACCCAATTTGATTAATTCAAACCTGGTTTGTTGTCTAAACAAGTTTGCTACGTCACAGAAATGATTTTTGCGGTTGCAAATTTATATTAATAACACTTCTGATCTACAAGATTGAATGAAAAAATCGTAACGAGTAATTTTTGACATCATTAAAATACATATGTGCATAATATAAGGTATAATATGTTTATACCCGAATTTAGATCGTTTTTTTGGTAATTGATCAAAACACAATTAATATCTTTATTATTACATTTTTATAATTTCTTGATGGATGTTTCTGTTTACAGGAAATACTTTAAAAAAAATATTTAAACAATTTTCATTAAGTTGTGCGCCCTTAAACTACAAGTAAAGGCGTTCTCATCGCCCCGATTTTTATCCTTGTGGTAATTTCAAAAATAAAAAAATCACGGATTCTGGCTTAGTATAAATGTCATAATTGTCAGTATGGCATAAGTAAATTGAAAAAGTAATCCCGTATTTCACTTTTTTTTAGCCTCCAGCTGTCATTTTAAACATATATTCAGTTTGCTGTCTGATTCTAATTGTATATCGATTGTCGAAAGTTGCCTGTGTATATTTGAAAACCAAAAAAATATATTAACACTTTCAGAATATTTCAGTATATTTAGCTTAATATCTCCTTTTAGAAAATAATTGATTCAGATTGAAAGAAGTACTACATGGACTGAAAAGTCATTGGTCTGACCCAAAGATCGCGCCACAAACAAAAAATCTCTAGCTATGTCATAGCTGTTACCTTTAATTAGAATACTGTCAAGACATCTCTTCGCATCGTCCTCAAGTTATTAGTCTCAATATGATGTTAGCTCTGCCATTTTTGCTAACAAATGGGAAAAAGTGAATTTAGTGTTTTGATAAAACTTTGTTTCTTGATAGGAAAAACCCCGTTGCTGCTATTACTATTGATTAATACAATATACTTGTAAGTCACACGGCAAACCTTTGCCAGCATATTTAGCCGTCAAGTACTGCAAGAACACAAGAAAACACCGTGAAAAGGCATGAAATTGTGTTGAATGCACGTAACATGAAATTGATTATTTTAGTTATCATCATTGGCCTTTCAAAGAAACGCGTAGGTCACATCATTCAGGATAAAGGGTTACTAAGGGATATAGCTCACTTATATTTGGTAAAAACATTTAATTTATCATAATGGACCTCGATGTTAAAAATAAATACAATTTGTTTGCACGAAATGAAAAGCTCTAGAATTATCATGTTACTCATAACTATATATCTACATATATATTTTCGTTATTTTATTTATTTTAATTTATGTACAAATTACAAATTAAATGCACACTGACCTGATCTAATTACATCAACAAAAATCTTGGTATATTATCAGGCACTCGACATATTGCCTATATGAATGCCTATAACTATGCCTCACTTTTAGGGCCTACATTTAAAAATCTGAACAACGTAGCGAACGTAATAAAAATCGTAAAAACACCGTATACAAACATGCTTTCACGATTGCACGTTCACACGTACAGTTTAGTTCATAATAAAAGTAACGCCAGTAAAAGTAATTTAATGTGTTAAGCATACTCGATTTTCGTATTTGGAATGGAAATCGTTGAGGGTAACCACAGGTTTAAAGTGCTCGCACTTCGATTTTTGATTATCCACGCTAGAAGCATAACTGTGAGAACACTTCATAGCAGTGCGTCACGTTGTTAAGCGTAATCGTTTCTGACCTCGACGATACTTGTATATAAATGCATTGATACACTCCAGAGTCGGAACACTAGCGAACCTGTTCCGAAGAATGTGAAGACTATTCTATCGGCTGGTAAGGAATTGGACACCGTTCTCTGGGATGCGTAAGATATAATCGACTACCTGAAGAAACACAAATCGACATATTTTGGTGAAAAAAAGTGCTTTCCATTATAAGAAGGCATCGGTACACAAATTTGCCAACGCCATAGCCAAATTGGTTGAACTAGGCTACGAACTGCTACCACATCCGTCGTATTCTCTATATTTGGCTCCTTATAATTTCTGTTTGTTTCCAAACATAAAAAGGCCATTCATCTTGTTTTGAAGACCTCGAACAAACATAATTTTCAAACACACTACGCCGAGGAATAAACCTCAATTTCTAGTAAATTTAAATTTTTTAAGCTAGATAAGTAATGGAATCGTATGAGTAAAATTTGAATTGTGAGTGGTTCTTGATTCAAAGAAAATATTTTCGTAAAATTATATCGTTTTCGAAATAGGTTTTCAGAGTATTTTTTTTTGTCTTTGATTTGTTTGAACTTGTTTTTCTATAAGCTTATGTTATAGATCGATATGTGTAGAGAGGTATATTTATCGATAGTTTGAAATTTCGCACTGATAAACTTATCTACATGTTGTTAGACTGGTAATGATGAAACTTTTAAGATACATTTAAAAATGTTTTAACTTTATTTTCTTTTCTTCAATTTGATATGGGAAATGGTTAACTTTGATAGTTTAAGAATCACCGGGTCTATCTAACAATTCACAAAATGCTCCAGCAGTCTGTTATTTCTAACTTTTACCATTCCACTTAGATTGCACTATTTTCCGTTAAACTTCAATGGAGAACATATTTGCATTATACATCTGTACTAATATTATAAATGCGAAAGTCCGTTTGTTTGTTAAGCTTTCACGCAAAAACTACTTAACAGATCATCATGAAATTTTGTACATATACTCTTAGAGGTGTCAGAATGAACATAGGATACTTTTTATTACAAAATTTTTAAATTTTTTAAGGATTATTAAAAAAATAATTTTAGAAGATTATATATGTTTGGAAAATATATTTGAAAATTTTGAAATTGAAAAAACAAAGTTTGGCAGAAATGATTGTTTGTCGAAAAAATTAAAAATGAAAGAAAACATAAATGTATAAAAAACGTAAATCAGAGAAATAACACAAATATTATTAGTTACTCTTATTAAATATAAAAATGCCTCGAAAGCGGAAATCGGCGCTGTCAAGAAATTCTACGCCGGTGCGTAAGGCTAAAGTTACACGAAATAAAGAATGTGAAGTTCAAGCAGAGCTGAGAAGGCAACAGCAAGCAGATCGACAACGTGTTTTGAGAGCAGCTGAAACTTCTCATCAGGCACGAGTACGTTCGAAAAGACAAGCTTAGCAGCAGGAAGCTAGAAGAGCAACGGAAACGCAAGAACAATTGCAGGCAAGAAGAATTAATGATGCAGAAGTAAGAACCACGCGTCGTCGTAATTTCATAACTAAGAATTGGAATATATATAAAATATATTCTTTATATGGATCCATATCTACTATAATGATATCAGTTATTTATTTGATGGATTCGATGCGAGCGAAGCCGCGGGTAAAAGCTAGTTTTATATAATTTTATTTTATTTTTTATTTCTTTACATTTCTATACATGCAAATTTACAGTAAATGTACGACTTTTCCGAATCAAATCTTAAGAATATCACACAAATACCACTTAGGACTACATTGTAACCAGAGCAGCCGCTTGAATGCCATACACGAAATTCCAAAATTTACATATTAAAATGTAGAATTTAGTCTGATTGCTTTCATAGACTTGCTGACATGGATCAAGGGCGGCACCAAGTGTTAGACTCCATATTTTTTTATGTAGAATTCCCGAAAATACATAAGTTTTATTTCTGTTTGGTAATATATAGTATATTTAGATGAAAATGTGCGCATTAAAAGTATCAGTTAATGGCTAAAACGATAAAATTGCTTGACATTCATATTTTGCACTTAGTTTATTAACTAATTTAATTGTTAAATGTTAGAACTGGATCACTGATGTTTGCAAATTAGTACTGTTTCTTTGTTTTATATAATTAGCATCTATGGACATACGCCATCGGAAGTTTTCTGGAATGCTGCAATGGAAAGAAATTATAGTAATATAGTTCAAATTAAGTAAATATGTATGTAGAATTGTAAAGGTCACCACGATATGAATATTACATATACCATATCTTAGGTGTTAATTTTTGTTTTTGTTTTTTTGTGTCTGTGACAATTTCGAGTTGGAGTCTATCACTAGAATTGAATTTATATGCTTTGTAGTAAGGTCTAATCTTCAAAAGACACAAATAAAAAACTCAGCGATCGAACAATTGGGTTTGGAGATAAAGTGTCTGAAGTGAATCAGGCTTTGGAATTAAAAAAAAAAAAACATAGATGGTCTCAGACGAAGCAACCATTCGAGGTGGTCTTATAAATTCTATATAGGCAGTATAAGCACTAAAGGCATTAATTGCATTGATCTTCTAAGAATGTTTGTTGAGGACGAAAGCATACAAAAAATAATTGAGATAGCCGCTACTCTAGATATAAGAAAAAAACGGAAAGTGTCGGGCATATCGTCCATTATATTTTATGAAATAAAAAGATTTGAAAGATTTCTTTCAAATTGCTTTCTCATCCGTATTCTGCGGATCTGGCCTTTAGCGAGATCTATCTGTTATCAGATCCAAGAGAATGCTCGCTGGGTTGAAGCAAACGATAAGCCGTTTCGATGTTGAAAATATAATCGGTACTTTGCCTTGAATGGAAATTATATATAGAATAATAGTAAAACTTATTTTACGTACAATTGTTAATTGTAAAGATTGCGATTATTATTTTTAATGAGAATTTAGCATAAATTAATTGTAAAGATTGCGATTATTATTTTTAATGAGAATTTAGCATAAATTGTTCTAATATAATCATATACCTATTTCACCGTTCTCTTGTTTATTAATAATGTATAAAAACGTTCTTCGAAAGTTTTAAATTTTTGATTATTTGTAAATATGTTAGATAACCTTAGTCGGCTTATTGGCCTAAAGCTCTCAATGGTGAAACAATACTCGTAGAGAATTCCCTTCAATTGATAATTAAAAAGAGTTAATTGACAATTTCTTAGTGTTGATAACAATTAACTAAACTTTTCGCTTTGTTGGCGACTTTTCCCATTTTATGCTCGTACAATTGCAATTGAATTATGAATTGACTTAAATAAGGTTGTTAGCAATATCTTATTCGATTTCTAAAAATTTTGTTATTCTTAGAAAATTACAAACTTTTATTTACTATATTGCTAACTAGCTTTAAAGTTATTTTTTCATTTATTCTTCTACCAAACTACATATATTCACATTTGTGTGTCATTTTATTAATACATATATTATATTTTTACTTACAAAGATGTCGCAGGCAATTCTCTGTCTTCAGAATGCACAGATTATTGAAGGTTTTCGTCTTGCCAGCATCATCTATACCGCAGACCGGTCTAAAGTCCTGCAGATCGCAATTCATTTGACACTTAACGTTCGCCAACGACTGCGCCAATGCGAAGGCGTACAAGGCAACTATTTTATAAAAAATAATAATAAACATTAGTTTACTTGATGTTGTATGTGGAATATATATAATATATATATAAATATACAAATATTTAACGCCCTGTTTAAAATGTTGTAGGCTTAACAAACTAATATTAAAATATGCAATTTTTTATAATAGAGACTCGATAAAATATTCAGTCCAAATCGGATAATCGTAAAGATTTCTAAGTTATAACTACCACAAAAACCAACGCATTCGGTATTTAGGTGAGCATATACTATTGGTAGTTAAATTTAAAATACATTTTAGACATCCGTTTAATTTAATTATTTAGAAGTTATTAATTATTTAGTAAGAAACGCTTATAATATTTTATACTCTCTCTACATGTTGTGCGGAGTATAATATTTTTGTTCACTTAGGACGAATTGAATTTCAGAAGTCTGTCTAATCGTCCGTCTGTCCGTGCAACGATGTCTTGAGTACAAATGTTGATGTAGGGTGCGTTCGAGCTACGTAATAATTGCACCAGTACAGCTACTGTGTTGCATTTGGCTGATACTCTGCTGATATGCAGACAAAAATTTAGTATTGCCGATTATTTGCATAAATTGCGTGTAAAAAGTGACGTGAACGTGATGATGTTGCAAGTGTTGCCAAAAATTCACGCAGAAAATGATACTTTGACAAATTTGCAACACTGCTGTCGCGATTGCCATCTCGAACGGTTGGGCAAAATCTGACCAAACTTGGTGCAAACACGAGTGAAATCGGATAATAACCATACCCACCTCTCATATAAAGGTTATGTTCAAAACTACTGAAAGTGCTATAACTCGCTAAAGAATAACGCGAAAGAGCATACAATTTTGCAGTAAAGAGGATTGGTAGGGTTACATGTGAATCAGTATAAAAATTGGACCATAGGCGTGCTACCGCCCACTTGTAGGGGAATCGTAAATCTGCAAATACTCAACCAATCACAGCCAAATTTTGTAACATTATAACATTATTTTGAAAGAAGTCGGATCACATCAAGCTCGTTCCAATACTACCCCATATAACTCATTGTTAAATTCTTTCAGATCTTATAACTTTACTATAAATAAATTAAGCCCAAATTAATTGACACTTTGAACAAATAAAGTCTTCCAGGTGTGGCACTAGATACCAAATATGTGGACCTAAGTGTCAATGGCTGAGTTTTTACCGAAAATATCGCCAACCTACTGGAATATTGAAATTCAGAGAATATCTTTTGCTGATTACAAAATATGACTGGTAACAAAAGCTAATAAAATCGAGGCAATATTTTCCCTATCCTCCAGTGTGTCACAGAGAAATTACTAACTGATACCTTTTCCTATTTCAATTTGGCTATCGTTGAGACAAATATTATGTTTTTGGTGTGCACACCTTTTCGGTACTTCGAACATCGAACTGCTAGTAAACCTATGGACGGACCGATAATCGAATTGAGATGGGCATTTAACTCAATCGAATTCAGGCCAACAAATATTAAACTTTGTCGGATGAGCCGCGGTTGGCGCACAGCTGTCTAGCTTTTACATTATACCGTTGATTTCATCGTCGAAAATAGTTTTAAAAACAAGTGAACGCATATGCTAAAAAATCCTATAAATTTGTACTATTTGAAATTTTTTATACGTATATATGTAATTTTCATATGAGATAAGAAAAAAAATATATATATACATATGTCATAAAAGTATTTGCGTTCGAAAAGCCCATGGAATAGTTAATCAACTTTATGCGATACACGATTTTTGTGAATTCATTTATTACTATATATTGTATGTCTGTAAGTATGTATGTACCCATGGTATTACTTTATTTAAATACAAACTCACCACATTAAAATAACAAACAGAGAGCGCATTAAAACGCGCGAATCGATAGACGCCAATTGGTCTGGCCAAGCTACACACCAGATCTTCGCAATACCGAGCGCGCACGCCGCACCTTTCAGCCCATCGCTCTACACATTCCATTGCCATGGAGCGTGGAAATCTGTGTGTGTGTGTGAGTGAGTGTGCTATGTATACAATTGAAGTGGCGTAATAATATTTATTAAAAAAAAAAAAAAAAATTTTATACATTATTAAATACACACAATTTTAAACATGTCGAAATTGATATTCCCCAGATGGCTCGAAAGAGCTTCTACATTGATGACTAGTTCACACAGTTTTTACTTTACTTGTCAATAAATAGACATATGTATATGAATGTACATATTAAATTGTCCTTGTCATATGTACGAGGCTGATCAAATGATTCTTTAGCCCAGTGATTCTTAAATTTTATTAAACAGTCTGAAAAATATTTTTTCTGGGTCTTCAAAATAGGCCTTCGTGGCGATAGTAACCTCCTCATTTCAAGCTCATTTCATTTATCATATTTGGTATCAGAAAAAGTCGTACGGACACAACTCTGACTCACAAATCTTCATGATGAGACTGTTGGATATTCCCTTTCCGGCCGATAAGACAGTTTTCGCCCTCTTCAGAGCAGGTTCGCCATTGAAGTCCACTATTTCGACTATTCTTTGGTTTATGGTGTGTACCAGTGTATCCATGTTTTATCGACGATCATTAAAAGACGCAGAATCTCGTATTGTGTTTAAACAACGCCAAACACTGTTATGAAGTATACCCTCGGTTACACTTGTTGTTCGGGGTGAGCAATATTTCAGGCTATATGTGATGCGGTTTTTAGTATCTCTCGACTTTTAGTCGACAATGTGTCAACACAAGATCGTAAACTTTTGTCACATTATCCCGTTTCAGGACACCTAGACGTATGACCAAAAAAAATTCCCAGGCTACTATTCGAAAGGTTTGCTAAATTTTTTGATTTTGGCAAACGATGAAATGAAATTGATCGATATCGAGAATATTTCGCTTTGTGGTACACATTATCAGTGAAAATGATATTAATCTTGTCGTCGAAATTAGCATCCAGTGATGTTTTCTTTTTCTCAATGGAGTGATAATAAGCGATTGTAATCAAAGTGTAATTCAAAAACGGGTTTTAATGACAATCATTCAACTTAAATTAAAGATTTATCTTTCAGCCCTTCTATCTAGATGTAAATGTAGTATGAGTCATATAAACATATATTATTTACAGAGATATGCCTGTAGGAATGTACGTGCTCTCAATAATTCATTTATAATGTAATTTAAATCGAAGGTATAAGTCAGTTCGACGCATACTGCGTTTTATTTCAAATGCCCCATTTGTATGCGTAGTGGCTATTGATACGAATAATATTTCCTAGCATTATCTAATTATAAAATATGTATGGGAAAATTTATTTTGGAACTGCAAAACAATGAGTCACTTTCGATAGTATTGATATTCTATCATATTTTTTTAAGAACTAAGATTCCGTAATAAAAATACTATAGATCGTATTTGAGCTTTGGGCGAATTAATTGATAAACTACCCTCAGAACAATATTCTTGAGATTAAATTAGGCCTTTAAAAGAGAGAATAAGACCCCTTCTAACTCTAAACTCAAAAACATTTTATGAGGATAATGCAACAAAAAAAATTTCAGAAAAGTTGCTCATATAATTAACATAAGACGTTAAGATACGGTACAGGCCTTAAGAATAGACATATATATGAGATACACTTTTTCAAATTAAAAATATTTTGTAAAAAGTAAAAAAAATATCTGCGTTTGGTATTCATTTATAGATCCGATACATAACCAAACTTGACAAGTATTAGGCGTTTTTTATTTTCCGTTTTTTTCAGTCAAAGCCGTGATTTTTTTGATTCTGGTCAATCTTGTATTTTGTCGAATCTCCACATTTCGGGTTCTGCTCATGCTTAAGACGTCTTCTTAAGCTGTTGTTAATGTATTTATAGATATGGATTTCATATATTTGTAATACCGATGGCGTTTCTTTTTTCTAGTGCTTAAAATATATAAAATATATTGCCACATGAAGCAATTGTTTTAGGATATGGCGAAATTTAAGTTAAAGTAAATTTTAATGGTTAATATTATAATTCCGTTCAGTTGCCGGGACTCTTTCTACACTTTGTTCTCAAATTGCTAAACGGTCTTAGCCGAGAAAGTTTTGTCAGTTTCGCACTGCTTAATGTTCAGTTCGAAAAATATGTTAATATCGAAAAACATTTCTGAATATAAATTCGTATGTTGCATACATATATATAGCGGCATTAATTATTATTATTTTTTTTAATTTCCCTCCAAATTAAATTGTCTCTAAATTCGTTGCTGAAAGGTACTAGAAGATAATAGTTATAATATTGTGTATAGGTAGTGACTCGATTACTTAGCAGTTGATTCTTGACGACAAATCACTTTATCAGAGAAAAATCAACATTAAAAAATCTATAATACGTCAACTTATTTCGGGTATAGAATTCATAAAAAATCGCATTGAAAAAATTAATTATTTAATTTAAGAAACTTTTTTCTCCGAAACCTCTATTTTACTCTAACGCAGGTTATCTAATATAAAAGTTTTATATACATAATTGCTAAAATATGTTTACGTACGGGTTAAAATGATGGCGAAGAGCTTCATATTCGTAAATTTAATATTACTGCGCTTGACGATGAATCCGTTAATCCAACAAAAAGTAATGCAACAAAATCTGGCTTCGCCGCAAATTGCCGTATTATATACAGGTATCTATGGTATATATGGTATGTAGATACGTATTTACGTAATTACATAAAATTAATGAATAAAACTAAGCACTGTTCCAGACAGTTCACTTGCTCAATTAAGTAGTTGCTACTTGGAGCTTGCAACAGGGGAACAGCCTTTATTTGCGTACACGTAGAAACACAAAATAGAATACAATCACTTTTTGGCACAAACTAATTAAGTGTAAGTTTATATAAGTTATTTGCTGACGCTTCTTTTTTTGCTTTGAAATTTTTAATTTATAAACTCTTCTGTAAAATATGAACAACACACGTTGAATTGATGTTTTTTTTCTTTTGCAAATTTAAACAAAAAAATATAAAATTATTTAAAGTATATTAACGAATTTTCGCTATAAACACCGTTACGAATATTTGGTGAAACTCAGGCGCCTCTTTGCGGCTCTAATAAACGCACAATGCCGTGGATGAAAGCGAACTAAACCGATCGGTGGACCGTAAAGTGCGCGATTGGCAAACAAAGTTCGCGATCGAAGGCGATCAATTGAACCGCGCCAAGATTTCAATACACACGTATGCACACACTTTCACACACAAACGTGTACGTTACGTTGTATGTTTGTATAAAGGCGTGCGCGCACGAAGACAGCGCTCAACAAGACGGATGGACGAAGGAGAAACGCGCGTGGTAACAGTATCCTCAGTGGACCAGGCGAAATATTAGAAATTGACTTCAACCCTGTTTGGCGCAACGCTTTGCCTTTGCTACACCCGTCCGCAACGTACGTACATATGTGTGAACCTGCATAAAATATTGCAAGCGTATAATTTTTTCGAAACTGCACGTGGCTATTAGCCTCGAAAGCTATGGCGGTAAACTCGAAAGGTTGGAAGGTGGGATCAATACCGACGCGTTTGATTCTCCGCAAGAGCACGAATAATAATAAAAAGAATAGCAAGAAAGCAGACTTTGTGAAGTGTTTGCTGTTGAAGCTCTAATTTGGCCCCGTCGACTGGATACGAAACAGGAAACGCGCTCGTTCCAACACTTGAATGAGCAATCGATTAATCAACCGCAGCCAACACTGTCGCAGACGTAAGAAAGAATCACAGTGGAACGCTAATCGTACGTTAGTTTTATAGAACTTTTGCGGCATGGCACGGCAGCGGAGTAGCAGCGGCGACGCGACGGAACTGTGGATCAACGGCTCAGCGACTCAGTGGCTCAGTGGTTCAACACAAATCGGCTTACTGCTAGCTAAAAGCGTGCATGCCGCTGTACGTATGTGTGTGTCGGTATGCATATAAGTGTATACAAATCGACAATAGCCGGCTAATAGCTAATCGATTGTGATCGCGCCGATTATGCGCTTTGTTGTTGTTATTGCTATTATTGTCTGCCGCATTAACGATTGCGGTTTGGCTGCGACGCTGATGTCAGCAGCGATGATTCTAACGTGTTGTTGTTAGTGAGATGGAACACAAATTTATAAAACAAAAAAAAAATTATTAGAAAATAATAAAATTAATAAGAACGATGTTGCACGCGAGCGCAGTGTCAAAAGCGTCGGTGAATATCAACATCAACATTGTATGCACAATGATTATATGCGATTGAGGGTGGTTCGATATGTACTTAACCTCACCGACCGGGGACGGAGTTTCTGCGCCGTTTCTGACCGTCAACGAAACATCGATCTGGTGCACACCGAAAACCAAGGAACAGTCGAAATAATCGACTTCATTATCAGACCTGTTTAGAAGAAGGCGAAGACTATTTTATTAGCCAAAGGTCACTGCGCTATACTATGCTGAATTATTGTAACGGTCCCAATTGGCGAAGAAAAAATAACTCTTCACACCATGACTACGCTCTGATTGATAGCTCCGCTTTCGCCACGGCCAAATTGATCGAATTATCCTTTTTACACATTAATGACATGCATGCTCCAGATTTGGTCGCTTGCGGCTTTTTGTGTTTCCAAAGTCTTGAAAATGACACTCGCCTGATAGAAATTTGGTCGACAGAGGAGGTTATCGCCGCTACGGACCTACAACTTCCAAGCCTCCATAAAACTTATTTTTCAAACAGGTTAAATAAGTTGCAGAAACCCTGGTTGTAACGCAACGCGCTAAGAGAAGACTATGTTGGGCTATAAGTCGAAATTTTTTCAAAATTTCCGTTTTATAGGTTATGTAGTTATCGGACCACCCTCGTATGTATAAACAATGCATAATTACATGCAGAAAAATGTTAATATTGCAACTTGGCGCGCACAGAAATGGAATTATGCTAAACTATGTGGTCATACTTCCGAGATAAGTCTTCATATTACGGAGAGTTTTGCGCATACAATATCGATTTAACTTCGATTTGGTAATAATTGTTAGCACTTTGGTCCACCGTTTACCACTAAAGATTTAAATAAAATATCTGTCGCACGCGTTGTCAGTTCGTTCACGTTCTTTGCTTTACTGAATGCCCAATATTTGCAAATACACTTTCAGCTGCGCTTCCTCTCGGTACGAAAGCAATAAATCATCTAGCCGCCAGATAATAGTGTGTATGATGTGTACATATATAAATACATATGCACAAAGGTATACTTATGCATATACACATTCATACATTTATTTGTACACTAAATACCACATCAATTTCTTCGCGCCTCTCGTCACTGTCTTTAACTTTGAAAACCTTCCCATTAAGATACACACAAACTTACACACATATAATTTCGTTTGACAGCGTTGGCAGCCAAATTGCTGCCGCCATTGGTTATCATCAGAAGAGTCTTTCGTCTTAAAACATTTGTCATAGCCGCCAAGCTGCTAGTTGCCTAGCTGTTCATATTACTTTGCAGCTATAAGAAAATATTGCATCAATAAAAGTTTTTTTTTTTCTTAAGCCTCATTTCACACACCTTCCATAACTCTGGTGTCTTTGGTCTTATCGGCATTATCTTCCACTCAAATGAAGTTCAACCGAAATTGTGAAAGTAGTGAAATTTTTGAAATTCTTTTGTGGATTACAGTGTTATGTTGCTGATTCGCGTAATCCACATAAGAATTCAAAAAATTTAAGAGGTCATAACCTACCTACCAACTGCGGGAAATACAATTCGAGTAATAGAAATAATTTCCACGCATTTTAAAAATTTTTTTAAATTTATTATTAACGCGCAATATAGCTTTGGGCGAGTTCTCTTAAGATTCTCAATATCTTATTTAAATAAGTAAGGAAGAGCTAAGTTCGGGTGTAACCGAACATTTCATACTTTTGCAACTTGCAAGGATCAGAGCCGGTGGAATATCTTCAGGTGTTCATCTTCATTTTTCGACGACACTATTGTATATTTTACTTCCCGTAAGCGAAAACTATACCAAAATCATTAGGGGTATAGAAATGGAAGGGCCGATTGTATTAAATTTTGACATTGCTCAGGTATACTTTAGACCATATTCTCAAGCAATTTTATAAATATAAAAATATAATTAGGGTATTCACAAGGTGTCATATTGTGTCATATTGTCTTATTTTTTTATGGCTGTCATATCGACACTGTTGTTCTTTCCCACACAAAATTGAAATACGACAAATACAACATGGCGAGGTATGTTTTTTGAGTGTGCTATTCTAACAGGGTATCTGTTTACTTTCTTTTATTGTTGACGTTTAGGTGTCTAAAATAATAAAAATAAATACATTTCATCAATTTCTTTAATAATATGGAAGGAAGCCACGATATTCAGCTAAATTAAGTTGAAGAAAAGTGATATATAAAAATATTTTGTTGTTTCTGTGGATCAAAATGATGCCGTTTCAACATAAAGAAGCTTTAATTTTTTTTTGTCACTTTCCCGTGGAATTTTTTTATTCTTAATTCTTAATCTTGAAACATGTTGCTACAGAGTGTAATAATTTTGTTCACCTAACGGCTGTTTGTGTCACCTCAAACCTAATCGAGATAGATTTAGTGTTATATATATATATATGCTCAGGATGATGGAGCGAGTTGAAATCCGGTTGTCTATCTGTCCGCCCGTCCGTTGTCCGTGCAAGCTATAACTTGAATAAAATTGAGATATTGCAATGGAGCTTTGTACAGGTTTAATGTACATATCTCCTAAACCACTGCAGCTATAATAACCAAATTTTTTCGGAACAAATCTCTCTAGCTACCTTTTGCACTAACGACACAGTCAAAATGGATGAAATCATAACCCCTCCCACTCTCCATATAACGGTACTGTTACAAATTACTAAAAGCGCCATAAATCAGTAAATAAATACGCCAGAGACATTAAATTTTACAATCAAGATGGTAGGAGAAGGCCTTATAGGAGACCGAGTGAAAATTCGACTAAGGGCGTGGCACCGCCCACCTTTAGGTGAAAACTCATGTCTCGGGACCTGGTCAATTGATTTCAACCAAATTCGATATGTGGCATTATTCTGACATTCTTATGTCACAGTGTGAAAGTAAATGATATCGGACTACAACCACGCCTAGTTCTCATGTAACACAATTTTAAAATCCAACTGATTCTTTCACTTTCCACATTTTGTCTCTCTCACAGCGAACGAAGATTGTTAAAAATATATTCATGATGAAGCGTTATAAAACTAGTTTCACAGGATACAATAAATATATGCTACTGTGCGGCTCCACCATTCACCACCAAAGGCAGGTTCTGTATTTTTAAGCAGACACAAAATAATCATTAATTCAGAATCAGATTACGGTTAAATATCGGCAACAACTCCTCACGATTTTTGTATACCCAAGCTTGAAATCAATGCTGAATAATGTCTAGTACAAAGGAGTAAAATAGTGGTGTTGCAATAAATATAATTTTCAAATATCCTAATTTTCCACACATCCTTTTCTCGAAATCGCATTGTTAATTGTCAACTTTTGCTGTTTTTTTACTATCTGGCAGTACAAAAAAGTAAAAAACTACGTTATGACGTATGGGTGTTTCCAAAATTTAAGTTGATAAGAAGTCTCCGTGTATGTATGTATAAAATATAAAATAATGTGTATATTTTTATTGATTATCTCATTAGTCACCCGATACTAGAGGAAAGTTAACAAAATAATAACAATAACAAATTAATGTATGTAGCAAAAATTTTGAAACCGTACGATGCATTTATCATCGTAAATACGTAAATGTATTTATTAATACGTCATTGTCGTACATTTATTTTATAGAATGGATTTTGATTTTATTTTTTATATTTCATAGACAATAAATGTGATATCTTTAATTTTTTATTGTTTTCATCGAACAAAATACAAGTCAATAATCTGAAAAGGGGAGTTTTCGCGTTGTTTTTAATAATTTATCTTATGTAAGCAACAGTTACGGATTTATTGAATTATTTTTGGGTATGTTTATATTAAGTGCTAGTCAATATGTGTGACTATGATACAATTTTGAATTTCTCAAATACAAATGGTTTTTGAATAAAAGACGGTGATTTATTAAAACAGGCTTTTTGATGACAGATAAAATCGCCCACATAAAGCGTGTTAATATTGTGAATTGGTATTTTATTCATTAATTTGGGTTGACCATTCTTCTTTATTCTTTTTAGAATTTAAAGAACTCATTGCATTCTTGGAAGGGGATTACAACGTATATCATCGTTTTAGAGAAAACAATTTTTTTGTTGAATTCGATTTTTTTGTTCATCTTAGTTGCCATTCAGGGCGATACTCCAATTATAATGATCTTTCAACTCTTCCATATCATTTTTGTAAAAACAATTGATATTTTATTTCAAAATAAACCTCAGTCTAGCAATTAACTTTTTATTGCCGGCAAATTTCTTCCCAGTAAGCATTTTTGGGGTCCTACGACAAACAGAAAACCAGATCTGGAGAATAGATGGTAGAGACAATTTGAAGCCTATTTACTCGTATGCTATTTTCGGATAGTTTTTGAACATTTGTGACACGGTGGCACGGTCGATTGTGAGCTCGTGCAGCTCCCACTTTGCACTAATAAACCCAAATATTCATGAATGAATGCGTCAGCTATCTCCATCAAATTTATTCAACAATGATCTGAAATATTATATTTAAATAACTTTAGCGTGTTTGGTTTTCTTCTACGGTCAAGCATTGGTTTGTTGGATTTCATCGTAATCGAATTTCTTTACCGGTTTGTGAAAATAGTTGAAAAATGGTTATATCATTACACATCTGAGTCCAATTTGCAGTCGCTTTTTTAGCCAGTATTTATCGAGAATATATTTAACAAGGTAACGCAAACAGTAAACCATATTACTTTGCGTCATTGTATCGATTGGAGGTAAAGATTAAGGTTAGACCAATTTGTCAGGTCAAAGGCTTTACAGTCATTGCGTACATTTGCGCTAAATGCAGTTTCAATGTCTTTAATTTTGAAACTTTTGTCTTCGACATTGAATCTCTCAAGTTAAAGAATTAAAATATTTTTTAATGTGTGTACCATATATGTATGTATATGTGTACGTACATGTTCCGTTATAATAAAACAATGTAATAATTCTTTAGTGCAAGCCTAAGGCTCTGTATTTCTATGCATTAGTAAAAGTGCAGAAGTAAATTAAATTTTTTAAATTACTTAATTTAGTAAGTTATGGAATTTAAATAAATGTTCAATTAAGAACAGCAATTGTATTATTTAAGGTTGCAGTAGCAGAGCCACCCCAGCTAGTGTCCATTTACCGGGTTTATCCTTAGTTTTCAGATTGAAAGTCCAGACATAAGTGGGACCGCGAGTACGCGTCTTATACAAAGGACATTCATACATGTTGCGTAGATCTTGCTTATCTTGCGTAATAGCCTGTAAAACAAAAACAAACATACAAAGTTAGGCGATAGAAATGTGCTTTCTTTGGTGAATAAATACTTATATGAGTAACATGATTTATATGAAATAATAAAACTTTCTCTCTAATAAACATTTATTTATTCCTTACTCTAGTTGTTCTGCCCAGTTTTGGATAAATTTTTAATATATAAAATATTTTTTATTGAGAGTCAATTTCATAATTTATAAACTATCTGGTATGATATTGAGCCGTTGGAGATTTGATCCTTTCCTCTGATAAAAAGAACACGTTAAAATTAATTAACCTCACGTGACGTTTGTATTTGTAGACTACGTTCTTTACAACAAAAATGTATTTGCATAACACTCAGAAAAAAACGTCGGAGACTCAGTAAAATGCGTATATAACGATCAACGTGACGAGGCTAATACGACCATATCCGTCTGTATATATGCGAAGTAGTACATAAGTTTTTCAGATATCGAGTTGAAATTTTGCACAATTTTTATCACCAAGAATCTGCTGATTTGTCGGAACCGCCGATATCAGACTACTATAGCATATAGCTGCCATACAAACTGAACGATCAAACTTAAGTCCTTTTATGGAAAACTTTTGTTTTTGACAAAATATCTTCACAAAATTTGGCATGGATAAAATCGCTAAAGAAATTGTTCAGATCAGACCACTATAGCATATAACTGCCTACAACTGGAAACTGGAAAACTTCAACCTGTGAAGGGTCACACATCTTCGGTGCAGCCGAAGTTAACGTTCTTTTTTTTTTGATATCTGATATCTGCTCGAAGAGTGGTGAAAACTCTTACTATATCGTACAATGACCCAATACAAGCGTGTAAAAGAAGAAGCTACAAAAAGTTCTACTTTCTAGTTATACGTTTATGCCATAGAACTGCTGCTGTAGAGTTCAGTGGGTTTGTTGACACATTATATTCGTATCCATATATAAGTACATGATATATGGTGCGCATCCATTTGCTGGCAATGCTGGAATTTACATACATACTTATGTACAATATATATGTATGTAAATCGATTTTCAATTTAAAATGCAAACATGTGTTGCAAATAATTTGAATTTGTGGCGCCAGCATCCAATATGCGATTGCCCCATTTTGGAGCCATTCACATTGGTTGTTACCTCAACGACAATGCCACCATGATTTTAAAGACGCCAGACAAATATTCCATTTTTTATCTAATTTCTATTTGTTATTTGCAATTTTCTAAGGTTCGCTAATTTGCACATCAGTGATTTCCACATTTATACATGCATAGAAATTGATCTTTAGACGCCTCGATAATTGCCAGCTCGTGGCATGCTGTCGCTCACGTTGACGCTGGCGCTGGTGATTTTGCGATTGCTTTCATTTAGCTTATGAATGTATGAATTAACCTTCGCTGGAACTTCATATCCTCTGCGATTTTTTTTATATTTTTAAGTATGTACCTAAATTTCCGCTCAATAAAAGCAGATTTATGAAGTACAGTGGTGGCCAAATAAATTTTACTGTGCATTTTTGTGTATTTCATTTTTATTTATATTTTTTAATTGAGTTAGCATTTTATGAAATTATTTGCATATCAGGCCAGTGCTAAAGCCTTTGGAAATAGTAAAAAGTGAAAAAAAAAGCATAGTGGTATAAAACCCAGTGTACAAAAAATTAAAAAAAAGGGTTACACAGTGGTTAAATTTTTAATTAAATGACAAAGTTGTAGGTAATAAAGAGATCGGCAACTTGTATTTGTCTTTAATTTTAATGCAATTAGCTTCATTATTATTTGTACTTTATATACTTTTTTTAAAACAAATATTTTAGAGAATATTTTTTTCTGTGTGAACATCATTACATGCAGTAAAAAATATCAAAATTTAAAATTATTGGTAGTCAAAATTAAGTAAAAAATGTGTATTAAATTTTTTTTTGAGAATTTATGGCTTAACAATCATCAAATATTTAAACTGATGAGTAAAACAGAAAATGTGAGTTTAATAAATATTTCTGTAATAGTTTCAGAAAATCACAAGTGTACCATATCTTTACACTAGCTTAAAAACACCATCAATATTTCCAAAACTGTTCTAACACTTATCCCTTCACCAGTGTACACATAAAAATGTATGTGATGTGTATGTTTTTAATTTGCAAGTTTTATTAAAGACAGTGATATTTTACCTACCCGAATATTTATCACTGGCATCGGTGGATAGAGCTCTTTGAGACGCGATTCCATTATGATACCCTGCTGTACATCCCATCTGGCGCCTTCCATAAATATCCCATGAACATAGGCGCCTTCACGCGGTGCCGTGCTATAAATAAATGTATACAAACTTATATACATATTTGAACTTAAATACATACATATATGAATACGCGTATCGTGACATTTAAGATCATCGATTTTGCAATGAAAAACACTTTGAACATAAAATCTTTTCAATATCTAAAAATAAGCCTGCTAATGAGTTTAGCACTTTACATACATATAGATACATACATATGTATGTGGCACGCCCTATTGCCAATAATACCTGTATAGGCAATTATGGCCCTGTCACGCTGCTTCGCGTAACGATGTGTTAGCGCCGCCTCAGTGGCCGCTGACGTTTGATGATTACGATGATTATGATGATTTCTAAGCTATTGACGCCTAGTCTCGCTGTCTCGCCATTGATTGGCATCACTTTCGGCGTCGTTGCTAAGTGAACGTGTGTACGTTTTGCTGAATGGCGTCAACATCGTCACGGCTCTACTGGCGCGTCTTGCCGTCGTTAACGATTGCGCCAATCGACTAAATGATTTGTTTGTTTAATTACACGACTTGGGACAGACTAATTGCCCTCATCATTGTGTTGATAAGTGATCGCATTGTAAGTACTTGTGTTGCGGTTTGCGACATCAATTCATCACCTTTATGGTACCTAAGGGAATCCCTTTTACAGTGTTGCGGAAATGTTTTGGGACCGTATAGAAATTCGCAATACAATTCTTATTTAAGAAATTAACGAGTTCTTGGTATAGCAGATAATAGAGAGGATCATCTGTGTCTTAAAATTATTTGGAAGAGTAGGCCCCCATATATCTAATATAATAGTTTTCGTTATTAACAAAATTATGTGAATGCATATTGTAGTTCAGTACAATGATAGAAATCGGCCGACAAATTACTCAGGCAACATATACCCTATATAATGATGGGAAAAGAAATATTATGGATGTGTCTGCCAATTTGGTTAGGAATTCCCTTTTTTCATTTTTGTGAATTTGATATGCATATATATAATCGATAATATTTACATCTTTACTGGGTATATTCAGTTTGCTATGAAGTTTCTAACACCCAAAACGAAACGTCGAAGACCCAATGAAGCAATCTTCGAAGAAATTGTTTAGGTGTCATACGAACTAATCGATCACAGTTCTTGTAAGGAATCTTTGTATTTATGAAGAGTATTTCAGCAACCAAAGTTAACTTTTTTCTGTTTTTTTTTTTGTTTTTAATTACATATGGAACGTCGGTAGGTCATTCTTCCTTTTCCCTTCCTTTTAGTCTTTGTTTCATCATCTATTCACCATACATATAGTACGTCGTTCCTTATTTTGTCGGTATGTAAACATTAAATAAAATTATTTAAAAAATTTGGAGATTTACATATGGTCTGTACATGTCACCACTTTTTAATATCACAAACTGGAGAATTCGATCCGCAGTAGGATATGGCCTATCGTCGTCGAAATCTATAACCGTCACGATATTCATAACCTAAACAGGGTATACCAAGTTTGAAAAGAAAAATCTTTTTAGATTCTCTATAATATCTTGAATAGCCTCAAATATATTCAGCTTTAAATTAGATGAGAAATTATTTAAAAGCTTGCTAATATACATAAGTAGATATACATGTACATACATGTGTGTATGTATGCTTACCAGGTCGCTTAGAACCACTGCTGAACTGCTGATACATCTCTTTTTTCTTATATTCATTTAATAAACAAACTGACTCCAAGTAATCAAGCCGAAGCGCTTTTTTGGTCCCTGATTTGCCGCTTGGCGTAAGTAAGTATGTACATACATATGTTATGTAGTCAGACTCAACATCGAAAAGCAATTGAACTTGCAAGTAAAAATGCATTTGTGTTAATAAAATGGCGTTCAATGGAGTCTAGTAGGTAAAGTGTATGACTAGCAAACGATGTGTTGCGAGTTCGAATTGCTGCAATTTTTTATTGTTAAAGAAATGTTGTTTTAGGTGCACATTGTAGTTTTGACAAAAACGGCTCATACAATAATATTGAATTAACTCAGCGGAAGTAGTACCTGCTAGTTTTAGCTTAACATTCAAATACATGGAACGAAGCTCGGCCAAAGATCTGTTGAGTTATGTGCGCCATATTATTAAAGTTAGTTAAAGTAACAAAAATGAAAACTATGCCTAAGAAAACAGTTATTCGCCTACGTTTGTGTGTGTGGTTATAGGCAACGCAATCAGAGCCAGAATTGGCGAATATTCACAGCATCCAATTATAGAGGAGAGTAACAGGCATGTTTGTACATGCCGAGGTCAGTGAAGAAGTCAATTCAATTTACGACTTGATTTATTTACGGTTAAACGTTTGTAGTACTGATGTTATGTGACGGTGGAGACGAATTTCTCGATGAGATTGATGGAAAGTGGCTATGCTGATGATTGATTAGTTGTTGGGAAAAACTTTCTTCTGGGTTGAAAGTTCATTTATGGGATAATAAGTATGTCTATATACATATGTATATTATGCACAAGTAAAATAAAAACTCCAGAGAAATTCCCAAAACCAAATCGCTTAGTACACTTACGTAAAATCCTCCTTCTGCTTTTTAGTCACATCACATTGTAAGCACATTTTATCTAACGGTAATTCATTGCGACGCGCGGTGCTCTGCATAATTGCGGTTAATAGTGACTGCGGATTGAAAAAGCCGGCCAACCAAACACAGGAAGGAAGCTAAAATACAACACCAATTCTTTCAACCAAAAACAAAGCGTAGAAATATTTCAATCGTACTCACCACAAAATCAGTAGACCATGTTTCCAATTCACGTAATCGCAAACACAGATCGATGAACCATGAATTCAAACCCAATAGTGATGGATAGGCGCGTTGCGTCCATACTGGCGGCACTTGATCCAGAAACAATGAATTTTCCAGTACTTCCATGTCTGATGTGATCGTGAGCTCGCCTTTTAAACCCAGATCCAACTCTTTTAGACTACGCTTCATCTCGCTCGTTAGATAATTCATGCGTTCACATTCTTGAAAGGCCACAATCACGTACGGCGTACGCTCCTCCACCTTGTTCATAATCTCCACCATATTAAACTCTTCGGGTAATTTCTCCATGATCTCATCTACAATCTGTTTCACTTTATCCTCCCTGGTCACCGTGGCACCACCACTAGCACCAGCATCACGCGGTTGCATCTCAAAAACAGTGCGAAATATATTCTCCGCACGTGTGGTTAAGAAACCAATTTCTGCATTCGGATGCAGTCCGTAAAGGTATGGCGACTCGGCTGGCATCGTTTCGTCAACATAAGCATGATAGCCGGCGTAGTCGGTGTTGGGCGGTGCAGGAAAACCTGGTGCTAGAAACAGTTCACCATCCACTAGATCCGGTTGCATGTACTCTTCGAGATATGTAATGCATAAGCGACGGTCCCAATCGTCTGTTATGTGACCGCCATACATGATTTCACCGAAGAGATAACGCAAATCCTCCCATGGAACCTTGGCATTTGCCTCGAGGTAATTATACAATACCGATACGCTGATATTTAAATCGCCCACATTAAATGGATAGATCTTATTCCAACCTTGTGGCCCAAATTTACGGCGCTCTGCGACCACGGCGTGAAAGTAGCAAAGTGAGAAAAGTATAGCTTTAAATTCAGCTTCCTTGCCAGACATTTCCAATGTTTCTTGGGTGAAGTTGTCGAGCGCTTTATGTAGATTGGCCAACATGCCGGTAGGTGGTTCATTTGTAATCTTAATGGAGGACTCCAGTATTCCCTGAAAGTAACAATTTTTATTATTACATACATATGTATGAAGTATAAAAACTTATTTACTTGTGGTATGATGTGCGCCGATGGCGATGAAGCCGGTTCGGCACTTAAAAACATGCGATATTCGGGATGTGAACCTTCTGCATAGAATTCCAATTTCTTTTCCAACACCGGCAACCATTTACGCACTAAATGTATATTTTGCAATACGACCCAATGTCCATTTTTAGCTGCTGTATCCATAGCCGCTTCGGCAATAACCTCTTGTCCCTGACCCAAAGAGACATTATGAAAATTACCCAGATCCATTGTGTAACCTAAAAGTTTTCCCAAAGCCTCAACGTCCTTAAGTGGATTTACGCCCGGTGATAGTATAAAGAAAATGGGTGTGGAGGGACTGGTTTCCTCAAAAGATTTAGCAAATTCTAAAGCGCGATTCTCCACATATTTATTACCAAGTTTCTCAGCGATGAAGTCTCTGTGGTGTAAATAGAGATTGTGTGAGTAGTTAAATGTATTATCAACTTTCAGTTAATATTTACGCTAGTGCATAGGTCATGCGATCAGGCCGCAGTGCACGTATCATGCATAGACGTTGCAGTGCCGTCTTATTCTTCCACTCCTGTGGGAATTTCTCCTTCTCTGGTGCTTCGGACTCCACTAATTTTTTCCAACGCTTCGATGAAGTCTCTATGTCTCGATCGAGGTTACGGAATTCATCTTTAGACGCCAGACTGCATATTCCGCCCCACGATTGGTTGGAGAGAAAATCAACCGGACTGGTGACGTGCGGTTTAATCGGGAAGCGGAGTAAAAAGTCCAGTTCCGTAGATGTAATCTCCTCGTTCATCAAAAGGATCTAGGAATATGTATATAAAATTATATATGATCCAATATTGTAAGCAATTTTATGTACCTGAAAAGCCATTTGCGAGGCAAATATTAATTTATCACATTCGAATAGACCCCTCGAAGTATATTGAAATACGGAGTAGGTTATGCAATCAATTAAGTTCAAAACGCGTGCATTTAAAGTTTCGCCAGGTTCGGCGCGTGCGATGGCCTTTTGAAAAACTACGCTAAAAGCCTGAGAAAATTGAGATCAGTTACAAATACATATTTAAATCATATGACATTTAAATGTATAAATAAAGCAATAGTAATACAAAAAATATTGGCGACATAACAACAAAAAGGTGTGGAAACTAATAACAAACTGCGTAATAAAAATTTGTTATTTAAAATTTTTACTCGGATTTTATTTGATAAAGCGTATGTGGAGCCATACTTCCATTTGGAAAAATTATTATTTATTATAGAAAAAAATGTCCGGGTAACTGCTGAATGTACCTAATAGAAACTCTTGATTTTCTAAACGGAATTAGTCAAGCAGCGTGATTACATCTCTTGAATTCGTCTTAGAGATGTCAGATGAGAGATAGTTGTTTATAACTAAAATCATCCTTTTCTAAAGTAATACGTCTTTTTAAAACGTGCTCATCATCCAGGCAGTTCGTACATCAGGTGTAAAAGTCTCGGAAATAAATATTGTGAGAACTAAATATCCATACGGAATTTAGCCCACACAACGCATGACGACAATAAATACAACAAACAACATGTTTCGAACGGGCGAGCAAGCAACACACGGCTTGGCGGAAAGCAAGCAGGCCGATCATGAGTGAGTCAGCACAGGACTGTAACAGCGATCACACGCATTGCACTAGACTCAGAAGTGAGTCGATCCTCTGGCTAGTCCTAGTGCCTTAAGTTGTGAACGCCGTTCGTTAAGGGTGAGCTCGGTAGTGAGTTGATCCTCTGACCGACTCAACCCTTAACTTTCGGTCTCCTGTGGTCCGGGATTATTTTTCACGGCTATACACTAGCGGCGGCAGAATCGGAATCGAAGCCTACACGGATAGCAGCAGAACGTCGGGGTGTCGTCGTCGTAGCACGCACGAGTGCCAACGCACGCAGCAGGACATCGTCGTCTAAGCCTACACGAGCGCCGGCAGAATCCGAGCGTCGTCGTCGTAGCAGCCACGAGCGTCAACGAAAGCAGCAGCACATCGTCACCTAAGCCTACACGACCGCCGGCAGAAACATCCGAGCGTCATCGTCAGCACGAGCGTCAACCCACGCAGCAATAGAATCGGTCGGACATCATCACCACAAGAAGCAAAACGTAAGTGATCCGAAGTCGCTTAGCACACCCAGAGCCTGGCAGAGCAGAATACGCTATCGTATAATAGCTATTCAACGGGAGCGCGGAGAGGCGGATGACGCTACTACGCTAAGGAGTGAATGCCTCGCAGTGAGTCGAACCTCTGACCTGGTCCACGCTTGGCATCGCGGCCGCTGCCACTGCCTTTCGTAATTCCGCGTGATAGTGACGCGCTAACGGGCCACGTAAATCGCTACTCTGTCATAGCACTATCATCGGGTGACGCCACTACAACGCGGAAGACATCATTTTGTAATTGGAAATTGAATAAAGTATGATTTGTAAAAAGAGCCTCACAGTTTACAAATTTATTGTAACGAACCCTGGACACGGCGAGTATACCTCAGCAAATCACAAAAAGCAGGGGCAGCAAAAAGCTTCGTTAAAATATGTTTACACAAGAAGAAATGTTAACGACGGTTGCACCCTTTATACATACAAAAGTAGCTTCTTGGGGAGAAATGGACGTGTGCAAAATTTCAGATCGATATCTTCTAAACTGAATAACTAATTTACGTATATATAGGCATACAAACATTTATATATATATTTTATAGAATCCCCGACGTTTTCTTCTAGGTGTTACAAAGTTCGTAGCAAACTTGAAAAAACCCTGTTCAGGGTATGAAAATATTATTTCGAAAATTACGATGAAAAAAACTATTAAAGACTAAATTAAGAACAAAGCTGTTTTTTTTTCAAACTTTACCTTAAGCGAAAATTGATAAATTGGATTAATAGTATTGAGCTCGTTGAGTATGAAGTAAAGCAAACTGGCCCTTGCAGCTGCTGGTCGATAATATTCGCGAGCTTTGTCAATCTCCTTTGAAGTAATTTTTGCCTCAGCGACCTTAAAGGAAATAACAAATAGATACACTAGAACGTTTTAAAATTTTAAGCAGGCTAATAGTTACAATATTGCATTAAATATTTTAAATATTTTAAATAATATAAACTTATACTTCTAAAATCACCCTTATAATCTTTGACCAATGTGTCGTCTATAAAGCAGAAATACTCTTTTTAAAACACTGAATTTATATCAACCCTCATTCCATCTCGAGGAATACTTACAAGTATACCATAGAGTCAGTCCATTATATTATCACAGTCAAATATGAAAAAATCTTATTAAACACTTTCCGCTTACCTTAATTTCGATCTCAGAAGCAGTACTCTTAGTAGTTTCTAAGTTTTCTACTAAAGCGGTATCACCCAATATATTATCACCTGCCGATGATAACCTGGATAATAAGTCGTCTTCAAGCTTCTTCAGCATAATTTTAAAATCATTTTGTTGCTTTGTTAACTCGGCCTACAATTATTTTGATTAAGTCAAGTGTACATTGTTTTATATACTTGTATTATACTGCATATATACTTTCAAATCTTCCAGATCAGGACGTTCAGCCTTAACAACTTCCGCCAATAGTTGATCCTCCAAGCCGTCACGTGTTACAGTAAAGTTAATCAAAGTGCTTTGTGCTTGCATTTCTGGCTTATAGTGTGGATTTGCTAATTTCGTATGTAATATTAAACGAAAGTTGGAGTTGTACTCGATTTCCTTGTCGCCAATTTTGATCGCTCTGAAAAGCAAATATTTAAGATTTGATGTTAAAGCAGACCCTTAGTAATCTAATCATCGCTGGCGAGAATAATCCAGTTCTACTCAATACTTACTTGCCCTTCTTTATCAGATTTCTACCTAGCAACGAATCCAATACTGGATCTAGGTTTTCATCGATATTCTCGATCAGCACAATGCAGCCTTTAGTGATAGCCAACTCTATTACATCCAAGTAGCTGCGTTGGCCCAAACGTATCACCTTAAGCTCTTCGCCATACTTTTGTTTTATCCATTTGACGCCTTGTAGCTGGTATTCATTTAAATATAGAAGAGGATGGAAAGATTAAAATTCGTATAAATTTAGACAAAAGAATGCAGCCACCTGTGGATCGATCATCAGCGGCCAGCGGTCTGAATTCGAAAGTATAGTGGCGTTCTCAGTTGACATGCGATCGCTGGGCAAACCTTCATTCGTCCATATCGCGATTGTGGTGTCATCCGTTAGCAAGGATAATGGATCTAAATTTTCAGTGGTTGGTATAGGTGGATCGATGCTCTTCAAGAACGGTGCCCACATTTTTTGCATCAGATCGATGCGAAACTGTTTAGTGAAACAGCCCACATATGAGATGAAGGCGGTAATAAGCAGAATATCGCCCGGTAAAGTAATGCCTTGTTTCACGAAGCTTTTGAATTGAAGAAAAATTTACTAAGTAAGTAACATTTAATGTGTCGAAACTACACGCGCTCACCTATTTACCGCTTCAGCCCAGCGTACGTTCTCACTAGCCAGACCATTAACCAGGCGGTTTGCTAGTGCGATTGTAGCTTGTGTAGCATCGGCCTCCTGTTGACAACGTAACTTATCAGCAGTTGCTTGTTCAAAATCCGCAGTTAGTTTTGCCAATTGCTCCTCAAGGTTCTACCATGTATAGCGTGGGTAAAGCATTTGGATAAAAATCAGAAAGTGCCGAGAAATAACTACTCACCGCGACTTTCCTTTTAATGCCTGATAGTTTTTCTTGAGCAGCAGCAAGTTCTGCATTCGCCGCTGCCAAAGCCTTACGCTTCGGCTCGACATCGCAGTATACTTCATAGAATTTGATTATATTGATTACCCAGGCACAGAGTCCCGCAGCAGCACCTGACTTGGAGCGTACAAACTCGGGCTCAAACTCAGGGTCTTTTAGATAGGGCTGTATAGCTTTTATGATTTCCGGATGTATATTCTCTTTATCATAATTGATGAGTGAGTCCAAAAACGTATCCACCTTTGCCATTGAAATTTTCGCTGCTTTCCATGAACGATCTTTAGGCAGTTTGCCACCTGGTGCTAGCAGTACCATAACAGCGGCGGTGACATTTGTTACCGCGCCCGGTGGTGAGCCAAACGATTTGAGTTCTGTTAAGTTTGCCTTGTTTAAAGTGTTGAGTGCATCTTGTGCTGCTGTCAGTGCCGGTTCCGCTTTTAGTAAATCTTCTTCACAGTCTTTCTGTTTTTTACTTACTTCATCGGCGATAAGCGCAACTTTCATCTCCTCCTCATCAGCCACTGCCTTCTCTGTTTGCACCTTTTCCGTTTCGATACCGACGATTTCAATTAGCGCATCAGCAGCCTCATTCTTTTCTTTCAATTCCACTTCTTGTACAGCCAATTTCACCTTTAAATCGGCCACTTGCACAGCGGTGGAACGTAACTTCTCCAAACCATTCTCTAAGCGCACGATCTTACCCTGTAAATCGTCGTGTTTGTGGTTTAATAACTTCAAATACAAACTTATCTGTTCAAGATAACTTTTTGGTGTGGTATAGTTGTAACGTCGCTCAGTTTGTAGATACACTTTTGACATAGCATTCACCGAGGTGTGTACATAGGCCATAAATTTAGCTACCGAATCGCGATGTGTTTCAGGTAAAACTTTATTTAACGACAGAAAGTTCATTGCCACCGAGATGAGTGCTTCTTGTGGCCACTCATGGAACCAATTGATAGATGTGGCATTTATGATAGCTGGGAATTTACGTGAACGTACACGTAACGTAGATCCAACTGGCGAGAAGCAAAGCACAATTTTGAGTTGTTTACGAACGCGATCTATGAAGAATTTCCAACAGTTCTCGCGTGAATCTACCATTCCGGCGCCTTTCACTTCGTTGCGTACTCCAGCTATTATGTTTTCAATTTCGTCATCGGGAAAAAGATCAGGTATTTCGCCCGTAGAAAGCATATCATTGATAAGTACGAGAAAATCTTCACTAGGTATTTGTGCATCGGTCATAAGAAACATAGTGCCAACATTCTTCAAACCAGCTTTCAGATACAAGCCGGAGAATTCGTTCTAAAGCGGAAGAGAAAGAGGATTGTGCGGAACTGGAATGAATAGTTAGGTAAGCGCATACCTTCAGGTCATTTATGCCATAACCCTTTTTCAATTGTATTTGCACCACTTCCAAGCTAGAAATAAAAGCGGCGAGTCGTGATAGTGACTGTTTTCCGCTGCCACCAACGCCGACCAACAGGGCACTGCCACGCGGCGATTCTAAGATGCGATTTATTCTAGGAAGTTGAGGATATTTAATGTCAGTTACATGATAATCGCCAGAGCTCCTTCCTTACCTGCACACATGCATCATAGCGTCCTCGAAGAGCACCAAATTCATTGCCGCCACAAGATCATTGTACGATGCCATTGCTTCCTGAAGGAGTTTGTGAAGCTCAGTCCAGCCCATGACGGGCATGTACTTGGGTTCACCAATTCCTCCAGCGAAATGACAATATATATTGGGTTTGTCAAAAATAACAGATTCGTCAATTTCCTCAAAAGACTTCTTCACTATGTCGTGTTGCATCTTCGTAAAACTGTCGATGTCCTTATCATCGATTAATTTATCGCCGTAGACACGTTGGGTCTCGTGCTGCCACAGGCGTATAAGATCGGATGAGCTAGTCAAGCAATCGGCTGTGCTGAAAAGTAAACCCTGAAAGGAGAGAAAGAGAAATTTATTGCTGGTGTGCACATCTTATATGTGTTTGTAATTCGCCAAATAATAACTCTACACACACATTTTGGTATAAAAGGCGAGTTTTCATATAGGCATCATAAAACGACCACGCTAACCTGAGAGCCTTTAAAGTCAACTATTCTGGTTATTAGACTAATTTAAGCGAGAGGTTCCATAAACAATTAGTCAATACCCGATTCGATTAATCGCATAGGAGATAAAATTGCACAGACCGAATTTCCGCATGTGACTATTGAACCCTCAAACCCACTTAACTGACAGCACTTTTGCCAATTCATAAAACTATTTTGTTGGTATAGCCATTTAGACTAAGTTAGTGACGACATCTAAACGCGCATCTATACACACACGGTCGGAAAGCAATTCAATTAACATAATCTATGAAAAACAGATTTATTCCACCACTTACCTGAAAAACGTTGCTGATATCTCTCAAATTGAATATGTAATGTGATTTTATTGCAGTCGGCAAGAAAATCTGCATAGACTTGTTATGCAGAGCCAGTGTTGCGGCAACAATGTTAGATGTCATGCGCGTCACTATCGGATTAAACTTCTGCTCAGCATTTGCAAAATGCTGTGACAAGATCGTCGAAAAGATCGAAGTGATAGAATCACCACTAGGAAAGCTTACGGCCAACACACAGAAATGCCGCTGGAGGCGAGGATTTATAGTGAAGCTTCCAGCTGTCGGATTCATGCAAGCCACATACTGACAATTGTGTATATCCTTTAAGGACAGCTTATTGCGGTCGTACCAATGTCCATAGTCCAGATGTTGACGGATAATGGTGTGTGGTTGTACGGTGCCATAACAGTCCACTGCCGGCATATTCATATCGTCAATGTAGTAGATAAGCGTCTTATTGCCTGGTGGGCCATAATTACGACCTGCTTTTTTCTCCAACGGCTTCTCCAGTATTTTTTGCAGCATTTCCGAGGTGGTGTAGTAGTTGAAGGGAATCGTAGTGACCGCATAATTCTCATTGAGTGCCTGTAGCTTTTCGTTCACTAGTACAGTTTTGCCACAACCTGCGGTGCCTACCAACATAACAGGATGTCGCATATTCATAAGTAGCTCGAGGAAGAAACGTACGCGTATTGATTCAGAGGTATGCACCAGTACTGCTTGTAACGGTAAATCGGATTCTAATTCAAACTTCGGAATTTTTTCGGTCCACGGTAGGAAGGTTTTAGTTTCTGTATCAAGAAAATAGTCGAACACTGTGCCGCCTATGGAAAGTTAATGAAACCATTTTATTTGTTTTGCTTAATCACTAGCCCAGCTAATAACATGTTATACATACCCTGTGGGAACTTAACGGTTTTGAACTCATTTACCCACCATTTGCTGAATTCGACTCGGTAGTCGATCGCTTGATCCTGGAACATAGCCGATCCGAATGCCCAAACACAAGCAAAAACGAAATACAGTTCATGCCATTCTTTTGGACAATCGGCTGGTGTGTTCGTAGGCGTCAAGAAGCATTCCAACAGATGACATAACATCTGTATGTGTGCCATCTCGGCAATGGGTGTAATTTTCTTAAAACGTGTGCGTATGGTCTCTAATGAGGCCGGTATATATTTATCGAAAAGCATTACCAAATTGGACTTTTCGGATGGTATTTTTCGAGTTTCCACCCAACTGCTGACGTAACTTTAGTCATATAAAAACATAAATTAATTTTGGTAGAAATCAATTGCGCTCCTACTTACGGATTCCAACCCAAATCTTGTGGATTTATATAGAGTATGCCTGCTCTAGAAACGGTTGCTGGAGTGGCTGTTCTCAAATTGGAAATCTCAAAAAGCAAGCGCATCGAAGGTGTCAGCGCAATGCGCTCGTTACTGGCCAAAGTCAACACTTTGTTATCGTCCATAACAGTATTTAAGCTCTCAATCCACATTGGATCGATATCGCCATCGAGCACAATCCATTTGGGCTGATCACCCGTTATGTTTGCTTGATCTCGCATTATAACCGAAAACAAGCCATCCTTCCACTCACGTGTCGCCGGATTGATGATACCGAAGAGTTCATCATTGGTAACAGCTTTTGGATTTAAATCGTTAAAAATCGGTTTTCTTTTGATATTTTGATAAGTGCGTAATAGAGTTTTCCACACTTGTGTCTTGCCGGTGCCAGCATTGCCAACTATGAAAACGGAATGTCGTACTTCTAGTAATTCCTCCAGCTGTACAACTTTCAAGATAAAGTTGTCTTCGGGTTGTAGTAGTAAATCAGAGGCAGCCTGTTTAACTGTGCGTTCGAAGTCTTGATCACGTTTCCTGGGAACATCCAAAGCGGGAAACAAATCGCTAATGAGACCCATAAAAACTGGCATATCATCTGTGACGATCTTCGGTATATTGAAATCACGTAAGGCACGCATGAGTACCTCTTCCTCAGGTCGGCCGGGATCACCTCGCTGAAATTGGCGAAAAATAGAAATTTAATTTGAAAACTAAAAATATTTACACAGCACCCCATTTCTTACCTTAAGCGAACCTGCAACTACCAGCACGGATTTGATTGCTCTTAGTCCCCAATCGTAGTGATCCTGTTTGGAGAGCAGTTCTTTGCATAGTGTGTAGAGCGTAATAAATTTTCTGGCCAATACTCGCGCATCTTGGAAACCTTCAGCTACCAGCATAATTTCACAAATCAACTCAAAATCTGGTACAACCATAGCGCAGGGACGAAAGAGTGCTTTTAGGTTCTCCGGCAACTCTGTACGGCCAGCATAACCGGGATTCATGGTTATGAATATACCCACCGTGGGCACACAACTTATGATTTCACCCATGAAATTGAATTTTTGCTTCTTGTCACGTATGGCATCTTGCACAGACTTCACCTGCACAGCTACAACGGAAAGCACCTCCACAGTGATGCGGTTAAATTCGTCGAAACAGCCCCAAGCTCCAGTTTGGGCCAGTCCTTTATAGATATTACCACACGACTGATAGTCCATTTGTTCCGAACAATTGAAAACGTAGACCATAATACCTAGAGCGCGACCTAAATCTTTGGTGGTTTCGGTTTTACCGGTACCCGCCGGACCAGCGGGGCCACCACCCATAATCAAGTGTAGCGATTGAGTCAGTGTGATATAACAGCGATCGGTAAGCGGTGTGATAACAAGACGTGGCGTATTACCCAAATATTCGTGTGAATATTGAAACTCTGCGTCGCAAATGTTGGCAAAACAATCTCTTTCACCCTCATCATAACGATGACGTAACTGTGATTGCCACATGAATGCCGAACCCGAATCCAGTTTGGCTTGGATCATTTTAGCGACAACATCGCGCGAATGTACATCAATTGTGCATATGGTCATTATCTTTTGGCGATCTCCTTTGGTTAGCTCGCCCAACAGTAGTGTGATGAGCAAGCTCAACTGAGAGATCTGTTTTTTGTAATAGTCCTTGATGGCATTATCGTAACCTTCCTCCAAACGACCGAAGGCAATGTTCACCTCAGTGGACCACCAAATTTGTGATCCACAAAGTGATACCTGTGCAGGATAGTCGAATAACCATTGTTCACGTTGCTTTTCCTCATAAGCGACAACAGCTTCGGAAACGTAATGACGTAGCGAGGCACGCATGGCCGCTTGGATGCGATTCAGCCACACCTCCACCGGGCCGCGTATACTCGCCAATTCATTGAATTCCACATATTCACCATCTTTGGCATACATACCCGAAGCTGTGTCGATTTCGTTCGATTCGTCGCGATTAAATTTCAAACGTGCTATCGAATCAAAAAGTTTAGTCAAATGTTTGGTGACCATCTCTGGCTGAATACCATTGCTCAGTACATCAAGCAGATCGGCCGATGATACAAAGTAGAAACGAGGAAAAGCTAAACGTTTCGTTTCCAAATACTCTGCCAGTGCCTTCTCACACAATGTAAGCTCCTTTTGCAAATGTTCCAAACGTTCAATCAAACCCGGTCGATTTGTCGACGCAACCACATTCGACGATACGGACATTTCGTCCATTAATATGCGAAATTCAGCGTCGATGCGATCGAAACGATCCGAGTCGACTGGCAATTGTTTACGTATGTCTTCGGAACTCATGAAGATACTTTCTAGATGGGTCCAAGTGCGTTGCACCTCAAACCAGACGGTAATCACCTGATCGGCTACCATCAGTTTGTTCTGCCATGTTGACACCTCCTCAAGGAAGTGCGCAATGTACTTCGATGTTATCAGATTTTGTAAGCAGACCTGATTATCTTCGAGAGTCTCTATGAGTTCCTCCGATGCCTTGAGGAGATTACAGCCAGTGCGTGGATGGAGTTCATGATCGAATTCCATCGCAGACCAAGTGGTATGTAAGTCGCGTAGTATTTTCTCCATTGACATTTCTTTCACCGCTTTATCGACGATATTCTTCACCTCCTCCTCACATTCATGCAAATTTAGTCCCAACAGCTCGGCGAGCGTCGTTTCATGATCCATTATGAATTTCACCTGAAAGTTCCAACGTAGCGATAAAAAATCGTATATTAGTTTAATATATTAAGCATTAGTAACATACGACATATAGTTTTATACTGTGGTACTAGATCGAAATATACAAAAATATTGTGCGAATTTTCCTATTCAGGTCTTACTACGAAGGATATATTAAATTATTTGCATGCCATGCAAGTGCAAATATCTGGGACAACACAAACATATACGAGGGCGGGGTTTATTTACACAGAACTTACCGTTATGTCCTTTGGTAAAGCGGCTAGACTCTGTAAAGACATATTATTTACAAAATGAAATGCACAGAGTATAAAACTAAGCTTATAACTGCTTATACCATACATAAGTTTGTACACGGAAGAGCACTTTTAAGTCGTTAAATGTATGACACCAATAACAGGTGGGGCGAATAATTTATACAAAAAAGATATGTGAAAAGGCGGTATTTTTTGTATTGTCCTACTTCAGAGGCGAAATTGTTAAAACCCTCTTAAACGCAGCAAGTCAACAAAGAAGATGATCCGATAATTGAATTATATCTCTCTTGAATAGTGGAGAGTGATTGAGATCGCGTGCCGTATGGCGAGAACTCCTATGTATAGTGACCGGTTCAAATAAATTTTTTAGTGTCACTCAGTCACTTCTTTGTTTGTACGTGGTTGATCAAAAAGTAAAAATTTTAACAGCAACCTTTTATCAATTTTATTTAATTTAAAGAGGTTTCTATCAGCGTTTGAAAAGTATTGGGCAACATTTTAAATCTTTCCGAAAGTCAAACTATCAACAAAATTGAACGAAAAAGTCTTTCCTGTTTCTTCTGATAGAAACTAGACGATCCACCAAAATTTATGTTTCAATTTAACAATGTTCCATATGTTCCATCTCCTAATGATAGAAATTTTTCAAGTATATTCAGCGCTATTAAATTTGAAAACCGCATCTTAAAAAAAAAATCTCTCTACAATTACATAAACTTAAAAATGCTCTCACGCTAACATAAGGTGTGTTATTTAAAATATTTACAAAGAATTTAAAACATAAGATATCAGATTAGTGACTATACAAATCGTGCTCCTCTCTCGAAGTTATAATAAATTATATACAGATTTATAAATCTTCAATTGAGAGTAGCACATGTGCATGAAAAAATTGTATTAGAAAATTTAGGAGAAAATCGTTCGACACATATTTACAGTGTTGGATTGATATAAATAAGCGCATTTATGTTCAGAGTAACGTTCACTTTGTAAAGTAAAATAACCTTGGTGGAGTTCATAAGTTGATTCCAGTGACGTTCACGTATGGCTGGATTCTGCAATTCACCAACCGCTCGCAAGGAAGTTAGCATATTCTTGACAGTGGATTCCAAATTTATGAATGTATCCCAGGAGCGCATTTCCTTGTCCAATAGACGTATATCCTTGGCGAATTTTTTACATTCAATGTCCATATTCTCCACATCTACTTTGCGCCATGGCGTCGTTTTCCAATCTTCGATGCAGGTCTGTACGATGTATACATAGTCCCACAATTGCTGGTTGGAGATCATGTAAATATTTATTTAGTATAATGTTGCAGATGAAAATTGTAAGAAATTTTCTAATGTGCGAATTATACAAAATCGTTTTCTCTTATTGTTTGAGAAATTATTAACAAAATTCAAAGAGTCCACACTGAAATTTACCTGGTATGTTTATATAAATGATTCAGTTTCTTTTAAATGTAGTGCTTTAAAGTACAAAAAATCTTATCTACACAAAATATTTTATTAAAGTTAGGTTTTAGAAGGTATATCATAATATAATTAGAAAAAATTGTACTTATATTTTTTAGAATAATTTTAAATTTTGGTATGTAATAATATATTCAAAATCAAAATCAAATAAAAATATTAAATCCTACCCCTTTATTGATTGTTTTTCTGTTTTTGTGTTAAGTGTCGCGCTAGAACGAGATACGATTTTTAATTATCCAAGATTAGAATAAAGTAAGAACTTAATAGTCTTCAAATATCAGGTATTTTAAAAATCTTTAGACATTCCACGAAATACCACCGATTTTATAATAATTGTCTTTATTAAAAATTATATTGAATTATGATATTAATAACAAAATAAAATAATTATACATAATTTATTTCTGTTTTCATTAGGACCAACCATTATTCGAATAAAATCTTCCGTCATTACAGTACTCCAAATGGCATCTAAGTTTAAACCTTTTCTGAAAATCGCCATTTTTTTCGCTTATGAAAAGTTACGTACCACGATCTATTAACTACAGAAACTTGCGATTCAATATTCTTTTTGATGAAAAGTATTATGAACGTAAATGTCATAACTATTCAAAATGCAAAAGAAGGCTTCTAAAAAATGCTGCTCATTGTTTTCATTGTTGAAAACATTCAAAAATGTAGTTAATATATATAAAAAATATTTCGAAACTGTTTGTAAAATGTAAGTGGTTACCTTTAACATTCGCAATTCCTTGCGACATTGCTTCAGTGCCTTGAACTCCGGTATATTAACCTCAAACAAACTACCCGATTGTTGTATTTCACGCATTTCGCACTCCAGCCGATATATGTCTTCATTTATACGATCAATCAACAGATAGGGCTCATTACAATCAAATCGGAAGAATTTGTAATGTCTGAAAATTTCCCGAAATAGTTGTGTATGTGTCTCAAATTCGGTCACCTTATTGCGTATGCGCACCACCTCGGTGGCCTGCAAAGGCGACACTTGCTGTTTTACAGTGGTTGCAATCTTTTTCGTATTCACCCACTGTTCGGGTAGTTCTTGTAGTAACACATTCACCTCTTCCGGTATATCCATATCGAAGTACTTCAGCAATTGTATGGTCTCTTGCATGGGTTCGAACATATTGTCCGTTTTGACAGCGCGCTCCTTTACCTGCATCAAAAAGGCCATAATGCTAACAAGTCCATCATAATCACCTTCCTTGACGGTCTGCAATAAACCCTCATCGGCCTTGCGTATGAAACAACTCAAATCCATGAGATTATTTGTAACAGTATTCACCAGATGTTCCTTAAACATATTGCCCCATTTGCAAACTGTATTCAGCAATGCCTGCCTGAAGGGTCGTACGTCGACTTGAAACCAAGAATTGAAAATTTGAAAAGGTGCAATATCTTCGATTTCATTAAATAACGATTCGTAGTTATCGATTTGTTCACGGAACGCCTCGATTGTGGGGGCACATGGTTGCGGTGCACTCGGTTCTTTCATCAATACCAAATCGATTTCGTCTACATCCAAAATGCGTCCATATTCAAGAAAATACTCCATACATTCATGCCGATCGTCTAGCCAGAGATAGGAGTAACGTTCAAATTGGCGACAAAACAACGATGCTTCTTCCATAACACGATCAACACCGTTCAAAATCTCACGACGCATATCAATTATATCTTGGTTTTCCTTAACCATATCACCATAATTGCGTTTCTCATTTTTCTTTAGACGTTTTATTAATGTGGCCATTTTCATTATGTCGCGCATTAATTCGATTAACATGTTATTAAAACCCATCGGGTCTTCGGGATTAAGAGAGGGCACAAACACCAAGTTCGGTTCTACCAACTCTAAACGGGATTCGAAAAGTGGCGCGCAATTATTATCCGGGTCCATGTTCTCTGCCAAATAGCCAACACTTACACCTACGGTCTTCAATATATTCTCATAGACAATATTGTCTACAAAGTCTACATAATTCAACCAAATTCCATCTTCTTGTCTACTTTCCATATTAAACTGAATCACGTTGTCTTGCAGTAAGTTGTGTATGTCTACAGAAGCGGCTTGTATTTCGGCATAACGTTTCGCCGTGCGATCTGGACGCTCTTCAATACTAAGCACCGTATCCTTTTTGGAATCCTTCCGTTCGAAAAGTGGTTGCTTTGCCCAAACGGACATCAGTTGACTGATTTGTTGCAGATTACTTTGTGTGTGATGCATACGATTTTGTAAAGCTGCGACCGGTGTACGTAACTTGTCCAGATATGTTGTAATATCTGCAGAAAAATACAATTCAGGTAAATCAAGAAGTTGAAAATACGACCACATGTCACGACAACTTATAGAAGGAGAAGCCAGTTGAATACAGTTTCAGGAAGGTATCGAACAAATTTTTAAAATTTAAATTTAAAAAAGTATTATTTAAGATATCCTGTACCTTGAATATCCCATTTTGATAGGTTAAATCATGACTGTAATAAAAATATACCTAACGTATATCCAGAAAATTGATAGACTTAGCCTACATAAACTCTTCTCTTCTTGGGATTTAGGTTAGAGCAATAAGCTGCTCCAACAATAATGTTTAAAAGTTCCCACTTACGGCTGTCACAAGAGAAGAGTTCAACAAGACTTATCCGATATCGAAATCACCAAGTATCGTAAAGGCTAGGCATTTCAGCTATTCAAAACTTTGATACAGCCCATTTTTCTGTATATGTGCAAATCGATTCTATACATTTAAAGCAAACCAAGTGTACCATACCAGTTTTCGAGAGAATGCAATGTAGTTTACAAGTGTGTCACTGAACAATTACTTTATCAATATTTTTTTACAACACTTACCTTCGGAATTCCACACTAACTCATTGACACCAATCTCTACCAAATCATCGATTTGTTTAATCTCCGATTCGATCAATTTCAGTTCAACCGGGGAACTATTCTCTTGTATAGAATTATACCAGTCGATGGTTTTTTCTAGATTCAAAGTGTACGTGCGAAAAATTTCGTTCTTCTCAGCGAAATTTAAAGCGATCTCCGGTATACCGTCGACAGCCATTTGCTTCAAATAGTGCACCTCGCGCAGAATACTGAAGAGTTCAGGGCTGAAATTCAATATTAACGAATTACTATTGGGATCACGTGCAATTAACGAAACTTTCAGATTCGTTTCGATTTGTTCGGGCAATTTTTCACTCCATTCGTCGAAGGCACAGGTTTTATGTATGCCTAGGCGACGCATCAATCGTTCGTAACGAGTAAATATATCCTCAGCGATTTCAGACTTGGTTATGCTGTGATACAAAATAACGAATTAGGAATAGAAGTATTGATTTTTTGTGAAATATTTATGTCTATTTGGTTTCGAAAACTAAACTCACTCATGTTGTAGTTTTTGAAAATTTGTAACTGGTGTGCTGATACGGGCCTCCAGTTGGTTACACCAGCGTATAAAGGCGGCTACCGGTGGACAGTTGTAATCGGGATACAAGTTCTTGTTCATTTGTTGCAAATCAATTTGTTTGTAAAATATATCCTCACACGTAGTCATTTCCACTTCGAGCATTTGAACGATCTCTGTGTACCGCTGTGTAAATTGCTCTTTGATTTTAGGGCGATCGATTACGCTTCCCACAATATTTATGAGCTAAAAGTGAAGAATATCAAAATATATCAAAAAACTTACCATTTTTCATAAAAACTTCCTACCTTGAACATGCTCTCCAAATTGTGGCAATCATCGAATGCTTGACACAATATCGCAGCCAGTTTCATGTCCAACTCAAGAATGTGTGTTTGAAAATTCTCAAAATCCTCATCGAATTCATGATCGTCGGGATCGAGCACATCATAAGACTTGGAGGCAAACGCCGTGAAATATTGATTGAACTCCACATATACCGCAGTGATGCGTGTGCTCAATTGCCGTCCGCGTAGACCACCGATTTCAACTTTCTCTAACTTCAAGAATTCAATCACAGTAAAGAAAAACCTAAAACCAAAAAAGTTTGGCATATAAATGTGTATGAAAGAGCTTATGCTATAACTTACCATTGTATTGTAGTTAAACGCTCCAAAAATGCATTAAAGCGATTGAAGACGGAATTTGGATGAAAGGTCCAGGGAATCGGTGGTCTCTCCTCTGGCGTGGGAAAGAATTCTGCCAAATTTTCCTTGTAGTGATCGTAAAGCTCACGAAAGAATTTCAATATTTGTATAGATTGTGTGAGACGTTGCATTGCCTCATCAATATCGCTATGGAATATCGATGAAGGATCGAGATAACGCTTGGCCTTAAAGAGGAGTACAATGTTGAAGTTAATTTTAAATGAAACATTTAAAATGCTGGAATTTATGCTCAATAGGATATTAGCTACAATGCATGGACGACCTTTTTCTTAATTTTGGTGGGCGTCTTGATATAATCCGATAAATGAAATGCCTACAAGATATTAAAAGATACTTTTTCATCTCAGGAGTATAGTCGGGGGATATGGCCGAGCCGGCGTGACTTTTATTTGGTAACTACATTTAACTGCAGAAAATGTCAAGAGCAAGGCTCCAGGTAAACAATGGATCATCTCTTGTGTACTTGTCCCGCATTAGCAAGACTTTGCTTAAGGCATTGGGGGCCCCACGGTGTGAGACACTGGAAGAGGTATCGATAATGAGGTAATAGAGTCTATTGAAATTCATTTCAAGTACAGGCATCCTAAAGGATGACTACTCTTCATTGGCTCCGTAACTGAACTCCGTCTGGTATCGCAAAGGACCAAAACTGGTCTATGCGTGGCTTATTAGCCTACCAGGCTAACCTAATCTAACCTTGATATCCCAAAACAAAGGTGGAAGATATCTCGATGTACTCTAATTACATTTAGTATTCCGTCAGTGGCCTAGATAACAATTTGCCAAAGGAAGGCAAGTACTCATTGAATCACTTAAGTACGCGATATAATAATTTTACATTTCCAAAACTCTTCACTTACAGGAATATTAGCTCTTTTACTACTGACCTGTTGGATAATGAGATTACACAATTGTTTCAGCAAAACCGTTATTTTTGAAGAATTGCTGTAATAACGTGAGTTACCCCACATTGTACAAATCACATACATTAGTGGAATTAATAACGGTTTACATTCGGCAAAGTCAATCTCTTCCAATTGTTGTATAGGACGTTTCAATGGATTAAGATAGAGAGTGATTTCTTTCGCTTCGGCTAAAGCTGCAACAAAATGATCAGTCCCATGAATTTGTTTTACAAAAATACAACTCTCTTCCTTTCTTTACCTGTTACAACGTTTTTAAATATTCCTTGAAAGCATGGATGATATGCGCTATTAGTATATTCTAATACCAAAGCCATTGCACGTATACGTTCACCACGCAATTGATCGAATATGAAGGATAAGTTCTTCAAACGATTATTCCAGAAGGCGATTTCTTTAAATTAAATATGAAAATACGGTTATTCATAACATTGCAGTAAAGTATAATTAAATATAAATTAAGAGTTCATTTCAAGGGGTGACAGAAATTTAGGGCAAAATTTTCTTTAAATCTTTATTTTATTTAAATAAAATATAAAATAATTTATAAAATTACTTCATTTATTTCATTTGTATATAATATACTAAAAAAGTCATAGTTTTATACGGTGGATTGACGGATATAGATGCATTAGATTTATGCAACGAAGTACAAGCTATTGTCGGAAAAATTGCTAATAAAACTACACCACTGGACGTTTTGCATTATAGGTATTATATTTGTTCAAACGAATTAATAGATATCGTTCTAAATTTATTTATGGCAGTACGGGTGTTGCTAACACTTCCTGTGTCCGTAGTTAGTGAAGAGCGCAGTCTCTCTAATTAAAGCCCCTATTACGGTTTTCAACCCAACTGCATTTTGTTTGGAGTTTGTATAATAGGTATTATCGATATCAACTCAATCCGTCAAAAAAAAATATCGGTTGAAGTGTTGTCAAACTTTATTACGATTTTCAGCCCTGTGTCAGTGGGGTTGACTAGAGTATAAAAAACTCGACTACTTTCAAACAGTTGTAGTTGAACATTACTGCGTTAATTTAGGAAAAATATTTTGATCAGTTTTTTGGTATAAATACATACGTATTCCTAGGAATGTAATTTTTGAGTAAAACTAGATTTTTGAAAAGTTGTGCTCCTATTCAGTCATTTATGTTTTATCCACTACGCACAAAAACGGTGTTTACAATATTTAAAACCTTCTTATCAACCATAGGTATCGTAGTCAGCCCAGCTCAAAGTTGAAATTATTTAAAATGCATTCCTGATAACTACCGACAGCAAAAATAAGAGAGTTTGTGATAATGTTCCCTCATCTAATTTAGAAAAAAAAAACTTCCTTTTTTAGACGAGAATAACTTATGAATATGCAACAAACCATGTTTAAAATCATTTAATTGCCAGTAAAACTTTGGCTTACTTGGTGTTAGGGAGTTCAAATAGACATCAGTTTTGGCCCAAATATTTTTAGTATTTCCATCGAAAATGTAAAAAATGGTTGAATTCGGATTATATATTCGGCCACTACCCATATAACAGTTATCTTGAAAACTACTAAAAATGCGATAAATCAATAAATAAAAGCTTTAGTAACACTAAATTTTGCACACGAGATGATAAAAAAAGATCTATGGGAGCCGGTATAAAAATTTGACAATGTGTAAAACCCACATCTCGGGACCTACTTGACCTTTGGTTGGTTTCCTGTTATGTTTTTCTATATTGCCGTGCGGAAATGGGCGAAATCAGACAAAAACCACGCCTACTTCCAATATAACACAATTTTACATTCCATCTTTCACTTTCCAGTATACAAATCAAGAAGCAATCGATGTATCGGGATAAAACTTTGAAAGCATAGTGGTGGCATCTTATGACCAAAACTTGTTCAAATTGGACAATACTTCCGTTAGCCACCATATGATGTAAAATCTTCCCTTTGACTTTATACCGCATATCGGTCAATATGTGGGTTATATTAGTCTAATTAGAGAGCGTGTTTTTCTAATAACGGTGCATCTTTGTGAATAAAATGGATAAAATCGGGTGAAACTTGTCCTAGCCCCATCCGTGAAAGGTGTAAGAGTATAAAATTTTCAGCTGTTTAATTATCTGTCAGAGTTTAATTTTCAGGTTGGCAACACCAATGAAACTTCGACTGAAAATAGTTGAACTGCTTAAACTTCAATTTAACCGTAATAAGGGTACATGTTAAACATTTGGAATATGATTGCTTTTTTAATAAAATTACCTTATGATTGTTCGTAAAGAACTTGAACTATACTCGCTATGCACAAAAGATATCTGATCTTTTTTATAAAAGTTTCAAATGATGCACGCTCATATTTTGGCTACAAAGGCCTTAACCTAAAGAAGCCCTGAATTCAACCAAACTTAGACTATGGACAGACTTGTCAGACTTCAAATATTACATGCTATGGAACGGATTTAATCACAGTTTCAACCTATTGGGAGCAATTCCCGAAAGTTGCTTTCCAAAAAGTAATATTAACTGGTTACTTCGTAGATTTATCTACATTAGAATTTTGTAAGTGAAGTTAGAAGAAAAGAAAAGGCACTGGGAAGATATGCGTAATGGTTAACGAAATTTTTGTCAAAAAATATCATATATCGGCAGAAAGCATACCAAAAACACAATGAATTAAAATAAAGTAAATTCATCTCTTAAACTCTATGGGTGATGTCTTGTTCATAAATTAAGACCATATTATAATGTTTGTCCAAATATCAATCCAGCGATTCCCCCAAATCAAGGATCGATCATAGCAAGAACGTACTCGTACATACATACAAGTACATATAATATATCACTTCTGAAAATAATGCTTTCATACTCACCAACTTGCGGTGTAGGGTTTTGACCATTTTGAAATGCATTCGATGGATTTTCTTTGATGACTTCGTGTATTTGTTCCGCCCACTTGATGACCACACCCTCAATAGCACTTTTCAAGTATAAATCGATAGCTATGCGTCGTGAATTATTTAATTTCGCAGCCAACTTAACAATCAATTCCACACCCACTGGCATTGCAAGTATTGTCTCACCACTCACTTGCCCCTTCACCTGATGTACAGTGCTCTTCAAACTGTGGACATGCTTTTGCACATCCTGTGCAACCATTGTGGGCCATGACTTGTAGTTCACATCATTGGAGAGCAATGGTACAAGCACCTCCTCGACCAACGCGGACAGCTGATCGATGGTGCGGGTAGCCAAGTCACCGTAAATGATAAAATTACTACAGTCCTCACGTGGTACAGGCTCTGGATGTTTCTTAATGAAATACACTCCTTTACTTTTTAATTGTGAGAGGGGAAATGTAGTGGATGGTAACAGCTGTGCAGCTTGTGTGAGTATAATAATTAGCACCATGGGTACCGGTCTATCGAGAAATTCTTTTATTATAGCTTTGTGCTCTTCCACTGTTATTACACGTGTCCATTTTTCGGGTTTCAATTTCAGTGATTTGATAACAAAAGAACCCATCAACTCAAGGCGTGGATCTGGTCCTACCACTGCAGCGGCTGCGGCCTCTGCGCTGGTAGAAGGTTCCATTGTCAATAATTTCTGTGGAAATTACGACCTTGGAATTGCTGAAAAGGTGAATAATTATGTCTTAAGAGAATTTAGGCAAATGCGGTCAAAAAACGAAAAGTAATAATAGTGAAGAAGACATTACTAGACTCGATATTTCAAATGTTACATCCTACGTGGGTTGTTCCTCGTATATAGCCAATCATGTTCTTATTCTAAAACGTACGTTTCTCGCTATATGACCATCTTTTGGAATTTTCAAAATCTAAGAGATTATGTCTTCATACAGCTTTCAGTTAATTCTAAGTACTCGATTAAGATCCTTAATTAATTGATTTTGGGCTTTATAGAGCAGTTATAAAATTCGTTGCAAAAGTAAGCATTAAGGAAGACCTTTTATTAGTAAAAATATATGATACCAATTTTAGTTATGCAATGTAATCAGTAAAACTTACAAACGTACATGGCTAAATCAACTCAGACATATATAAGTGATTATATACTTTAAAGGGTTTTCGACATTTCCTTTTGGATGTTACCAGCTTAATATTTTGTGCAGCCACCTTGGTTATAAGCTATTTCATAAATTCATTCTTATATGAATTTGTTCAAACTTTCGAGAATGGAATTTCAGACCAGACCGCTTTAATGCTTATAATTAATTACTTCTAGTTTCAAATTGTTGCCCATACTCATAAACTTTAAAAGTAAGCCCTTCCCATAAATTTTCAATAATGTTAATGTCCGTTTCGATAACGGTATCCCGAAAATTTCAAAGAAATTGAAAATCTGCAATTGAGTGAGTTAGTTAACACCATTGGCATCTCAAAAGAAAAAGATTTTTCAACATCGTTCAAAGAAACAAACGTGTTCGACTTTCAAGTATCAATCTAGCACTGATCAAAGGGAATATGGAGGAGTTTCTGCGCCGATTTATAACAATGTATGAAACACGCACATGTTTCAAAGGTCGATATCAAAGGTAGGTCAAAGAATTTCACCACATATAGTTTAAAGTAAGTATTAAAAATGTGAGCTACTACTGATACTATTTTTTATAAATATTTTCAAATAAATTTATAATTTGTTTAAACGTTTAATAATATTTATAAATGTATCTATCAATTTTACAAGTTATACATAATTAGCTTATTTTAACCGAAAACTAATTATTTGTAATGAAAAAATATTTATAATTTAATTATAGCAAATTTCAATAATTTTTAACTTATTTATTTACTTTTATATTTATGAATCGTTTAAAATATTTCTTTCGGGTTATGTAAGCGCTTACGTAACCGAAGAGCTATTTTTAAAGATCAAATTCTTACACATATTATTTAAACACATTAAATTCTTGACAAACTCTATTTTTAATGCTTTCCACACTGTCAAAATAATTTTAAATACTTTATTTTTAAATCAGTATTTAATTTTTTACCTTTTTCCACAAAAAATTTCTCACAAAATTAAATTGTAGGCACTACTCATCTTCAATATCCAACTTAAGAATGATGCAAGGATTACTATCTATTTTCTTGGTACCAGTCGGTGAGAAAGTTCCCTTCAATTGACAACCATCGAAAAAATAACCGAGCCTTAACAACCGGGCCACACACACCTTCAGACAAATGCAATTCGATAAACATCAACATAAATATTATTATTTGACAATATTTTATTGCACGCTACCAAATTACTTGCAGGTTGATCCATCGCTACGAAAATGGCTCACTGTATCTATTTGATATATGAAAAATATTAGCAAGTTAATTTTCCAAATTGTAAAAAAAAATTTAAGTTTAAGTTATTTTAGCAAAAGTTGTAAAATTCATCTAAGGTGATTTTTTCCGGAATTATTTTAATAATTTTGTAGTATCAATATCTTTTAAGTAGGGTACGTATTATATATTGTATGCACTACTTAGTATCTACAAATAACCATATTAAGGGTGATTCATCTGGATATATTTCTAATTGTAAATGAAGACATATAATAGAGCTGGTTGTCAAAATCCTTTTAAGGTTATTAAGGTTGAAAGGAACAATCTTTTTCAAATGTTGGCCGCCACTACGTTACAGAGCATCCACACAGACGATCCAGATTTAATTAATATTTGCATATTGACTTTTAAATTTTAAATCGATGTTGATTAAGCGATGAAAACGTCTTGATTTCAATCGCCAGAAGAAAATCGAAACTGACTGCTCACCATCATTTCGGATGTCGGTGCCTTTTCCTAATACCTTTTCAGTAAAATGTTATGATCATCATGCGCTTCAGTTCTTATTTTACTATAGTACTCTCTATTGACGGTTATGTTCAGTTACATTATTAAAAGTATAATAGCTGCAGATGGATCACCCATTATATGCAATATATTAGTAGTCCTCCCACTCCATATTAATATATATTACAAAATACTTGTAAATATTTAAAAGAAGTAAAAATGTAATGACCTTGAATAACTCATATAACAAATTTCGTAGCAACATAATGGAGGGTATCATTCCAATATATTCAGTATTTAAGTAGTACCATACATAGTTACTTTTAAAAACTACCGTTACAGCTAACGTTGGAATAGTTGTGGATCCCACTCGCACATAGGAAAAATATTGTTAATTTCTATTATATGAGTATAATTTACAATTTAGTACAAACAATTACTTAGTGAACCAATCTAATTCCCTAATTTGTATTCATACATATTTAAAAATAAATAAAAGTCAATAAAGAAGAAACTAAATTTTTTTGATATGTTTTTCAAAATTATTTTTACTCTTTTTTAATAATATGTATAAGTATACAAGTTCACATAGTTTCTTAAAACATCCGCAAATGGTTAATGGGTATAGTTTGTTAATTTTGCTACCAAATATGCGGCGAGCACCTCCTACTCAAAGAAATTAAATGCTTTATTATTATACTTCAGCTGATAAAAATATAAAAACCGCACTATAATTTTTATTGGATAAAGTATGTTAAACCTCAGAATGGATTAAAGATATAAACAATTTATTTATAAATAATTCATTATTATTATTTGGGTTTATGAAGAACCAGCCAAAGGTCTCACATCGAGCACATTCGCTAAATTGTTTTATTGAAACTGGAGCGAAAAATACATTTATATACACCCGTCTGCAATACAATGCACGAAATTCATGAAATTCCGTTGGGTGACCGTTAATGAAACTGTATGTGTTTTTGAACATTATTATTTTAATTAATAATATTATTTGGATGTCCAAATCAAAGTAAATATAAATTGTTAAACCAAACACTATTTAGTCTACAATACCTCATAACAGAGAAATTAGTCAAATATATTCATTGCACCGCTCTGCATTCTACCTCAACAACTTATTTGCATATAACCAACTGTAGGCCCTCATTTACTGGTTTGATTTTACAACAGTGCACATATATTATACAACCATTTAGCGCAACTCTATATATCTTCCTCTGGCCACCATATAGTGAATAACATTATTTTCTTCCTTCCTTTTTTTAAATCGAATATAATTCAATTACTAAGCAAGATATTGGAATATGATTTTGGATTTAAATTTTTAAGAGTTTCTTAGATTCGGCCTTTCTTTATTACCTTAAATATGTATAAAAAAAACTAATTTAGTATAAATCCACTATTTTTGCATGAAATTAAAGGTTTCGTTTTGCGTATGGTCGTTAGAATTGTTCGATTTAGGTGAATCGAAATTGTTGGAAATTGGAAAGTAATTTTATAATGCCATTCTCATAAAAACCGCCTATTGATCAGGCGTTGTCTGATGGGACACAATTCCTATCCTATTATGACGATTAGATACTTACTTTAGACGGTCTAATTGTTGATAATACGGGTCCGAATTAAGCAGAATTAGGGGAGCAGCATAATATACATTTGACGCGTGCTCAAACCATATTGAGTCAAGAAATCACAAACCTATCGAAAATCTTTTTTAGTTCGAAATCTTATTTTTATAACGCCTTATTGCGTTATACAATGTCACTTGCACAACGCGAGATACAGAATGCTAAAACCATCTGCTGGAAAAATAATGGATTTATTTGTATGATTATGTTATTGTATATCATTCGAGATTTTAATTCTCCTTTTAGCAACTAACATTTCTTTTCACAGGGTTGTACATACAAGTACATGGTTTGTTACATCAATTTGATGACAACTGAATATTAATAGAACAATTAGATTCGGAAAATTACCGAAACTTCCCTAATTGCCCAATTAGGATTGTGTTTTAAACATGACACGAGTTTTAGTCGTATTTGACAGCAAATGTAGTTTTTGTGTGCCATTTTTGTCATAATAAATTTTTTTCATAATTCGTATATTTTAATTGCTAATGCATTTCATTAATTTTTTAGCACAGTCATCGAACCACAAACAACACTAACAACAATGTCTTTCGAGTACTGGCAAGTTTTTAGCTTTACACCTTTTCTTAACATCGAACCAATTACAGCTCCATATAAATAATATGTTGTCAAGGTGATTTATTTGCCAATAAGTTATATTATACGCAATAAACAATAATTCGTATCCTGTTTATTTATATAAACAAACCAAATAGTATAATATATTATAAAATACTCGTATGGTTAACCAGGTAACGGAAATTTTAGCGTCAGACAACTGTTGCACATTGTTGTCGCGGACTTGCCATAGCAACCTTTACATTAGTAAATACATATGTACGAGTATGTGCACTTGAAATCTAGCCAATCGAGTCGTATTGGTATATATGTAGTTTGTGAACAACCTTTGGAAATATTTATATTTACCCGCTTCCACATTTGCAACGCTAAAAATAGCAATTGGAATATATTTTTAGTCGCGCCGGCTGCTATTTTCTTCGACACGCGATGTGAATAAAGTTGTGGTAGGTCGAAATACAAAAGTTTTCAGCACAAAAGAGCAACGTTCACTTCTAAACTTGCTGTCCTTCGATGTGTTCGCGTGACTGAAGGCAATTAGGACACATTTTTCCTGTTTGTAACTGAATACCTGTTGAACTTTCCTACGATAATCAGTTGAGTTTATAATGGGACAAGTGTCGAGTGCTTAGATTACACATCTAATACTTTAGTTAGTAATTGAATTAGACAATATAGATTTGCAACTTGGAGGTCCTTTATCGTTTTGGAGCATGAATATATCAAAAAGAATTTTAACTTGTAAGCATAGAATTGATTTTGATCTCACACTTATCTTATTAGTTCGTACAGGCATTAAAGTATATAAAAATTTTATATAAATATACTTTTTGAGAGAAGCGACTTTTATCCTCAACCATTCATCCAACAAAATAAACTCAGTCAAATATCCGTTAAATTTAAATATATTTAACAGCTAGGAATTATAACAAAAATCCATAGCTTTATTTTGTTCGCAGACATTTTGTCGAAAATCTAATCTGTCACCTAGATACAGTCGGATCTACAAGCGTCTAACTTTCTTGGCACATACTCACCAAGAAATATTGACTATTTTCTCGATTATTTTGCCTTCATGTTTCCTGAAAATTATTAAGTAGCTGATCACTAGATAGGCCTACACTCTTTAACCAACATATACTACTCATATATTCTTTGCAAAAGGAGAGATTTGAGTGGATCGCGAAACTAACTATGAGGTGAGTTTTTTTCTCAGATCTTATTCCTTTTTTTCTAAAAAAATGGTAATAATATTGTTATGTCTATTCTTTATACGAATAGACGAATTTTAAGTTTATTTTAAGACTATTTGTTTTATAATATCTCAAAATTTGATATCAAAAGTATTTGTATAAAAAGTATGGTATGTTTGACCGTTTTGGAACGATTTTCATGATGTGATTGCATAACATCACAAAGTATAGTGGGTATTTCCAACAAAATTTCACGATGGGACCGAAAAAAACTTGTTAAGAAAAAAATAACCCAGTATATATAATATATAATCAAGTTAGTTTCAAATCCCCTCAAAGGCAAAAGCTTGCTATGTAGCAAGCGACATACTTAAATAAGTTGAATAACCGCTTAATAGATTTGCTCACGAAAACTTTACCCTATTATTTACTAACAAAAAGTAATATATATGTAATTATTATTTGTTTTTGTTTACTAACATTTGATAAAAATAAAATCAAGGTTAAAATCAAAATAATAGATATAGCGCTTGCGCTTTAAAGATTCCACCTAAAAGTAAAGGAAGATAATACTTACCATACATGAGTATAAGGAATATCACCTGTAGAATTTTATTTATTTAGTCAAAACAGTTGCACCATAATGAACAGTTGTCATAGCATTGCAACTGGTATATCCACAGGCTTCTATAAACGATTGTATACCAATAAACCATATAAAGTTTGGTAAATGTGATAGTACAAAATAATAAAGAGTTCTATAATCGGTAATTTTTAATTTTCAATTTCCCTGTATACACTCTGCAATAGGAACAAAAGCTTGACCAACTCAAAGAGGGTGTAAGCGTTAAACTATTATTGACATTGAACGAATGGGTCGCCACAGAAACCGCAAAATTCAATTATTACATAATTTGTACAAATTATAGTTACGTATTACTTTCACACAAAAATTCAATGATTTTTATAAAAGCTAGCAAGTGGATGATGATAAATTTAGTCCACTGATTACCATCACTGTCACATTGTCTTACAATGTCTGCTACCTTGAAGTTTGTTATCATCAACGCAAATTTAATCCTCATCATCTTACGGGAGCTGGTCATGGTGCGGGCAATAATTGTAGAGCGCAATCAGCACGCTTACTACAAGCTACCCATAAGACCAATGGAATACTCGCAAGAATATCATATATTGCAGTGCCCCTTCCAAAATACCACAGCTATACCCACACCGGAGAATATGGAGATTTGCGTGATTGTTAACGCTTACAGAGAGGACGTGAAAAACGTGACTATTGCACGAACAGCAAAAACTCCATTACATACAAAAGTTAAATACCAAATGACACGTAGATATCGAGAGAATCCCAAGCGGTTAAGGAAAATACGAAAGATACACCCGTATATGATAGTAATTAGGCCGATACGAATGAGAGCCGAAACAAGTTGCGCCTTGATAGCCAAATCTTTGGCTCAACAACAATCCCCCTCGTATCAAGAACATTTGGGAATTGTGAAGAAGGACAATAGTCGTACGCTTGAGCATAAAATAGCGTTGGATGGACAAAATCCGACCGATCAACGAATGCTCGATACAAAGCTGGGTCATGTTTTCGCAAAAGTCACGCCAATTGCAGAGAATGCGAGCGAGGAAGAAAATACTGAAGCAAACGATCGCAGAAAAGAGGATGAGGATGCCATTAAAAATGACGAGGTCAGCTCGAAAGAATTGTCCGACGAAGAATACCCTGATTATGACACTCGTATGCTAGACAATAAGAGCGTGCCGGAAAACTCGGTGTTAAGATATCTTGGTGCTCAGGCGGCTATCAAAAAACTAAGTCAAAAATACAAAACAGATAAACCTCCGGGTGAGCATACTGAAAAGTTTTTTAAGGAATCTAATAATTATCAAGCTGGTGAAAAAGTGCAAGGCTTTCAAAACTATTATCATAGGGATGAGATTTTCAATGATCACATTTTTTATGATGATCTTCAGCAACATGGACACTACAATGATCGTGGACGAAGACATGAAAGCAACTGAAATGTAATACTGTTTTAGGATATGTTCGAAACTAAAATAAAATAAAAAATAATCTTTAAAATAGAGCAAAAAGGACATAAATAAAAATAACATATTTTTCAGCTTATTAAACCCTTGTTCTAATGACTAAGTTCATGTAATGAAACTTGGTTGGGTAACGATATACTTTTGGAAAATGGTCAACAATTTTCGCAGTAACAACAAAGCGAAAGAGCTCGCCAAACAGTGAATTTGTGGAAGTAGTTCTACAAAAATTAGGCCCTGGTATCAGTCCAAAGGCGACGAGTGTTCAAGACACATAGTAGGAGGAGTGGAAAAAGCAGATGTAAAGATAGAACGGCTACTTGAACATGCGAACCGTTTCAGAGAAAAAGACGACTTCATAACCGCGATATACATAGTTAATCCAATTCCTGACGACTGAATGATAAGCGTCGCTGTAGCTACTAAGCCATGGGCGTCATAGGTTATAAAATACATCTCACGAGAGATTTAGCACATTTACCGCTTTCACAAATCTTGAACGATGATTCGATAATCCTAGGCACAAGACGTATGCTTTAAAACTTTAAAAGTTTTTGGCCAAAAAGGTGCTAAAAAAAGGATTTTGAAAACACAAAATTGTTTTTAACAGGTTTGCGGCTAAGAGTTTACTCTCACAGAATAATAAGGCATAAAATATTTTGAAATTTGTTTAATTTTGTAGACAGAACACAAATTTTTTCCACTCACAAATATTTAAAGAATAATGTTTTAGATTAATTTAGAATTAATAATTTTTATGTAGGAACTTCTAATTTTTATGTAAAATCTTTAAAATCTATATACTCCGAAAAGTCAATACTTGCGATAAAAATCGTCATAGGCCAATACACTTGTTACGTTCGTCAGCAGACGCTTGACTACTCCCGCAACCGCTTCATTTACTTGTGATTCCATGTCCGACCAAAGTATTTTCCAGTTCTCATTAATCATCTGATTCAAAGACTCGCCCAGCTGTTTATTGCCATTAAAGAGATTATCAAATTTCATGACTATTCTGAAAGAATAGATAATTCAAAAAATACTTTTAGTTTCATAGAAGGAAAATCAAAAGTGGATTGGAACTTACAATTCAGGCGTCAATTTGCATTTCAACGCTTTTATCTTCCCATACTGCTTGCCATCTTTACAGTCTTCATCGAACTTCATTTTCAAGCTAAGTTTGGTGTTCTTCAACTCTATTTTCGCATAACCTGTTGCATCCATTGGCAACACCAACACCTTTCCACTGGAGACATACTCTCCATCCACTACCAAATTCGGTATTGTAACGTAGGTTTCGAATTTTGAATTGAGCAGATCCTTTTCAAATCCCACCACACGTTGTACCGTTACATTTCGTATACCGTGCAAATACATCTTTTTGAAAGACAAATTTAACGTAACTGTCGATTTCTCTTTTGCTTTTGTAATAATAACATTATTGAGTGATAATTTCTCTATGTCAGTTAGACCAATTTCAGGAATTCCATTGGTATAATTTTGCAAGAGATAGGGTAAAATTTTTGCAATACAGTCCACATCGCCGGCACGGCATTTTTCGATTTCTGGCGCTAGTTTTAGTGTATAAAAAGACATACATATCTACATATTACATGACGGAAAATATTGGTAGTTTGTTACAAAAAAATTTCATTTTAACCGATATCTGTAACTTAGGTTCCCAGATATAAGTATTAACTTTCACCATTTGTATATTCTATTAATAATGAATCCTTAAGTCTAAATGATATTTCCCTACGCTGTTATTCCTTCACAACAGCTTCAGAGTATTATTATTTAATAAACTCTAAGATAACGCATGGTTATTAACGAGCAGATATCGTCAAAGCATTTGAACCCTTCCATTTTGCCACAATCATTTTTTTTAAACAAAAAGTTTGCATAATTTATCCCTTACTGATAAAAAAAAATTCGAACAAAACTATATATAATACCTCGCCAAATAAAAAAGTTTTCCATGCAAGCACTTTATTCCGATTTATTCCAATCGTTCAGTTAATATAGAAGCTATATGCTATAGTCATCTGATCTAAACAATTTCCTCGGGGATCGCATTGTTGCATTAAAGAATAATCCATGCCAAATTTCGTGAAGATACCTCATAAAATGAAAGAGTTTTCCATACAAGCACTTAATTCCGATTGTTCAATTTGTAAGGCAGCTATACGCTATAGTGGTCCGATATCGGCCGTTCAGATAAATGAGCCGCTTCTTAGTGAGAAAAAGACTTTTGCAAAATTTCAGATCGATAGATTAAAAACTGAGGGACTAGTTCGCGTATGTACTGACGGATGGATAGACGGACAAGTCTAAATCAACTCAGCTCATCATGTTGATCATTTATCATCCATATCCATATCATATATGTCTATATTTTAGACTCGCGGCAAACTTATTATAGCCTGATTAGTATATAAAAAAGGCTATGTTAGACTTTAATAATATCTAACCAGACGATTTAGGCTTCAAGGAAAAAATTTAAAATCTAACAACAAGGCAGGATTAAGATCCCAGTAAGGTATATGAGGTATACATTTTTCTATAATAATAATCAGTTCTGAACATTTTCGACACTCGATATTTTCAAAATTTACTTACGCAAATCGGCTTTCGTATATACACCGCAAATTCCAAAAAGATATAGTACAGATAGGAATTTATAGCAGCTCATCATATAATTAACAATTGTATTATTGTACGAAAATATTATTTTTTAAATACGCAACTTACGCGAATGAATATTTTTAACGAAATGATCTAGATACACTTAAGTTTCATGCCTTTTACTGTTTTATTCTCAAATTAACATTTTAACTATTAAATTGAGAGGTCATACGAACAAGCTTAAATGTTTTTTTCATGTGAATTTGTAATATATTTATGTACCATTTCCGACTAAGTAAATAAACGAAAAAAATTTAACTTTTTGATGCAGATTTTAAACACTTGCGAACTTTGACCATTTACAATTGAAGTGTTTATCACAAAAAATTGCCAACTTCTAAAATTTGTTTTTGTTACTCAGCAAAGACATTGTCGTGGAATTGAATCATGCGAAAAATATTAATTTCATTCATTCATTTATTATAATTAACTACAATTATATTTTATCCTATAATAGGCTACGAAGTGTTAACGTTCTGTAGAGAAAAAAATATAGACTTTTTTTGAAGTAGAATATCTCAAAAAGTGGTCTGATATCAGCGGTTCTGCTCCTTGGGGAGAAAAGGTCATGTATTACAAGTAGATTATCCCCTAAGTGCACGTAACGCGCAAAACATTTCAATCGCATTTTTGAATTTGCATGAAGCCTTTCGCAATAGATTTGCTGCGTAAAAATGGGTTTTAGGAAATCTTTCTTTAACGGGATCAGATGAAGCTGAACTGGCAGCAGAAAATGGGAAAATTATCGCAATGTTTATGCAACCAAACATTACTCCCCTCATTCAACCGATGGATCCGAATGCAATAAAAATCACAAAGCTGCACTACAGAGACCACCTTCAAACTTCAATAGCACCAACGAAATCTGATTTGCCCCAATCGATAAAGAATATAACATTAAAAACAGCTATAAATCTTTTGTAAAATCGTCGTATCGGTTAACAGCACCTAGCTAGTCAATTGCTAGTATATTTTAAATTTTACGGAAAACGATGATGATCCCGAAGATAGTATACCGTTGGCGGTTTTGAAAGAAAAACGATAATCTTGATATTCGCTCCTTGATGAGTCGATCTCAAAATTCTCAAAGATATAATATGTAAGTTATTGCAAAATTGTTTCATATTAACAATTTTAGAGTGAATGTACGTTACCAAACGTTCATGAATGGTACGAAGATATTTAGGTAGATAATGCAGATGACGACATTGAACAGGGGGACGAATCAGACGAAGATTGCGTCTCAGAGACACCGAAGATAATTAAACCAAATAAAGTAGTTGAAATTTTCAACATACTTGTAGTACAGTGTAGTCATGAAGTCGTCGATCAAAACGATGTGAATGTACTGAGACGTCTACGAGAGAATGCTGTATTTGTTATTAGAAAAACAGAAAGTACAAAAACAGTTTTCTCAAACTAGCAAGTGTTAGTATCGTATCTCTTAAGCATAAATTGCTATGTATACAAAACAACCTTAAAATGTGCATTTAAATGTGTAAACATATGCATATGTACATATTAACTTATAATTTTTGGGTATTCGAAAACGTGAATATTTCGTAAGTGTGAACTGTCGTGGTTTTATTTAGTTCACGTTGTCGAGCATTCGCTGTATATACATATATTGTATGGGGTCTCCGACGTTTACTTCTGGGTGTAAAAAACTTCGTGGCAAACTTAATATAACCTGTTCAGGGAATGTAAAGGGTATAATGACCGAGGAAGGTTTGGGGATGTTGCCAAATGTTTTATCATTTCTTAGGCACTTTTATAAAATTATGAACAATGGTAAATAAGAGATAGTTATATTCAACATTTTTATATATAGTTTGTATTAGAAAATATGTCTTTTAGTGAAACATAAAAATTTGTATTGGTTAACTAACTATAATACATTTATTAACTACATATACGTAATTATATTTATAAGTATAAAGCACACATGTATTTGCATATAAAGACAGAAGTAAATAATTTGAAAATAATTCGACAAGTGTGAGTTGGATTTCAAATTTTCGTAGCAGTAACCACTATTTTTTTAAAGTATGTAAAAATTCAATATTAAATCAACTAAGAAGTTGTAAATATAAGTGGATTTTTAAAAATAAGTAAAGATTTTACATAAGTAGGTATACGTTTGTACATTATAAACAATAGTGTGAACACATGAATACATATAAAAAGAAATATTGCAAATATTTTTGATTAAAACAACAATTAAAATGACTCAACAATATGCAAATAAATTTTCTTCTTAAAATTTTATAATTAAGTTGTTTATGCTTTTGCCGATCCACGTTTAAACATCACAGCCTTACCACGTACATTTTCCAATTGATTCGGTTTTTTTACACTTTTTCATTTGTTTTGCAAGAATAGTTATGTTATACATATTTACAATCAGATAAAGAATATATATTACTAAAATTTATTAACTTTAAACAGAGTACACATTGTATTTATGTTTATAATCAATTGAGTTTTAGAAATCAATATATTTTGTTGCAATTATTCATAATCGTTAAGACTTTTTGTAAGAAATAATTTCAATAAAAGAAAATAATTAATTAAACAAATTCTTCCCTTCAATTTACTTCAATTTTGCACTTATCCCTAGCAGTCATCTACGAATGAGGAGCCTGATGTCATGTTGCACTTATTGTTGTAGCCAAGTATGAACACCTACATATGCCACGTACATGTTTTTTACATAATTTGGTTGTCATTCTTTGTTTGTGTGATTGTTACTTGGGCATGAATATTGTTAGCATTAGTACTTGTATGTGGGTGCTGTTCTTCGTTTTTCTAAAAATTATGTTAAAGTCATCATCATAAGAACAACGTCGCCTATGCTAGCTGATTATGCTGGAACAGTCATGATTGTACATTCCATTTTTGCTTATAAATAAAGTGTTATCGCTATCATTACTGCAGTCGGAGTCAACGTCACAAAGTAATGGCTATGCGTCCTCCTCTACGCCGAAAGGTACACCCACTTCCCGATCGCCATTCGGTGAAATTCTGAAAAATAAAAATGAAAACTTGCTTATAAGTATAATCAAAATACTTAATTTAATTCTAAATAAATGAGTAATTGTTCATGTAACTTTTAAATAAAACTAATTAAATTATATAGTTATCATCGTTTTTAAAAATATTGAATATTTAAGTTTGAATATTGAAGTATTGTATAATTTTATATATTTTCCGTCTTCGAAGTTGAGAATATGAAAGCACAATGCAAATAGGGTAGATGATCTTTTATTTCGTTATATAAACATTGAATAACTATGAAAACAACAACCGCATTTTACATTTGAGAGATTTGTTTTTTCATTAGGGTTATTACATTTTGTTTGAACAATTTTTTAATACAATATTAATCTAGTGAAAATAAGCTTTTCGTTGTCGAGCTATATAATAATCGAATGAATGCTTTCCTTGAGTTCATCTTCGTTCCAATAGTTGTTGCTATGCACTTTTCCTTTAAAATAAGCCTTCAAAAATAAGTTAAGGAGAGTCAAATCTTTTTTCAATCGCTTTTTCCGCATTTGCGCGCAGATATAATGAGCCAGCCTTTAACGCCGGCCCAGAATAAAATAACATCAACTTGACAATCAGTAACTCTTCAAAGCTTAAATAAAACACTGCCAAATTTTGTGCAAGTGGTATCTATAGTAATAAAGAACAAGATTGCGACGTGCTACGTCATAAACGATACGATCTGACAAACACTCCAAACTGTCGTAACCTCATATTCTATCATTTATGAGATCTATCTCTTGGTCGAGTTTGATAGGCATTGAAATCAGACTTTTAGAATAGACTTTTAAAGAAAATTGATAAACAGCTTATAAAAACGGAAGTTCAAATAGACAATATGGACACTAGGACATAAAAGTGTATAGGTATTAAGTGATAATACTATATCAAACCGAAATTTATTGGCTCACAAAATATTATTGATAGCATCTACATAACGATACTTAACAAGCGTAATCCCCGTACTACTACAAGAGAATATTTGGCAATATATCAAAGTTTCGTTATTAGAAGTGTGGGTTGCTCTAAATAGAGCGATAGCGAAAAACAGATACATTTTACTTCAATTACGAAATAAAATCAGTTAGAAGGGATCTCAGAGACTCCATATTCATTGTAATAAAAATTGATTTTTGATCAATTTACACCCCTATTGTGTGTCTATTATCGCGAGTAAAACTACCGATACTTAATATACATTACGAATGGATATCAGATCCCAATCACAGTAAAACCTTGAAACCAGTATACACTGATGAAGAAAACTCTGAATCATAAAATAACTGTTCATAAAATAATTATCAACAGTTCTATTTTAGGTACAATCTGCGATGTAGGTATGTATTTATATACTAACATGTCTGAATAGCCATTGAAAAGCCAAGACTAACTAGTTAATTGAACACTTGCATGTAAACCTCGTAAAATTACATTGAAAATTAACCAAATTGACTTACAGCTGTATATAGAACTTTGTAAATGAATCCAGGTATGTTATAATTGTAATTGTGAACAACATTTGTTATTTGTTATAAATAACGAAATTATGATATATATAGGTATGCAACTAAATGTGTACGGTTGTTTGAGAAATTTAGTCAGGACATAATTCTTTTCTTATGACAAGACTGACAGTCCCCATGTCAGAAATTTTAAATAAAACATATGTGTGTTATAAAGTCGTAAAAAAAATCTAAAAACGCTAAAACCTCGATAGGAAAACTTGTATTGCACTAATATCGGAATAACATCACGATCTGCACCACAGAAACTTAGTCAAACGACTAGTAAAGGAGGTACAGCAAAAACACATAATTTCCTACTTCAACAAAGTTGATAAAAAAAGCTCGGAGGTCGTGATAAAAAAAAAATAGGAAAATTTCAAGCAATAGCTGTCCAAATTTTCCAAATAAACAAAATTTATTATGTTTAAATCTAGGGTCTATATTGTTAAATACGTACACGATAATTGCTTTAAATCGAGTATTACTTTGCCCCTCGCTTATAAAAGCACAGACCTATTCTATTTATATTATTATTGCAGTTGAAGAAAAAATACCGGCCAATGAATATATACATATGTATATGCTAGCTTATAAAATTTTTTTACTCATTTTTTTTTTGCAAATGCAACTTTCCGTTCGCTATAAAAGCAACTACACAGCAAAAACACAATTTTTTTATTCTCAGAAAATATGTATAAAATATTAAGAGCGCACCTACCTAAGTAAACAACATGTGCAAGTGACGCAAAAAGCTTTACTCAAAAAACCGCGCCTAAGTGATATTAATTCGACCTGCAGCCAAGACCTGACTTCAATGCAGTCACAAGCGACATCTCTCATTGAATATTAACGCTAATTCTTTGCAATGTCTTGCATTTTTTAATTGCAAAGCTCTTTTATGGGCACACAGAAAAGCTTCAAATGGATAACTTTGAAAATATTTAAGTATTTATAATCAAACTAGAATACTCGGTGCAACATGTTGTTCAGTGGTCTAGAGGTTTTTTCTATTTTAATACAAATATATTTGATAACTTAATGAGGCTACGAAGAAGCCAAAAAGGAGGAAATGGAGTCCTAATCGGTACCAATATAAGTATAAATTTCATCACTAAAGACCTAGGGACCTAAACTTAAATGAAGTTTAGATTTTGGTTAGACCATTAACTCCCATGTGGGTTTTGTTACAATTCCATAAATAAAGGTGTTACAAGAATTAATTCGAACAGCTGTTAGATTTTATGAGAAGTTTTTTCTTGACAACAAGAGACGCGAAAGTTTGAAACATTGACATTGAACTGTCAAAAGATAACAGCTGTAAGATAAATCCGTTTGAATGATCTTCGAAAATTAGAATCGAACCACGTAACCATTGTGAGCGATTTAAAGGAATAAGAGCAAAGTTTAAAGTAAGTTCTTTGAGTGTCCACAAAACAAGTAGACAAATGCATATAAGTTTATATTGGCATAGAAAGCTGTACAATAAAATACTAGTCCTCGTACAATGTCAGTTATGGAGTTTCGATTTCGAAAACTTTGCTACCGCTACTGATAATGGAAACACATAGAATTATCTAGGCCAACTGTTTAGCCATCTAGTGAACGCTCCCCTAAATAAGAGCTTATTAAAGTTTTTTGCAAAAAAGCGAGTATTATATTCTACAAGGCCTGCATTTCGTAAGTTCGGTTCATCCTTTTATCACGTATATAAAACATTCAAATACAGCAGTTTTCACATTGTGTATATGTAAGTATGTACAGCTGTCCAGAAAATAATAGCAGTGCTAATATGAAAAATGTAATGGCATTGACACAACTTTTCTGGATCGCATGTGAATGCCGAGGTACAATTGCGGCTACACATAATGGGATACTGTCATTAAAATACGAAACAAATTTTTAGTGTAATGATCGTTATTCTCGTTTTGCTAGTTTTCGGAAACCCTTATTTGTTTCTACAAAAACAGGGGTGTTAGACATTTCCTTTTTAAAATAATATTTAGCCTAAAAAATATTCGCAAAATTAGAAAAGTAAGTATAGTTCCAGTTATCAGTTAATACTGATACTCTTAGTAGGCGATTTTCCCAAGAAAGGCGATTACAAGTCCCGTATACAAAAAAAAAGCATGTCTTTTGGCGCGTGGCCAAATTGCAAAATATATTGTGGTCATATGAATGCAAAATTGAATTATTTTCTAGTAAAAGTTCAGAAGACTTTGTTCGACGTCCCCCTAAACGGTCAAACATGGTGGCGCTAAAATCATAGTAAGGGGGGGTAACTTTTCACAAAGTGGAGTTAGTCCAATTCTCTTGATTGCAGTCGTCATGGATCAAGTGGCATATGTCAAAATATTAGACGTGGTAATGTCTATATGACTGATGGAACAAATAATTATACACATAGACACTATTTCCAGGAGTTGACAGTGAAACTCTCGGTTTGTTCACATGAAAGTCCGTTCTACAAAACCCGAATAGACGCGTATTTTTACCCAGCAAATGACTGCCAACTGGACAAACTTTCTCAAAATAATTGGCGAAATGCTTTCCGCAGCTACAACTTCAACAACAACATTGATCCCATGACAACAGGCTCTTCATACAAAACTGGAATAGACCTGGACTTATATATGTATGTACGTATATCCAGCAAAAAACTATCAACTAAGCAGTGTTCCCTAAAACTAGTTATGTATTTGCGCAATATTTTATACAGCTAAATTTTAACAACAAACACATGATGGTGGAATTTGAGTGAATCAAAGCTCTATGTTTTAGCTGTCCACATATGTATGAATGAAAACAAATATATACATATAATAAAATAAAGATCTCTTATGTACCAGCAGTTTTTTCATTGCTTTAATGATACTTACGTTTAAAAAAAACATCAGAACTTTTTAAAAAATATACAAATGTTTGTATAAATACATATGTATTTAATATTGTATGTATTGATGTAGTTTTTGGGTAATGCACTGCAAAGTAGTTTAAGTAGACAAACAAATGAAGTGCAAACAACATTTACATACAAGCAGGCAAATTTGTATATATGTGTGAGTATTTGTATGTATGTATTGTAAATGAACATGCAAGGCGGAAATGTTGTGTGATTTTAATTTAATAAGGTACTGTAAATTATCTATATAGTTTATTGTTGTTTAGTAGTTTAGCTGCTAAGCTGTAAAAGGAAAGAAAGATAAATTCGCATGTACTATGTATATGTATATACTTAATATAAATAAGTATGTAAGTACAGGTGTGCGCACGATGGCATAAAGTAAAATTCAGCAAATAATAGGTGAATAAAACACAGCCTACAACAACAGCAAAAATAAGCAAAAACTGCTTCGATTATTTATTAATAATTGTTTTGAAAATATTCGGAAAAATATTTGTTTATGTGTGAATGTAAATATACAGTGGGTCAATGCTAGCAATTAGGTGCTAACGAAATTAATTTAGAGTGCGGTATGATCCTTTTTTATATATTTATTATTATTTTTTTTTTTTTGCTATATGTAACTACAATTATAAATAAATGGTGCTTACTAACTACAGAGAGGCAATTTACTTACAAAAATAATTATTTTTTTAATTAAATAAATATTTTATAATTGCAGCGCATACACTTTTTCTTGTATAGAATTCCAAGTAGGAAAAATACAGCTGAACAACAACAAAAGCTTAGCAACAACAAAAATGCTGGTGAATGTGCATATCAAAGTAGGAAAATTCACATAATTCATAAACTCATATATATGTATGTCTGCCGGCAAGAGCAAAAAATAGTTGAAATTGTTTGCAAAAATTTACATATTTTAAGTATATTTAATTTTACTTCATTAAGTTTCAATAAATAACTAAGTGCAAGCGTTTGTTATATGACAATACACTAAGATAGAATTATAGCAAGTAATAAAAAATAAACATATTCAAATAAAATTTTATTATTTACAATTACATATGTACGTACATAAACTATTGGTTCATACATAACATTACATAATGCCATAAATAAGTAACTTGCGCACTCTTTTGCTGCTTCTTTGCTTATAAGAAATAAATCCTACACTTTTGAAATATGTATGTATATTTGTGATTTATAGCAAAATCATTTGAGCCCTTCAAAAATTGTGCGCTGCAACGTTTCATCGACGGCAGTTTCCATTATAATGTACCTTAATGAGTCTTCGACGAAATGGAACATACTGAGACACTAGTGTCGTATAACGTCAGCTCACTACGCCGCATAACATGCCACACATAAATAAATTAAAAATATGGTGCAAAAATTAGTTGTTCAAGAGCGTCCATTAATATCGCCAACAACAAGCCGATGGTGACACCAACATGGTCAACATTAGCGAACACACAAATGCGCACATTTTGGCACAACGAGCAAAAATCAAAGGCGTTTGATGAAAGAAGCAACATGTGTCATTGACAAGAGGAAACGCCGCCATGTTATCATAAACATACATACACATGTATGTTGACGAGATTTATGTGAATCGTTGAAAGGCAGACAAAGGTGGACGCCAAACCGACGACGCGTGTTGGACGCCAGTACCCATAAAATGATTATGGTACCGCAAAAATACATGCATACACACGCATATAAGTCAGCGACCAATAGTTTTCCATTATAAATGTATGGATAATTATTATGATTTGTGGATTTGTTGATGTTAAAGATGATTAGGTTGCAGTTTTTGATGTGGTAGTAGATGTTGTTGTTGTTGATTTTTGTTGTTAGCAGCGAAATTGTACATAGTTGTTGTTAGCGATGACAGCAGCAACGACATCCAGCACGCAGCCAAGCAGCAGCAGCGAAATTTATTTTATTAGCCAAAACAAAAGTATGTATATATGTATATTTAACTAAATGATTTCTGTGTTTTTTTTACATTTCTGAGCACATTTAAATTTTCAGCGTCGTAAGTTTTGGTTAATTTTCCCCACAATTTGTGCAAAATAGCCAATTGTTAATACAGTTTACTTTCTTCAGTGTCAGCAAAAATGCATGCGTATGTAATTGTGCGTATGTGTGTGTATGTTTATTAGAGAGGGTGCACACTTAGGGCACCGGCTGTTTCGCGGTCCAATGCATTTTAAGTCTCATCCAGAACATCGAATTTTTTGTTTTTTGATTTTGTTTTGATTTTTTTATCTTCAAAATTTACATACATATGCGTGTGAATATTCTGTGAGTATGTGCGTGTCATCGGTACTAATTTTAGTGAGCACATGCAAAAACGTAGATACGTAGTTATAGCACAAACAAACGATAATTATTGCAGTGTGTATATAATGTTAATGTACATGTACATTTGTAAAAACCATGTGCATACATACACATACGAATATTTAAAAAATACCACATTTATATACAGTTCAACGACATTTATACATATTTATATTTATATACATATATGTATGTACGTGTTTTGTGCGCAACAGAGTAAACATTCAGATGTATTGAAATACAGTATATTTTACGCAATAAACATCCAAGAGACGATTCCGATTCCATTAAAAATTTTTTTTTGGTTTGGTGCGTGTCATTGTCGTTATTTATATCATTTTGTTTGCATTGTGTTTATGTGTATGTAACATAAAATAAAATACGAAAACAAATAATGTATGCAGAAGAAAATATAGACGACGAAACGTGTAAACGAAACAAAGATGAAATTAAAACAATAATTTGAACGAAAATAATATATAAACCCAACAAAATGTTACGACAAAAAAAATTAATAAAAAACAAATACGATACAAAAACAATGGCAGAGAATACCACACATATCTATGCGCCCAAACATGTTTACACATAAAGCTACTAGATTTAGCAACAGTATTTACAGCCTTGAATATCCAATAACAATAACAGTAGTTATAGTACAATAAAAACAATGTAAAATAAATAACAAAAACACAGCTTATATAATGTTTTTTTCAAAACATAAAAATTTGTTTTAAACGAGTTTGAGCGCGTATTCTTAGAGGTCAAAGTAAAAATATCATTGGGAAATCACTATTCATGTCCCTAAAAAATTTAAAAATAACAAATAAATGTCTAAAATATAGCCAAAATAACTTGTAATTTTTTTTCCTTAGTTACCATGAAAATATTGTCCGAAATTACGAAAAAATGCGGATATTAATATTAAATAACATTAAAAAAATTTATTTAAAATTTGGGATGAAAGTAAAAGCCTCGCAGTGGCTGAGTTATGAACACAAGTGGATTGTAGAAGATTAGCATTTTTCATCTTATCAAGTCCAATAAATTTGATAAAATATTTAAACGTAAATATGGTTTTCAATAAAATATCAACTATAATACTAAAATTTCTACTTATATCTCTATTATGCGAGATTTATCATTTAAAAAAGACCCGTTGTTGTCTTTCTCATATTTTGTGAAAATAAATAGAATTATTTCATACATAACATACAAATATGTCAAATGCACCAATACATAAAATAGAAACTTTTATACTTCATATTATGTTGTAATATACCCTGCAGTGAAACACCAAACAAGTAAGGAAAAAAGTAATAGCTTGCACCATCAGACTAATACCAATTTTTCGGCAAAATAGTCCAGAAAGAGAGTATAGTAAAATCGGCGAATCGATAACATTGTGTTAATTCACATTCAAATCTTTTAAAAATATTAAATGAACTAGAGAGTTGTCTCTGCTTTGAACTAGTATAATATTTTTAAATGAAATCTGAGAACTGACATCTAATAGACATCAACATTACAAAAATTAGTTACTTATATTTGATAAAAGTCAGTGGACTTACTAGTTGAGCTTGTGGGACTTTTTGATATTTTGCATTAAACAAGTAAATTAACAACTTTGAAAGAATTATTCTGGTACAAAATTTTCTGCTCTACAAAAAAGGTTTGAGGTTAATTTGCATGGGAGATAAATAAAATAAGTAAAATAATTTAGGCACGGTTTAAATTGAAAACAAAGAGCTTGTTTTTTAAGGGCGTTTGCGGACACCCTAATATTCATGAATATTTAACACCATTTAAACATCAAACAAGGAACACAAGTGTACAAAAACATGCGAATTTTCATGGAGTAATTACTGCGGATTTCATCATCTGAGCCGAGAAACTTGCACATATTATATTTGAACAAAACGATAAATTAACAAGCATACAAAATAGAACAGTGAGAATGAACGCACGACTAAATGTAGATTATTAAAGTATTATCGAAAATTAAAAAAAAAATAATAATTGTAAAGACTTTTAATATTTAATAGGTCATTAACTGTATTTATAACATATAAAACGTGTATAAATATAATATTTAATAGCATTGTGTGCGCACAAGGAAATACTCAATACAGATAAAAATACATATGTACATTTAAAATAGAAATACTGGTTATTTTTTAACAACTTTTAACTTATGTGCGCAAGCAATTAAATGTTATGTACATCACATGATTTTTTTTATAAATGCACCAAACTTTGTGTGTGTTTGCTAGCTACACATATTATATACAATATTGTAACTGTTATTATTGTGACACCTTTTCCGATATTGTCTTAGGCAGTGGCTCATTAGCTGCATTGCTCGCGGCAATTGCTATAGACACGGCACTGTTAGAATTAGAGAATATTTTTTGTTGCTTTGTTAGAAACAAATGGAATATAGTTATTTATATAGGTACCAGCTAATTTATAAAATTCCTTTTGAAATAAGTTTAAGCTATGTTATATTTAAAGCGACAGGATTTTAGAAAGAAGCGTGTTAATATTTTATAGGTTTAGTAAAAGTTGAAGCAGTGCATTTCGTGCTTATTAATAGTGTGCCATTTAGTTAGTTGCATTATAGAAAATAATCAAATAAATTTAGGTTATGTATTTGTCGTTTTAAATCCAAATAATATAAAAGTCGCGACTTACCTTGCATACGTTGAATTGGCGTTCTTTATCGTAAAACTATTCTGACTGGGGAGCACAAATTTCTGGATCCACTATGTTAGCAAGCATGCAGTATAGAATAAGAAGTTGAAATGTTATTATTGATTTATATGTGTCAATAACTAAAAAAAATATAATATAATATATGTACTGCTTTTTACATACAACCTTGACCAGTTTGAAAGAGAGAGGTAAAAATATTTCACATACATAGGAGCATTTCAAGCGAAGTGGTCTTCATTTTCATTTCATTTTAGTTTTTTTATACCCTGTGTAGGGCATATTAAGTTTATAACACCCAGAAGAAAACGTCGGAGACCCTATTTGGTATATATAAATGAATAATCAAAGCTAAGTTCATGTCTGAAAAATTTTCTTATTTGAAAATATATCTACACCAAATTCGGCGTTGATTATTGCTCAAGGCAACTGAACAATCGAAATCAAATTTTTGTAAAGAAAACTTTTTTATTAGATAAGATATTTGCGAAATTTAACATGGATCATTGTCTAAGGCATCACTACAACCTCCGAATAAATTGTTTAAATCGGGCCACTATAGCATATTGCTGCCATACAAACTTAACGATACAAACAAAGTTCTTGTATGAAAAACATTTATTTATGAAGGATACCTTTGGTGCAACCTGCACAAATTTGATATTTTTATTTGTCGGTAAAAGCACCGAAATCGTCAGAGAAAAAGATCTATCCTTCATAAAATTTTCTTGTATTTGAAATTATATTTTTTATAAGGAGTGAGGCATAATAGTCATATAGCCAGCGGTCATATTTAATTTGTTTAAATATTGATCAAATACTCAACTTTCAATATAACATCTTCATTTTATCATACTTTAATTGCTGTTGTAGAAATATGAAATAAAACCCATCAAGCTTTGCGAAAAGGTACTGAGGTGAAAGCTCTTGTCTGAATAAAAATCCGGTTGCCTTCCAGACAGAACCTGACTGTAAGAACGGTATTGTAGTATTACTTGGAAAACTAATGCAACTTTTTATATATAATAATCAGTGTATTTAGCCGTCTTCATTATATTATATATATTATTGAACAAATCATTTTGAATGACTTCTTAAATTAAGGTTTACTGAACTCACCGTATATACACCGTATCACACACACGTATATTGATAAAAACTAAAAGGCCCACATGTTGATAAGCTACTGATAAAAAACTCACAGCTGTCAGGCGGCAATTTAATCAGTGTGATTGACAAGTGGATACCATATTTGTAATATGAGCTTAGCAGGACAAAAGTTAAGCCTTGCCGCGATAAAAAAAAAATTGGTCAGAAGAATTTTAAGACATAATTTCAAACGAGTAAGGGAGGGCTAAATTCGGGTGTAACCGAATATTTCATACTCTTGCAACTTGTAAGAATTTCATAAACACTAAATAATCTATGTGAAATAGTATAAATTCTGTCAAGGTTGTATGAACGTTCAGTAACATTTTGAAAGAAGCCAAATTTTATTAAACATACTACAAATATACATATATGTATGTAAATATGTACATATACATATACATATATAGATGTACATAAATATATTTTTTTTGTCTAAAGCTTTAATTTATAGAACTTACCCTATTATTGACAAATCTTTGATTGCCCATGCACGCAATCATGTGTATCACAAGGTACAAGTTAAAAAGCAAATATAAAATAGCTCCTATACCTGAGAAAATTACCATTAGAATTTATGCAAAAATATATACACTAAGAAAAGTGCCAAAAATACTTACAAACTAATGCTAATAAGCCATTTTCCAGAGACGCCATCTGCACCTGCACAACAACGAAGTAGATGTTTACCGTTATTACCACTATGGTTAACATAATGGATATGACTTTGTTCGCACTTTTCGTATAAAAATAAGAGCCGTTAATATTAAATATAACTTTATAAATATTTTCAAACTACTTCAAGCATTAAATTTTCCATATATTGGTTGAGATTTTTATCAAACATGAAAACGAAAAATTTTAAAGTTAAGGCAGAGTCAGAGGTCTAAACCAATATTGTGAAAAATTTATCATGCCATAAGCGTTCGATATACTCACAGGCCATTTACGAATTCACCCATTATAGCCACACACGAAGTGAATGCTATCGTTGGTATGGCGGCAAAAGGCAACTGCAACGACATCACTGCATTCAAAATATCGTTCAAATGTGTTAAGTCCTCCAAGCGTGTAAAAAATGCCAAACAGAATGTGGGTACGATGGCAATAAAGCGAGTAAAGAGCACACGACGCCAACGTGGCCATTGCAAATTCAGAAAACCTTCCATTGAAAATTGTCCCGCGTATGTGCCAGTCATGGTGGAACTCTGACCTGCGGCCAAAATGCCAACACCCCAAATATACATAGCCGCAGCACCGAAAGTGCAACCCAAAAATAGGCCACCCTTATAGATATCGGCTTCGATGAGATCGGTGTTATTGTTTGAATCCGTAAAAGACGATTTGGCATCCTCGAACATTGTTTGATTAACGCAAACATCCAACTAAAGCAAAAAACAAAAAAAAAACAATTTTAATTATGGAAATACAATTCAGAAAAGACGATTTGAAGATTTGAAGATCGCATATCACATACCACATCTTGATTGGTTTTACCGTACATGCCGTGCGCGAAGACGGCTACGACAAATAGATTAATAATGAAGGACACAAAGAGCGCCACCGACGCTTCGATGAAGAAATAGAAATTTGCCTCGCTGACTTTTTTCGGTTGACGACGATCGATATCACGTGACTGTTGGAAGTAAAATTTATTTATTACGCAAATAATATTATTGCTATTTAAAACAAGGTTGCTTTAAGACAATTTTTATTGATAATATTTTATTTTATTACTTTCTAAACTCTTACTTTGACTAAAGCGGAATGAAGATACAAATTGTGGGGCATTATCACAGCGCCAATTATGCCTACACCCTGTAGTAGAACATTTGCATTACAATCCTTACACCATGGCACAAACATGCCTTCCATCACTTCAGCCTGATTAGGCGCTGAGACGATATACTGGAAAAATTTTAAATATAATTTTATTGAACGAAACATTTATTTTTATTATTAATATGTATATATATTTTAAAGTAAGCATTAAAATATTATTTTGGCAGCAATTTTCTTAATTTTCTATTTTCTCTCTGTAAGAAGTCAATGTAAAGTTTAATCTAAATTTGTAAACGTTTTTTATTTGCCCTTTCACAAAGAGTTCGAAAATCACATAGCACTTGCCAGTACTGCAAAAAAAAATATCAGCGACATCATACATAAGAGCCATTACCTCTAAAAGGTCACGTCTTCTGACATCAGATATCTGACATCACGACACACTTTGTCTCTCTTTACCTATAATTAACTAACTAACTTATGGTCCAATATGAAATATTCAAGAAATTAGATTTCTTTAAACTTATATTTCCTCCCAGCGGAAAAGAATAGGGTGAAGATTATCACCACTGATTCTCCGACGTGTCGAATATGAAGCAGACACAAAAGCACAATTCTTCTGTGACAATCCCTGCAAGTTTAGCTTCAAAGTAATTACTTTAACTCTATATTTTAGAGGAATAATTCTTGTTGAAGGTACTTAGTATAAATATCAGTTAGTATAAATATCAAAATCATTAAAAAAATTTTTTTTAAATATCACAAACTTCATAATAATTAGCCAACTATCAAAAATTTTTACTTTTAGGCAAAAATAAATTCAGTACCATAGAGGAGAGCAGGGTCATCGAAGAGTACGTACCTTAATAGTAAGGTCTACCTAGGTAAAATAAGATTAAGATTACAAAATGTTGAAATATTGCCTCAGTGAATATCAAGATACCAAGCCATAAAGACAAATTAGTATAATAGGTTCGAGTAAAGCGTTTTTTCAACCTCCCTTTAAATCAATCAAAGTATAACATTTTGAGTTTATAGACATATTTTTCAACAATGTCGATTTACTGGAACTAAAATGGCGCGAAAGAAAGAAATAGGTTAAGGTTTACATACTTAGACATTGAACTTTTGGTACCGACCTTTTTTAAATTTTTTCTTTTTAATTGCTCTATCATTTAGTAACTGCTTTATTGACTAATATTTTAAATGTTTTTTGCAATATTTTAAGTATTATGTGCGATTTCTAAACAGTTGGAATTAAAGTGTCAAGGGTATTACCCTGCAATATTCAATTTTTATACATACAACCTTACAGAAAGACGTTATTTATTTTACATAAATTTATTTATTTTATTATCATGTACATTTCATAGTCATATAGTGGATTTTATTTTAATTTATTATCCAAATTTATTGCCAAATATAAACAATTCTTTTGTTAAAATAAATTATGTTGACAACGGACAACACATAGCCATTTGAATCACTCCATTTGAATCACAACCGATTGATTTATTTTTGTCATTCATTATCTTTCGTCTGATTATTAAGAAATGTAAGAGACGTTTTTATCATTTCTTTGGAAAACGTTTGCATTTTTATCTGTGGCATTGTAAATTACCAACTACATACATACATATGTGTACACTCATACACGTTTATTGTGGGTGTATAAGTGAATTTGTGAAGTTGAAGGCATTTAAGCTGACAGACCCTGCGCGAATAGATGACATTGTAAGTCTAAGCGGCGACATGTACACAAACAATAGGGAAATGTATTTACAATCACAAATGTCCATACATACGTGTGTTTGCATACAAAATGGGGCGGCAACTGATAAGAAAGTGAATAGAAAAAGTGCCGAGCAAGTGGAGATCTTAAAATGATCTCGTATACATACATACTCTTATTTACGTATTTATACGCATATATGTACGTAGTTAAATAAATATGTGCAAAAATAACTTTTAATTGGTTCGATAACGCGAAATTTTTACATATATAATTAATTTTTAGTCGATACTGCCAAAAATCATACAACTCTCAAAAATTGAAATAGCAAAGTTTGAAGTAGGCAGTTTGGTGCAAGAATATCACAAATTTTGTGCTGCAGAAGAGACGGAATTGCTATATAGGAAGTTTGTAACACCTAGAAGAAAACGTCGAAGAACTTATAAAATATATAAATGATCAGCATGATGAGCTGAGTTGATTTAGCCATGTCCGTCTGTCTGTATATATACAAACTAGTCCCTCAGTTTTTAAGCTATCGATCTGAAATTTTGCACCGGTCCTTTTCTCACAAAGAAGCTGCTCATTTGTCGGAACGGCCGATATCGGACCACTATAGCATAAGCTGCCATACAAACTGAACAATCGGAATCAAGTGTTTGTATGGAAAACTCTTTCATTTGACGAGGTATCTTCACGAAATTTGGCATGTTTTATTATTTAAGGCATTTATTCAATCTCAGCAGAGATTGTATGGATCGGATGACTATAGCATATAGCTGCCATATTAACTGAACGATCGGAGTAAAATGCTTGCATGGAACATTTTTTTATTTGACGAGGTATCTTCACGAAATTAGGCACGAGTTATTGCTTAAGGCAACAAATTATTCTCCACAGAAATTGGTCAGATCAGATCACTATATCATATAGCTGCCATACAAATTGAATGTTCGGAATCAAGTTCTTGTAAGGAGCCTTTGTATTTGTGAAGGGTATTATAGCTTCAGTGCAACCGAAGTTAAAGTTTTTTCTTGTTTTTGTTATGCATCAAGAAAACATATAATATAACCAGAAACTTGCTCTCAGTGGAAAAAATGCCACCAAAATTTATATGCAAACTCAACTGATTTTACGATTGTTAATTTTTTTTTGTATTCTTTGGGAGAAACATTTAATTTACGCTCTTGATTTAACTTGATATTTAATGGGTAATTTTCTGAACGAACAAGCTCAAAAAATTTATAGTAAGAGTTAATACTATCAATTTTTAGAGCTTTTCTAATGTTAGAAGATATTCTTTCAGAAGGATATATCCTAACAAACCCCGTAGACAAAGAAATTCGAGAGAACTGTGGACCTCAAAAGGAATAGCCAAGATTTCTAAATCGTTCAAAAAAAAACACAACTTTGAAATAGAACATTTACTATTTCTACTTTTTTGGAGCTATAACTTTTTGAGCATTTTGCAAACTATTATCAGCTAACGACTCTACAATGGCACAATATATGTAAGTATGCTTGTAGTTTGTAAAGCGAGGTTGAGATAAATAAATATGTGTCGCACTAAACTAATACTTATACTAATCAAATGCACTAATATTATCATTTTAAAGTTTTGTTAGAATAGAGTAAAACAATTTTAATAAAGTCAATTTTGCTCTGGTGTTTAATATTAATTAGTTGATTTACTCAGTTCAAAACATATGTAAGTTAGCTTGTTCATAGGAAATTAAAAGTTATAAACTTATTTACAAAATTATATGGCGCTCTTATTTATTGTACATACACATAAATATGTATTGTACATATGTAAATTTACTTATATATACAAATAAATGCATGCGAAGGCGTATTTTTGAGTTGAAACCATCGGGCATTTGATGAACTTTGATTTTAATAAAGTAATCAGATCATAATACTAATTTTTCGTATTTCAATAAATTGTTGAGGGAGCCTTTCGGCTATAATACGATAATATAATTATATTGTAAAATTATAATGTCTTTACAAAGCAATTTCCATTAAATTTGAAATAGTCATTTAGAGTAATTAATACTGCTTCGATTTGCCTTAAAATATTACAACCGACCGACCTTATTATGTGAGATGTATGTACATATTTATGTGTATAGTCGTAATATGTACGTAACATGTAGCGGAACAAAAACAAAGCACTGAAAACCGCAAACACTGCAAATTAATACAAATAGAAATAAAACTGTCAATTCGCGCACACATATGTATGTATGTACACAAAAACCTACAGTAACGAAAAGTATAAAAAACGAATATGAAACGTTTTGAGCGGAAGCTACAGTTTGGACAAGCAATTTTTATATTGAAATCATTTGCGCTAAGCAAAATGTGGTGCATTTGTATGTGTGTCATTGTTTTCGAAACTTGCATATAAAAAAAGCATATTGTTCAACAATTTACATATTTAAATATATAATCACTTGACTTTCGTAAAGTTTTATACTAATTTAGAATAATGCTTTCAAATACATAAACAATTTTTTTGTTTATATTAAAGCAATTAAGTTTTACCGAAATTTGTAATAATTTTCATATTCAAAAAAAAATATGTTAATTTATTTAATCATTTTGAAAATGTGCTAAATTCAATAGAATTTTTGACTTACTTTAACTATCAAAGCTCAGTTGAAATTAAAATATTGTGCATCATCGAAGATCTTGGAATAAAAACTAGACATTCACTCCAGCAATGATCCAACATCGCATAATCCTAAACGCACGCCATAGACAATTATAGCTAACCTGACTCTTGACGATGACATCTCGAATTTTAATGCCCTGTGATGACCCCTACTGTGCTACCAGATTTCTCTTATCCTAGAATTTTTCTTTTCTTTCTTCTATTTACAAAATCACGAAGTGATAACGCTGGTATTCCAAATCCTGAGATATTATTTTACGTTCAAAGTTTTAAATACTTTTTGAAGAAACTGACGGGCTTGGGAACGAAATTGTAATGGATTTGGCTTTTCTTAATAAGTAGAAACCATGCTATAAATTACTTAAAATGAAATAATTAAAAATCCCTTCATAATTTTTAAATTCTCTAAATATTAGATTGAACAATTTGCGGTCAAATTGAGTATATTTAATATAGAAAATATTTCAAATATTTTTCAGAAATATGTTTATAAATTAGATATTGATAAAAAGATATTTCCTCAAATTGCTTAAATTCCACAATTTACCTCATAGCCGAAAGTAATCGCCATCACAGAGATTAAAAAGCCAAAAAAGAACTCCAATTTCCTCAAACCATATTTATCCAAAAATAAAAACGTGAACGTATCGACAATTGTTATCAGCACTCCACCCCACAGCGGTACGCTAAAGGGAAAAATCAAAAAATATTAAGAGATTAAGTATTAGTATAATTGTTTATGCACTTGGACGAGCAGAAATGTAAATATTTAACAATATAAAGCTTTTTAAATCAATTAAAAAGCAAACAACCAGCAATCAAATTTGTGTTTATGTGTGCAATTACATTTTATTTGACAATAGATATATGGCAATCGCTGTGCCAATCACTTCCTGTATGTCAGAGCCGATAATCGCAATCTCGATCATTATCCAAAGTATGATACGCGGCAGCTTTCTGTATTGGCGATAGCACATTTCCGCCAAATGTAGACCCGTCACAACACCCAACCTGATGGCATATTAATTGAGAAATAAATTTGTAATATATGGTAAATATGTACTTATGTATGTATGTATGTATATGTAGTTAGTACATAATGTGGCAATAAAAGGTAGCGCTCATTCAACTTTTGTTGGTAAATTATATGCGGTCGTAAAGTTAAAAATCTTACAACATACCTGTTACAAATTTATTGATGTACATATACTCACATATATGTATGAGTGTAAGTATGTGTGTACGTACCTCGCCGCCAGACGTTGCATCAGCAAACCCAAAACCGTAGCCCATAAAAGTACCCATAAGATTTTATATTTTGCTGCCGCTCCGCTTTGTAAATCTGATTCTATGTTGCCCGGATCCAAGTATGCTATGGACATGAGAAACCCAGGACCGGTGAATGCCCATAATTTGCGAAAGCTAAAGCTAGTCTGTATGTGCGCAAAGAATGCAATGAGATTAGATACAAACAGAATGAGTTTTAATTATACATATATTGCATAATACAAATGTAGGTATAGATATGATATGTACATATGTATATATATATAATTATGTAGGAGTATATGTGCGTGCTTTTGCCAGTTGTGGCGGCATGTTTGCACTTCAATGAGATCAATTAAATGCGTTTATGGACAATCACACGCAAATGAGGCATATGCCACCTGAAATGATCATAAATCCCGTTGTATGTATGCATGTACCATACATACATACGCATGTTGCAAACGCACCAATTTTCGCAAAACCGTTAATGCACCCAACTGTGTGTGTGAAAACTGTGTCAAGTTATTGAAAGTAATGCATGGGTGCGTGTGTATGTTTGTTTGTTTATTTTTTCGCAAAAAAATGCACGTGCAGTATTTGCTATATTGAACGCATGCAAATATCAAATTTCTATACGCCGCGGTTTTATACATCAAGTTCAAGTTTTTGAACTTCTCAGTCAGGCTCGTTTAATAAAATTACTGATTTGTACAATAATTCTGCGGTTTTTATTGAACCATATTGATTCTAAAACCCACAAGAAGTGCACTGAAAGTTATTTGATCTATCATTGTTTGCTCAAAAACAACAAAAGGTGAAAATAAAGTTAAATCGAATAACGGCAATAAGTAATAATAATTGTAAAAAAAGAAAAAACGTTAACTTCGGCTGCACCGAAGCTATAATACCTACACAGGTGCATTTTCTTAAACTTAAAAGGGTATAAAAAATATCTTTATTTTCATCGATCAATTTTAATGGCAGTTATGTATATGCTATAGTGACACGATCTGAACAATTTGTTCGAAAATTGTACCGTTACCTTCAGCAATAATCCACGTCGTGAAGATATCTTTTCAAATATAAAAGTTTGGCATATCGTATGAATTCGAATAAGTCGTAATGAGTAATAACGCAGGTACATAGTTTCAAAATACGCTGCAATTGTTCATTAAAACTTAAAAATGCATTTAATGCTTTGTCAGGTGATTTTAATTTAGATAATTTTATAGTAGTTTTGAATCCTGTTGTTAATTGAAGTTAATTTGAAGACACTTACCTCATCATTTTGTGGTATGAGCACCTTTTCATCACTGAAGTATGCTTGTTTCGCATTCGGTTTCAGATATGTCCCTTCATCGGGTATGACACACTGTAGATGCTGCTGTGACGGTCGAGATGTGCTAGTACGCGGCGATGTCGTTGATGAACTGCCTGTAGGTTCAACAATTTGATCGGTATTTTTTGAAAATGATCCATTTGAAGCCATACTATTGAAATGTAAACAAAAAAATAACAGTTAATTAGTGTTACATACCTATTGTATATACATATAAACATTCCAATAGATATGTAAAAGGTGCAGTACTCCATATATACATTTATGACGTAGGCAGAATTTATTTAAGTAATTAGTGAAATTAAGAAAGCTTCTCCTAAAATTTAATAATATTTATAAATGCTTCGTAAAAGCAAATTTCAGGCACACAACCGTCACAACGAAGAACGAAGTACTGCCAACTCTTACAGCTGATAAAATGCATGTACATATACTGTGCAGACCGACATATTGTATTTATTTATATTTTGCAAACTTTTTGCAGTCATTAATTCCAAACCATTGCCGGACCGGAAGCAAAACAGTTTGACTGTCCAATTATGTAAAAAATAAACAATTAAAAGATGTTTAACTGAACGATAAATGGACGGAAATACTTATAAGTTCTAGGTCCACTGTGGACGGCAAATGAAATTTATGAGGAATCATGGCAGACGCGTGTTAAGAAAAATATTCGTGGGTATTATCGTCGTACTGTGAAGATCTCAATATACAGAGAGAAAGGAATAGCAACTAGCAATTCTACTAATTCACTTTGCAACTTCCAGATGTTTCCAACACCAAGTAAAAGTAACAGCGTTTAGAGTGTTTTGACGATAGTCAATTCTACGTAACCTGAATGGATTTGAATTTATATCAAGGCAATAATATTGTCACCACTCTAGTATTCAAAAACAAAAAATTAATTTTGAATATACATACATATGTATGAAGAGTAAGGGGCATCTGAATACCGAAGATGCCAAACACTTATGAAATATACCGAATTTATGGAATTCAGACTTCTCCAATCTACTTGTATTATACAACTACGACTAAATTTTCTCATTCACAAAGATGTCTAAGTGTGTGCTTGCAAAAGTTATAACTGTTTCCACTGTCGACGTTAAATAATACTATCAGTTCCATCAAAACTCCGAACTTACTTTAACAAAAATTAACCAACGGACAAATCACTGCCTATCGAGCGAGTTGTTTAGTATAGTTTTGGCCTTGCCTTATCGAATGTTTTTCATGTTAAGATAAGAGAGGATGAAAATAGCAGTGAACAAGGCTTCGAAGGTGCAGAATAACGGTAAAGATATCAGCTTTGACTCCCTAGAAATGCACGGTTAACAATTTCTAATTAAGATTTATAGATTTGTTAACAATTAGAGAAAGCGATATCTTCGAAGCCTTGACGACACATACCTACATAATTAATCAAAAATTAATAGCCACCAAGTAGAGTTGGCAAAACATTTGCTACATATACATCCACTACAGAAGGTGTATAAGAATAATATTAAATCACTAAAAATTAGTTAAATACTAGTAATAACAATTAAATATAATAATTTCGGAATTTGCGCTATTAACGTTTAAATACATATACATTTAAATGCTAGATACACTTGTATATAAAATCTACTCCCATAGATCTACGAGTACATACTTTTTTGCAGTGCTTTTTGTATAAATATCAAATTTCTCCATTGATAAATCTTTTTTAGCTTTTTCAGCTTTATCATGATTATATTGTGTGATCTTCCATTTAATTGTTTTAATTAGCACAACTTCGCATTTCATTTCAAGTTTAATTGAGAAGCGGCAAAGCGTACAAATGATTGCTTCCTTTATGCATGAATGCGTAGAACCACAAGCACATTGAAGGGGGGCGGCGATAAATGTTCACATTGTTTATGTATAAAAAGCAAACAAATTAATTTATGCCGCATATTGGAAATATTCTCGTATATTTGACATTCTCTGACAAGTAATGATGGCATTAATTTCGTCTGCATCGAAGCTACAAGTATATGGCTAAATTAACTCAGCTCATCACGCTGCTCATTTGTATATATATATATTTACTTTAAGATGGTATCCGACGTTTCCTTCTGGGTGTTAGAAATTTTGTGGCATACTTAAAATAGCCTGTTCAGGGTATAAATAGGTGCAATTTTTGTGGAAACCATAAATCATATATATAAATATATGTATATAGCAAATAAATATCGCCAACCATTAATTTTTTAATTGTTATCAATTTAAGTTAGAAACTACACTAATATGAACTTAATTTGCTTTTTACAGTAAGTATTATGCAGCTGAAACACATGACGCCCTTCAACCCAGCCATTGTTAAATATTATGAAACTGAACAATTTAATAAATTTTTTTCCCAACCTAACGAATTTTCCCCACAGTTTTCTCCACTTTGTGTTTGTTATATGAAAAACAATACTACAGGCAACTGTGAGTATTTATTGGGACTATTTAAGTGAACATACTTTATTTATATAAAGTAATTTATATGAAACTATAATTTCAAGTGCAATGCGAGCATAGCATTTCTCAATACACGTACCAATTCAACCAGACAAATGTTTATTAATCCTTTTGTTTCATATACTCTCAAAAATGTAAAAGTAATTACTATTCGAAAATTCTCATAATTTCGTTAATTAATTTTAATAACTTATTTTGCATGACTTCGGTGAAAATTGTACTAAGACATATATAGATTAACAAAAAATTATAATTTGGTTAAAGGAAAGAAAAAATATTAAGCAATTGGAATGTCCGAAAGAATTATTTATCATTTATGAGATTTATAGAACGCAATTGACGGCACATAACTACTTTAACTTGATTAGAATGAAACTGTTTAGAACATACCAATAATTTCCATAATATTTTGAATTTGGTTCAAATGCCAGTTGAATACGACATCAGTTTTACAGAGATTTAAATTCTATCTATAATATCAAATTTTATCAAATACCACAAAATGAATTTGTCGAAAACCGACTATGTTTTATCAATTTTTAATATCCAACATAATTGTATTTATTTTAAATTTTGACCGAGGATCGTATATAAAGCAGTAGTACAAGTTTGCCCATTTACATACATACAAAAATATGTATATTTTAAATCAAAGCATTTCATAGCAAACTTATCTGCAGTTATGAATACTCGTTTATGGACTTTTGATTTTAAAAGTACTCATGTACGTTCATATGTTTGTGCTAAGTTCAGATAATCACAAGGAGCACTAGCAGATTTATAATAGAATACTTATAAAGTCTGTTATGTATAGTATAAACAATGATAAGTAAAAATAACAATTCCTAGAAAAAGTGCAAAAGTAGCGACATAAGAGCTTGAAAATGGTATTTTTTTTAATACAACCAATATAAAACTTTCAAAAATAGTCAATAAAGAGCTTGTTTTGGGTTACTCTTTCTGATTATATATTATGTCATTATGATTCTATAAATAACAGAACAGGGATAATAATAATAATATATATAAAACATAGTCGTTAAGATAATAGATATAGCAATTACAATGCAGCTTACTCGGTTAAGAGCAAGTCAACAATTGTTTTTAATATACATGGCATATCTTCATAGTAACTACTCTACATTGAGTCGCTAATCATGGTTGCAGCAAAAACTAAAATTTGTTTATCATGGATGGTAAAATTCGAAATTTTTTATTGTTTAAGAACGTTAGTTAGTCGAGCGGTAATGGCAAACGGCATACCAACAACTGTAACAGAATCGCCGACAAAGATTTGACAAGATTTAACTTCTTTATAACCAAAATGCTAACACTACTGAAAAATGCTCTACATAAAAATATTTTTGTGACTTTTGTTTGGTTACTAATCTAAGCATACATTTGGTTTTTATTTGTACATCACAGGTGTTTAAACAATTCCATATGTATTACACTAATGTACTCATATATTACATGCATGCATACATACTTATGTAAAGTATTAATATAAAAAAAAAATGAGACAAAATAATGCTGTATGTGACAATAATTAATAAAATGTTTTATTATTTATGTCATTGCTAAAGCGTTTCTGCAGCATTCGAATGCAAAAACAAAAACATGAACTGAGGCTTTATTAAACTATGCCCTGAATTTCAAACTGAGCAATGCAAAAATGCAAAGTTGAATGAACTTGATGCAAGCAAAGTGAACGCGCTCAGTCCAGACGGATTGAAGTAAGAAAAAAAATATTTATATTTTATTTTTAAAACTGGCAAGTTCGTTTAGAGGAAAGCTTCCACTATAATAAAGATTCTGAAATAATATTTAACAAGCAACCATGAAAAATATAAAAGAGTGTCAAAAGTGTATAGATGATCGATAAAATTTCGGACAAATTATTTTCTAGAATATGTTAACCCTTTAATTTTTATAGGATTTACAATTAGATCAATATCGATTCGATTTATCCGAATAATTGAAGCCCAGTTAAAGTAAATAATAACAGCCATTAATGAATTTGTGGAACATTTCGGTTTGGTGAAGAAACAAAACAAATATTTTGGACTGAGAATGAAGTCATCGAAAGGTTATAATCCCAAAGTCTACGTAAAGACACTGATAAGGCATTTAGAGATTTTAGACAACCTCCATGGTTTATTTATAAATAATTAAGTGAAATTTAATATAAAGAAAACGTAAACAATGGTACTTTAGATTCAAATTACATATTTGGAAAAGCTCATAAGTACATAACGTAGAAAAAGAAAGTCTTTTAAATTAATTTAAAAAGCGGACATAATTATATGCATATATGTATTTATAATATTATATATATACACACGTGTAGATATATAAATACACACGCATTAAATTTGAAAATTTTTCTTCAGTTATCAGTTTCTCGCTTTCTTATTTCAATTTATTTCCACTTGATGACTACACAGCTTCTTAGTGTGCCTTTGTTCACAGCGATGCTGCGCTTGCGCTAACTTCAAAAATCTCTTGCACGCTCACGGCCAATAATTTAACAAATTACAAATGTATGTCAAATACATATTGTACATATCTACAACTACATACATGTAAGTGTTTTGATCATTGCCCTCAACACATTTTGCCTTGAATGACTCGTGTACCTTGCGTAAATTTGTTGTCGAAGCGTGTACGAATTTTTATTTTGGTGCCTAGAACCTTTTATAGCTGTTAACCGAAATTACTACTATTGCCGCTTTAAACATTTCAGTTTACATATGTTTTGTTTATATTTATTTTTTAGTGCGTACTTATGGAACTAAACAAATAGTATAACTTCACGAAAATGGCTTGTCTCACAAATCAACTTTTACAAAGCGTCCAAACGATTTTACAATAATCTGCGTTTAGGCTTGAAAAATAAGTCGTTTAACAAACTTCTCTGACAGTTGATAATAGTTGTCTTCGATTCCCCAAATTTTTAGATTGTCGAATCGAACAAACAATTGGCAAAATCTAATGGAGACCTTATTTAATGAGGTAACATAAATATAAACATAAAAATTGTTGTTGCTTTCATGTTAATAAAAATTTTACAAGATAGTAGAGCTCTAACTAAGCGATCAGAGAGTTTGTCAAAGAAAGGATATCAAGTAAAAAATAATTTCTTAAATATAAAAATATGTCAACAACTTCAACTAACTCAATATGTATACACTTATCTATATATTTACATAGTACATACATACATATGTATATATAAAGTAATCCCCCGCGATATATATATACGTATTTATATAGATGAGTGGTGAATCCCTTTAGGGGAATCCAATTATGTGTATTTAATTTAATTAAGAACAAAGCGGAGATAAGCCTAAGAAGGAATGTCGAGGAAACAAAGGAATATCCACATGTTATCTTTTTTTACAGCTGTAACTAATAAAGGCTTGGAGTGACATTTACCCAAATTACATAGGACTGGCGACAATTTTGTTTTTAATTATAATTGTCAAAATTCATAGAGGATTACACATATTGTTATGGAAGAATGCAGTAATCGACATGACAATAATGTTGCTTTTAATTTTAAACTTGTCAAATTTTAAATGAAATGGATAGGATGGGTAGTACCTATCTAAGTGTAACTAATAATAAGTAGGTATAATATCATTTTGGACAGCATTGTCACTGTCATTTTATGAAATAGACGGCTGTCTATGTGGCATATAAAATAAGTAATCAAATTTATAGACGCAAGAAATTGCGCTTTAAACCCTTCACAAATTGATAAAGCCTAAATTAAAATAGTGAACAAAAAAATTTTAATAATAGAAATTATTAAAATATGTATGTTTCAATATGATAAATAAATTTATAATATAATGATAATATAAATTTGTTTATATTACAAATATTGAAAAATATTATCCATATTATTATTTCACTTTATTTTACTATAAAGTAGGCAGCGTTTTTAAGGAGTTGAATTAAATTTTATATACACGAACGTTTGTATAATTTTTATTTTTATTTTACAAACATTTAAAAATATTTTCCATATTATTATTTCACTTTGGGAATAATTATAAATTTAAATTACATTAATTATGTAATTTAACTTTTTTTTTAAATGCGTATCAAGTTTCAGAAGTGTATCATCAAATATATGTACATATATACATTATATATATGTCTTCTAAACGTTATAATTTATATGTTAAGATAATTTTCCTGTAATTCCTAATTCCTGTAATCACCAAAATACATACAAATTTTTCTTTTTGTGCTGATAATGATGTTTAAAAAAGGTCTTATATCACTATATTTTTAAATTAAGTATATACATATTATATTAATATGGCGAAAGTAAATAGATACAAAAAATAAATAAAATTAACGTTTTAAATTTTGATAAAAATGTATTTTATTTATTTTTTAAAATCAGTATTTTATAGCACCTTATAATCGAAACTAATTATCTGGCAACACTAAAAGAGTTATATATTATAGCACAAATTTCAAAGTATAAAAACAGCTGGACTGACTACGTCGGCAATAACGCTTTAAGCAACGGCGTGCAAAATTAGTTTTCAATATGATAAGACGTTGAAGCATATACTGTTCATATATTACTAATCTGATATAACTTTCAACATTTAATCTGCTTCTTTGAAGGCTCGTCAACAAGCTATTGCACCACTTAATTATTTTTTTACACATAATTAACATTCGAGTACTAGCACTGATAAGAAATTCAACTAAATAATAAACTAGTATAGAACACCAGCACGTATTTTTTGCCCCTTCAAAATGGAAATACATACATACGTAGATACAGGAATGTTATATACATAGCTGCGCATATATGTATATATAAGAAATTCTCTTTAACATACTTGAAAGTGCAGATATTTATGCTTGTCGATGCCAATTGTTCCAACAAAAGCTTTACTGATGTGTGTCAAGTTGAGTTTTTGTATTCATGCAATTCATTCGCTACAAATTAACGCGCGAAATATAAATGAGATTGATGATTAATCAAAAACCATTTTCAACTTTTTAATGCAAGCGCACGCAAAACACTATTATATTGGAGTAGTTTAACTATCACTTCCACATTGAACTACTTGTTTCATCCAGTTATCTCAATAAAAAAAAGATATGTATTTTTATGGCAAAATATGAAGAGCTAAGGCACTATCATTTATATATAATGCAACGTAAATATTAGCACTTAATTCAATATGTTTACTATTAACATTCGTATCGTTATTTTATAATTTCTGCATCAAGAAAAGTAAAAGAGAAACATTAAACAGCTGAATTTTCGGCATATGTCTTATACTCTCTTCTTTTCTTTTGTGTGCGAATTTTCAGCAAATCTGTTCTACTTTACGCTTAAAGAATCATGTAATTATATTTGCATGGTATTCTTTCTTCGAAAAAAATTAAAAATCGTGCAAAACAACTGCATGTCAAATATACCGCGATCTTACTGTTTTCCACTACACTTCATTGAAATTAATTTAAAAATTTCGTTTGCCCTTCTCTCCGTATTCTGGGCTACCGTAGTCTAAGCACGGACATGTGTACAATATTTTCTTCGACACAAGCAGAAGAAGAAATTATCTGGTAACACTAAAATAAGCAAAACACGTACACTTTTCTTCCGCAACAAACCAACAGCAACGAGAAACGTCAACAATTGGTAAACAGCGAACACCACCACATAAAGCAAGCAACCAACAAGCAACAACTGAAGAGAACACAGGCTCTGCTTCCATTCATATAGGAGAGAATGAACGTGCTACCAGACTACCAAATTGTGTATTTAATTTTTTATACTAAACTTGGAGATAGCAATTTACTAACTTAATATACAAAGTTTACAGTTTTTTATTCTAATTTCAAATCTTAGATTTTTATACTAAAGTATCATCACCAAGCAAATTATAACTCATACCTCAAAAGAAAAATTTACATGTTGACCTTTTTCGATATTAAAAGATTATCGATTCAAAGATAGCTATCTGAAAAACTATATTTTTGGTTACCTAAGCCTTTCATTTAAATTTATTAGGAAGTTTTTGCTTTGAAGTGGGGTTTTTGGTTAAATTAAAAGTTTTTTAAGTCCGGTAAGGATCAGTAATTTTTCTCTTATTTAACAGTGTTGATTTCAATTGAGGAGGGTTTCAGATTTCATTAATTTATAATTGTAATAACAAATTTAGCTGCAGTTCAAAAATTCAAATTTACCTATAAACTATTGATACATCATCAATTACTGCTAAGTTTTGCAACGTGTATTTCTGATTTCGGGAACGTAGCGATAAGTTTTCGAAAATTTGAATGAGTCACAGAAATTATATGAATTTTTATAAAATATAGTTTCAAAAATGAAAATAAACTATTTCGAGAGGTTATGGGTATACTTGTTGGTAGTCCACATCAAATAATGAATGTATAAGTATTAAGTATGCAATTCGACAATTTAGAACGAAAACCTTAACAAAAAGAATCTGTAACTGTGTAGGAAATGATAAATTATAGGTTAGATTTTTAAGCACATCCAGAATTGATAATTCTGATATTTTTTTATCATAGTAGGTTGTTTTTACATAAACAAACCCATGATTTGGTTATGCATATGATTTTTTAACATGATCTGATTCACTACTTTGCACGTACATCTTATCTAAAGTCATGATTCTAGATTTGAAAGAAAATTATTAAACAATTTGATGGGCATATTGTAAAATTATTGAAAGATGTTTGCGTTCAATGTTTTCAGTGAAATTAAATCGTTGCCGCAAAACCAGACCAATTATTATGATTTTTTTATGAAACAGCTATAATAAATTTTTATAACCCAATAGTACATTATAGTATGACATTTCAAAGATATTGTGTTAAATTTTCATTAAGAAATATTAAAAAATACGGCAGTGGCAGCAATTACTCTGGATCGTATTGAAAAAAAAGTTGAATTGCGTTTCTCCTAGTAACTCCTCTGAAATCAAAAATTATATCGTTAGATAATCGCTTTACCCACGTACCGCTGGGAGTTTTTGAAATCACATTTTTAAAAACCAAATTTGTGCGAAAAAGTCGGTTAATTTGTTTATGTAAAATGAAAAATAATAACGACGTTAAAAAATCTCTAGTGTTACCTCCTAAATTCTGTACAAAAAGTGTTTAAATTTTTAAAACGACGATTGTTTTGAAGTTATGAGACGCACCGATTTTAAAAACGTTAGTTTGTTGGGAAAATGCTGTAAAGTTTTTAAATCTTATCTAAAACGTTCATAAGTCTGGTATTTTGATTGGATTTGACTCTTGAAATATTATGCATTAATTTATGTATAAATTTTACTCTAGAAATGTTGGAATTAATTTTTTGATTATTGAAACACCGTGTACTGAGTTTGTTATAATTTTATTATATATATTTCATACAAATGCACTACTTGTAACATTTAAGTCTTTAACCAGAAACATACACATACATATGAAGAATGTCAAATGCTTAGGCCATAAAAATGCATTTTATTAATGCATAACAATCTTTAAACAATCAATTGAGCTATTTAATGTCCCGAAATTGTGCTCTGCTTAGTTAATGCTACTGGCAATGTTTGCTTATCTGCAAGTTCCTTAAGTTGAATTGAATTTCAGGAAACTTTCTTTGATACAAAATACCATTATGTATTAACTGTAATTAAATAAAAAATTAACAAAATAATTGTTTACACACTTCTTTTTCCAAAAACTTTTATAAAATTGAATGCTAAGCAAAATTTAAAAAAATTAAATTTATTTAAAATGAGCTGGACATGAACAACGTATTATTCCTTTTAAACCATTCGTTGCTTTAATGCGTTTGAGGTAAATACTGGTTAGGGATGATTTATGAAAAATTATTATTATTATTTTTAATAACCATATCTACTATTAACATATCTGCAGTGTCTCTACACTTATTTAGCCTTTAAGGAAGCATTTAATTTAGTTGTATAACAAAACTTAACCTATTGCAAAACCAACTTTTGCAAAAATATATCTCGTCAAACTTTTCGGATCGTTTTATGGTATAAAAATGTAGAAGAAAACATAAACTTGTTCATGCTTTTGGATTTATCAATTGCACATAATTTGCTGGGAACAGCCCATATCGATTTTTGCACAAACCACGCCACCAGCCTTCATCGATCTGCAATAGCAAGACTTAAAAACCTATACAAAACATTTATTCATTATATTTACCATTTCGATATGGGTTATTGTGTCATCGGGGTCGAAGGATATTTCATCGTCGTCAGCAGCTTGATAGTCATACAGTGCAATCGCGTGAATGCCTGTATCTTCGATATAGTCAGCTAAATTATCGGAATTAGAATAAATTGCTTCTTCGGTGGTGGCAGCAGCAGCAGGAGCGCCTGAAATGGTCACTGCAATATCGAGTGCAGCAACTTCGTTTTCATTTTTCTCTTCTATTTGCGAATTTTGTTGCACTTGCTGCTGCTGTTGTTTTTGTTCAATGCTTTCTCTATTTTCGTAAACCGGTTCTTGTGTTGGGCATTCTGGTGACGATAACTGTGGTGGTGTTATTGCAGTCTCAATTTCAATAGTTGGTATGACATCAGGTGGTGGTGCAGTTATTGTGACATTCTTCTTAACGTCCTCCATAATTGGTTGACTTTGCCGTTTCTCTTCTATTTCGTTTACGACTTCAACCGGTTGAGCCTTAGGTATGATTATGGGCTCTTTACGTACTGCTGGAGGATTCTCTGTTGTCGGCGATTGCATTTGATTAAATGCACTTATTGCATTACTGATACCACCTTCGCGACCGGTCGAAATCGACGAACGACTGCCTTTTGGTGGTGGAGCTCGTGCTTCTTCAGCAGCTGGTAATGGTGTATTTTCAATAACAGTTTTTTTGGCTGCCTCATCACGATCACGACGATCTTTTTGCTCACGCAGGCGTTTTTGCTCTTCAGCCCTTTTACGCGTTTCTTCTTCGGAGTTTTTGGCCAGATTTTCAAATTTCGCACGCAAGTTGGACGGCTTCGCACCTTCAATGTTAGGTTTTACTTTGGTGTATGTAGTGCCCACCTGTTGCTTTTCGTTATCATCGAAACCAGCAGCTGATTTGTCCATGCGATCTTTTTGTATACCAAATTTTCCACCAAAACCCTATAATATACAACATTTTACCATTATTTTGTTATATAAAATAATATTAGTTATATAACAAACCACTTTGTGATCAATTTGACTCTCATGCTTTTGTGGGGCCTCTTTATGATCCCAACCCATGGCTGATTTGTCTTTGCGATCTTCCTGTATACCAAATTTGCCACCGAAACCTTTTGAATAATCTGAAATACAAATAAAAGTTCCAATAACTTAATTATTTTTAACATTGCACTTGTTGTTTTACCTTTCTGTGATTCATGTTTTTCAACCTTCTCAACGTGATCCCATCCCACAGCCGATTTGTCTACCCTATCGGATTGCACGCCAAATTTACCACCGAATCCAGCCGCATAGTCTTTCTGAGAGGCATGTTTTTCAACTTTTTCTATATGATCCCAACCTGCTGCCGACTTGTCTACGCGGTCTTTTTGAACGCCAAATTTGCCACCAAAACCGTCGCTGTAATCCTTTTGCGAAGCATGTTTCTCAACTGTTGCTCGGTAATCATGTCCAACTGCCGATTTATCCATGCGATCGCTTTGCACTCCAAACTTTCCACCATAGCCGTAACCAGGATTTTGCTCTTCTAATTCTTTCTTCTTCTTATCTTGATCAGCTTTTTCTGTTTCAAAACGCAATTTTTCCATGCTACATACATATACATTGGCATCAATTGTACGAGTGAATCATTAAATTATGTTACATTACATCTAATAAATGAGTAATCAAATATACTTACTCGATAGCACCGGCTGTACGCCCGCTCCCCTCGACGGTCTTTGATCCCCATCGCTGCTCTTGTTCACTGACATCGTTTACGAAATCCGGATCTGTCTCCCAATCATCATCAGCATCTGGTTGAGTGTTTTGGAGTTGCAGACCAGCTGTTGCTTTCCACATTTTCCTTATAATTTGCTTCTAAAAACAAAAAGGGTCTTTATCACTTTGTTAAGTGTTCACAAATAAAAAAATCAGATAAGGTTACAATCAAACTTGTTTCGGATTCTTTATCTATAGGGAGTGGTCAGCCGGTTTTTTGTTTAATAGTTGGCTACTTCTGATTTATAATATTTGATTGCTTGGAGTTTCTATGTGCTTCTAAATATAAATTACTTATTTGTTGCACTTGATTTTCCGAGTTTAATTACTTGTACTACTATTAATTCAGAAAATTGTCTCACTTCAACAAATCCCTTTTGTAAATGCAGCAAATGCTTCTTCTCTGTCAAACCAGCAACTCACAATGAGGATAAAATAAAAAGTACATAATTATTTACCAAATACCCAGACTCCAAATTACTACAATTGAGTATTACAAAATGTGTAGTACTTATTAATTAAAATGATCAATAACGAACAATAACGTTCATTTATTAACTTGAAAAGTTAACTTTGTTGTTGAAGTAATCCATATTTTGACATATATAAATTAATGCGATAGCATTTAAGAAGTTCTATTCTTAATTAACCAATATTTATCTACCTTTAATTACCTTTTTAGACTAAATGAACATTTGTCGTTATATTAAAGTTTAATAAATTGTACGTGTACGCTGTCATGAAAGAAGCACTTTTGTGAACAGACTCCAACGATAACATTTCGATATACTTCGCAAATTGAAAAATCGAAGAGGAACGGAACACAACTTCCGTTGCACGAAGGCAACACTCGTCTATTTCTTTCCGTGCGGTTCTTTAACATGACTGGTTTGTCGAATAGGGTAAGTGGCCTTTTTCTCATGAAAATGCCGAATAAATGCAATAAAAATTATTGGATATGGCTGCTAAATATACAATACGGTGTAAACTTTTCGAAAATACCAAATTTATGTCGGAAATTGAATTGTAAAGTGTTAAAAAAATAGCTAAATTCAAGTGTTCAATTGAACTTTATGGTACACGTGCCTATTTGATTTCGGGGATAAGGTAGTTTTAAAAGGTCTAAGGAAAAGTGAAATTATCAACTAGGGTCGTAATATTTTCGAATATGTGAATACGTATTGTATATTTTGTAATAAAGGAATGTGTAACCTACAGTTTTGGTTGTCATTTGTAATATAACCTAGATTTCTATTAGAACACAGTTGATCAAGATATTGTTTTGTATATTTGCAGGCCGTTGTTATTGATGGTCGTGGCCATCTGGTTGGCCGTTTGGCCTCCGTCGTCGCCAAATACTTGCTTCAAGGAGGTAAAGTAGCAGTTGTACGTTGCGAAGAATTGAACCTCTCTGGTCACTTCTACAGAAATAAAATCAAGTACTTGGCGTATTTGCGCAAACGCTGTAACGTAAATCCTGCTCGTGGTCCATATCACTTCCGTGCTCCATCAAGGATTTTCTTCAAAGCTGTACGAGGTAAGTTTCATGTTCTATAATAACAAAAAATCAATTTATGATGACTAAATTTTCTTACCTACATTATTTGAATTACAAATGTAACAATTTAATAGCTACTGATTTTTATTGCCCTAATATAATTATGATTTGTTTTAGACGGTCATTTATAAATGTGTTTCTTTACTTTCAGGTACGTAATGAAAACAATCTTATAAATAACACTAATGCGGCAGTGATGAACAATTTTTCTTACCTACATTATTTGAAGAAGAAAATGTAACAAAACCGATAACTGACGCGCCCACTTAAATTATATTTGTAGTATCTGTGTAAACAAATTTATAATTAAGACAAACTACTTTGTTGCAGGCATGATCCCACACAAAACTAAGCGTGGTCAAGCTGCACTTGCCCGTCTCCGCGTTTTTGATGGTATTCCACCACCATACGACAAGCGTCGTCGTGTCTGTGTACCAATCGCCATGCGTGTCCTCACTCTGCGTTCTGACCGCAAATACTGCCAAGTTGGACGTTTGTCAAGCGAAGTCGGCTGGCACTACCAAGATGTCGTTAAGAGTCTGGAAAGGAAACGCAAGGCTAAGTTGCGTGTCACTCTGAAACACAACAGAATCATGAAGAAGTTGACGGTTAAGGCTCGCGAAAACATTGCGAAGGTGGCGGAACCTTTCAACAAAATCATTAAATCTTACGGATACGAAGTTTAAAAAACGTACCCCTAAGTTTGTTTAAAATGATCGGAATTCATTTTTTAATAAAAAGAATAACATAAGTAAATTTAAATTGTTTTTTAACATTTTAGTAACCAATTTCTTTCAAAAGAAGAAATGTTCTGAAATTTAAATAATAGTTTGCTTGGCAATTACAGTGTATAATGTTAGGCAGACCACTTCCGTTGTTTTTGAACACGTTTGCTAAATTTAATTAATTTATAGCCAGATTGTTGGGATTGATGAAGATGTTAAATTATTATAAACTTTTGTGGAATGATTTGATGGAGCGGCAGAAACCATGCCTTAAAAAACTTCCGAGCTGTCAGCTCAAGGTTCAAGGTCGACTGGACGTGGGAACAGAAAGCTACTATGTAAACTATTTTAGTTCGACCGTAAAATAATACGAAAATTATATATAGTCTTAAATTATTTCACAAACAGCATACAAATACGAATATATTACAGCAAGCTTCACTTAAAAACACACATGCAGCTTTGAAAAATTTTATTTACTTTATATAGATAGATATTTATAATACATAATAAATATGTAAACTAGTTTATTAATATTAGTTATGTATGTTTCTGGGTATACTCGTACAACAATTTTTTCATTCAAACATTAATTTAAAGTCACTATTATTTTTTATCTGGGGCACATAGCATGTCTGCCTCCGTCAACTGGCATATTCATGCCCGTAGTAAATGTGGCCAAGTCACTGGCCAAAAAGCAAATAGCATTGGCCACTTCTTCCACATCCCCAGCCCGTCCAAGCGCATGAGTTATTTTGCAGTGCTCCAAAAATTTCTCATAAGCTTCGTCGTTCATGCCACCACTTTTGTGCAAGTTGGTGACTATCACACCCGGGTTAACTGAATTACATCGCACTCCTTTTGGTGCAAGCTCTAAAGCCACACAACGTGTAAATTGATCAATAGCCGATTTGGATATATTGTAAGCCAAAACATTGGGAAATGCTCGTAGACCACAAACGCTGGATGTATTAATGATATTGCCTTTTGTTTTAATTAGCTCAGGTACGGCGAGCATTGTCAACTGATACACAGAGCGCACATTTGTGTCCATAATTCTATCGAATTGGTCAAGGCTTGTATTCTCAATTGTGCCATTTTCAATAATTCCAGCATTGTTGACCAACACGTCAAGTTGTCCGTATCGTCCCAACACTTCACTTATAATATTTGACACAGCCGATTCGTCTGCCAGATTGACCTTTATTAATAACGGAGTCAATGAGTTCTCATTTTCACACTTAGCTGCTGTTTCCTTAAGATTTTCCACATTTCGTCCAACCAATGCCAGCTTGGCACCAAATTTAGCGAATTTCACTGCAGTAGCGGCACCAATTCCAGAACTGGCACCCGTTATTATCACAACTTTGCCCTTAAAATCCATTCTACTGTTGAATTTTCGATTGGCAAAATTTAAATCAGATAAAAAACAATACGACTTAAGTATTTAAGTACTATTGGCTGATATCAGAAGCACTGTTGCTCCGCGATTTGTTCTGATTCATGAGCACAAAAGGGGGTAGACAGAGATGTTAGACATTGTAGTTGCTTCATTTCGATTAACATATGTACTTATGTATATATTCTGTTTGTTGATAATCGACTTCGCAGCTTAATTGGTTTTCACCTTGTACTCACATCATTTTGAAGAAGGTCGTTAGGTTTGAATTTGCTTGCAATTTAGCGTGGTGTCATAGCGTGTCTCCCGCCGTCTACGGGTATATTGTGACCAGTGATGAAACTGGCCAAATCACTTGCTAGAAAGCATATTACATTTGCCACTTCAATTGGTTGACCATAACGTTCTAAAGCGTGGGTATATTTTGATTTTTTTAAAAATTCTTTGTAACCATTCTCATCCAAATATCGCTTTTGTAAATTAGTATATATAACACCAGGATTTACACAATTACAACACACGCCACGGTCGCCAAGCTCCAGCGCTACGCAGCGGGTGAAATGATCAACACCCGCTTTGGATATGTTGTAGGCCAGCGTGTTAGGAAATGAACGCATGCCGCAGATACTTGATGTGTTCACAATGTTACCTTTTGTTTTTAATAATTCCGGCACCAATATTAAAGATAAATAAAATTGAGAACGTAAATTGGTGTGAATCATGCGATCAAACTGCTCCAGGCATGTGGTTTCAATGGTACCATCCTCCATAATACCGGCATTGTTTACTAACACATCCAGTTGTTTATATTTTTTAAGCGTTGACTTAGCAATGCATTCTAAATCTTCTGGCTTGCTAACGTCCCCGACTATTTGAAGTGGTTCGCCTTGATCTTTTGACTTGGCACATTTTATGCAATTCTTAGCTGTCGTTTTAAGTCCCTCGGCGCTGAGATCGACAATGGCTAACTTGGCACCAAGCTCCGAGAAACGAACTGCAGTAGCAGCGCCAATTCCTGACGCGGTGCCAGTTACTAACACAACCTTGTTGGTGAAGTTCATAAATTTAATTCAATATTTGCGTTTAAAAAATTTAGCTTTGCAATTTTTTTTAACTTTTAAATTTTGAATGAATAATATTTTAATACAAAATTTTTTGAAAGACAACTGTTTTGTATGACCCATTGTAAAATCAGACTAAAAGTGAAACCGCTAACTTTGGTACAACATGTAAGCCCCAGTATTCTCCTCTTGATTTGAAGTAAAATATTTGTTATTCATAGGGTCAAGAAATAAACTATTTATTGTAATCACTCTAAAAAGTCTCCACTCGATTTTTATATATTTTCTTTATTATTATACTCTGACGGGGGTGTTTGTAGTTCCTGAGTTTTTGAGATATCGATATAAAATTTTGCACACGTCTTGTTCTCGCCAAGAAACTGCTCATTGGTCGGCATATAGCTGCCATACAAACTGAGCACTGAATGACCAAAATCATGTTCTTGTATGGAAAACTTATATATGTGACAAAATATCTTCACGGAATTTGGCATAGATTATTGGCCAAAACAACGCTCCAATCCTTGAAGAAATTGTTTAGATCCGACCACTATAGCCTATAGCTACCATACAAACTGAACGATCAAAATCAAGTACTTGTATGGAAACTTTTTCTTCGTGAAGTTTGTTCTAGCAGAGAACTTACAACTTGTTTTAAGTTCTCTGGTTCTAGCTTCGGTGCACCAGAATTAACTTTTTTTTCTATTAAAAAAAACTCGTAGATTTGAGATTGGACATCGAGACGAATTTGCATTTGCGGGAAATTATAATTTTTATGGGTAACAATTCGCTAGTCCAACAAAAAATATAACCGACTAACTAACCCTATTATGAAAGCACCTTCACTTCTAGATGTATATAGGTATATATATATGTACATACTTAGGTATGTAGGTATGTTTGTAAATACATATTTATGAAAGTTATTGATAATTTTGCTGTATCACTTTCAATTGGAGCCAATTAACTGACAAAAGAATCTGTGAATACATGATTGAGTTCCAAAAACATTGTAGAATAATTGCAATCATCCATGTAACGAGTGAACCTGTCAAATATATTTATAATAAATATATATCACAAAAATTTATTATTACTTTTTATAAATATATTTATGTATAACGATATCAATTTTTAACAAATTATGTGTGAAACTACTTATGTATGTAAATAAAACTGCAATGTATATTTACGAACATGCAACGCATCTATAGTATTTGATGGTACATATTGCCAAATGCAGTTTACTTAATATGTATGGATGTAAAATATATATGTATGCTCACAACCAATTTATCGCGGGCACATCGCATGGCGTCCACCGTCTACTGGCAAACTGGCACCAGTAATGAAATTCGCCATATTACTGGCCAGAAATGCGATCACACCTGCCACTTCTTCCTCCAAACCCTCGCGTCCGTCTTCATGTGTCTTGCTAGAATGTTCTAACCACTTTTGGTAGGTCTCATCATCCATATCGTCGCTTTTTTGAATTTCCGTAACATCGACGACAGGGTTAATTGAATTACAGCGCACACCTTTTTCTCTCAATTCAAGCGCTACGCAACGGGTAAATTGGTCCAATGCAGCTTTTGAAAGATTATATACGAGTACACCGGGAAATGAACGTAAACCGTTAATGCTTGATACGTTTACGATGCAGCCTTTTGTCTCGATTAAATACGGCACAGCCAACGATGTTAGTTGAAACACGGCGCGCAAATTAATATCCATAACGCGATCATACTGAGCCATTGTAGTTGTTTCAATGTTGCCAATCTCAATAACGGACGCGCTGTTAACGAGCACATCGATACGTCCGTAAGTGGCTATGGTTTTATCAACAATATGACGTACCTCCTCCTCATTGATCATGTCCGCATGCACAATCAATGGTGAGTGATCATGTACATCAATGACCTTGTCGGCAACAGCACGCAAGCTCTCATTATTGCGACCGACAACAGTAAGTAGGCCGCCCCACTTGGCAAACTCCATGGCGGCTGCGGCGCCAATGCCAGAACAAGCCCCAGTGATAATAATAACTTTATTTTTAAAATCTAAAGGAGATGGCGGTAGTGGAATAACCACGGGCTCCTCTACATCGATTGAATGATTGAATCCAATTGGAAACATTATGCAGAATAAGAACAAAATTTATCTAACTTCGTACAGACGGATATGTGTAGTAAAGTAAATGGCTAAAGAAACAACCGACACACAAGAATGAGCAACGAAAACTGTGGGTTGTGGACTGAACAGCTCTAAGAGACGTGATCACATTAGGTCTATCAAATCAGCTGCCTATTAATATTGTTTATTCGCCTTTCTGTACCAGCAGAAAACAAAAAATGCGATTCGATCGTACATAAACACATACTTGTACATAATCACTTATACAACTTGCATGAATGTGTATACACAGAAGTTCTTCTTTATCTATCGCTCTCACGCCCACTGGACTTTTCTCTTGGCCATCAGTGCTTGCCAAACTTTTTATGCATTACGCATTTATTAATTTTAAATGTTGGGTAGGTAGTAACAATTGCACTGAACTCTTTTGTCGATGATAGAATTTCCGTGAATGAATTTTATTATTATATGGAATACTAGTTTTGAATGGGAAAGTAAAAAAAATTTGTTCAAAGTATTGACCATTGCTTTTTATACATTTTGACTACCTTTCCAGCATTTTGTGGGACCATGACAATAGAAATGTTCATCTTTTGAAGCAAATCCATCAGACACCCCATTTTCGACTTATGCGTAGGAATCGAAGTGCGGCTCAGCCAATGCGTGTCCCATCGATGACAACAATTGGTAATCGGAAGGGGCCAAGTCTGTTGAATATGGCGGATTGGATGCGCTCGCAGCCAAGTACTTAGATTGTATCCTGTACCGATTGTCGTGTAACAAAATTACTTTGCCGTATCTTCTGGCCCATTCTGATCGTTTTCGACCAATAAATGGTACAAATTGATCATTTGTTGTCTGCAGCGATTAGTTTTAACAGTTTAACCTGGTTTTAGAAGCTCATGATATACCACACCCTACTGACCCTAGCAAACCAGAGCCTTCTTACCGAATCGATCTGTTTTTGCAGTCGATGTTGATGGTTGTCCCGAATTAACCCATGATTTTCTCCATTTAGGATTCCTAAAATAAATTCATTTTTCATCGTTAGTGACAATTCGATGCAAAACTGAGTTTATTTCTTGTCTTTAAAGAAAAATTTCACAAGTGTTTTTTTGGGTTTCCATTAGTCTTCCATTCAATTCGCGTGTCACCTATTTTCCATACTTTTGGATCTTTCCCATAGCTTTCAAACGGTCTGAAATTGTAAGTTGTGCAACATTTAACATGGCTGCCATTTGCTTTTGATTCAGAGTATCATCTTCGTCTAATATGGCTTGCAGTTCGACGTCAATTTTTTGGTGCTATTCTATAGTCTTCATTTCTCACATCAAAATCATTATTTCTGAACCGCTAAAACCATCTTTATGTTGCTTCTGATAGAGCATGATTACAATATGCTTCGATAAGCATTCGATGCGACTCTACACCACTTTTCTTCAAATGGAAACATAAAATTAATGCTTTCCTCAAATCATCACTTTCCAGCACAAAATTTCTCATTTTCAACACAATGAAAAAATACGATGTTTGTTCAATTACTGTAAGGTTATTGAATATGTTTGACAGATGTCATGCCAACCAAACAGATAAAAATTAAGGCTGGTTCACAACAAATGTTCCCTACCGCACATATGAACATACAGGTATAGCAAGATTGGGAACTACTGAACAACAACTAAATGTAGGTATAGATCGTTTGTTGGAGCAACTTCTTACACTCTCGCCGGCAATTGGTTTTGACTATTTTTACGGTCAATGATATTTTGATAAACTTGTTTTGTTTGACAATTTTGCTAGCAGATTTTCCACAAGCGACACTATTGGAATAAAAAATAAAATTTAATTATTTGCTGTGTTCGCATCTTTTTAAATTGGAATTTGCCCATCAAAGAGGTGTGTATAGCGAATAAATGTATGTACGCACATATAAAAAATTTATATTAAATTCTTTGAACCGAAAGTGAAAATCTAAAGCAACAAAACTGATTTTAAATGTTGTTGTAGTGGCAGAACTCTGTCGAGCTGACAGTCCTTGGCCGGAATAAATCCGGGTTCGTTCCGGTTACGTAGACCCGACTGTCGTGGGAACGGCTCTTAAATCTTCACTGTTGCTGCTAATACATAGAAATTACATATATGTACATATGCTGATAAATAAATTATGTATGTAAATGTATAGACTTTTTATTTGCGGTATTTAATAAAGTACAAAATTTTTTAACATCATACTATTTAAATATAAAAAAACGTAAAATTAAATAGAATTAAATGCAATTTTCTGTAGGTATTACTCAGTTACCGAGGACACATAGCATGTCGACCGCCATCTACGGCCAAACTTATACCAGTCGTGAAAGTGGCCAAATCACTAGCCAAAAAAGTGATTGCATTTGCCACTTCATCTGCAGTGCCAGGCCGACCTAAAGCATGTGTTGTTCGGGAATGTTCTAGGAACTTTTTGTATGTTTCTTCATCCATTCCTCCGCGCTTGTGTAAATTAGTAATGGTAACACCAGGATTAACACAATTCACACGCACACCTTTGGCGGCCAATTCCAAAGCAACACACCTAGTAAATTGATCTACTCCCATTTTCGAAATATTGTAAGCTAGCACACCGGGGAACGAACGTATACCATTTACACTAGAAACATTTACAATATTGCCTTTGCTTTTAATCAGTTCAGGTACGGCCAACATTGTTAGATGGTATATAGCACGTAAATTGGTATTCATCACACGATCATATTGCTCCAGGTTAGTATTTTCGATACTACCTGTTTCAATTATGCCAGCATTGTTAACTAATACATTCAATTTTTTGTATTTTTGTAACGTCTCCTGCCAAACCCTTTCTGTGTCAGCTTCTTTGGAAATGTCGCCTACAACCAAAATTGGTTCCTTACCAACACACGCACACTGACTTGCTATAGTTTTCAGATTCTCAGCATTGCGTCCATTTAGAGCAAGTAAGGCACCCAATTGGGCAAATTTTACTGCTGTAGCTGCTCCTATCCCAGAACTTGCTCCAGTTATGAGCACAACCTTTCCCGCAAAGTTCATGGTTTAATGTTGATAACAGAATCACAACTGATCATTATATAAATTACCGAAAGATAAGTGCTATTTGTTTTTATTTCTTTACATTATTTTTGCTTCTCTTTCGACATTCTTGTTTTGGATTCATCAGCTGTTTTCAAATACAATGACAGTAAAGCTGAAACTAGATAACTCGCGTAGGCGATGTGAAATGCATACAGATTTTCAACTTCAACGCATTAAGATATGACGTTAAGGTGTTTTCGATCGGTATATTTGCAGTGAAGTTAGTCCGTGTTTTTTCTATGTTCTATTTTTTACTTTTGGTATGCGCAAGTACGTTTTTACGGTTCTCCAAACGAGAGAGGTAACGAGTACTAAATTCTTCAATACTTTCATTTACAGTGAGCACTTCTAAATCTGGATAGAGGACGTTATTTCTAAAAAAGAACGGAGCACCCATAGTACGAACAACTTCAGTTATTTCGTTCCTTGAAGAACGAGCGTAAAATGAATTTGTATGTGGTATTTCGGCGATCTAACCCAGTTTGGATCGGTAATGTTTAGTTTAAGTCTGTCGTCTTTAGATCAACACCTAGCAGCAAGGTTCCTCCGTATCCTCCTGTCCCGTGCTGGTATCGAGTCCAACCCGGGCCCCGAGGAATACTTCTGTTGCATTTGCGCGAACCAAACTTCACCTCGGTTAAGTGCAACACATGCAATGGATGGAGCTACCTTAAGACCTTTTCAGGCCTTAAGGCCCATGGGATTGGACCACAAGTTACGTGGCCCCATGCTGACAATGCACAATTGCGACACCTGTCTCAGTGGACGTGCAGTCTACACCATGTTCGCGCACTGCGCCGCCACTCCAGTCGAAAGGCCAAGCAAGGACCTCTACGGCCATAAAGAGATACTACCCTAGAATGTCATAGCTATACCCTATCTGGTCAGGCGATGTCGAGCTCACATATTCATTATATACAACCGGCAGTTACATGTTGCCCAAGAGGATATCACCCGAACATACTTAGGTGCCCTACTTCGTGGTGAAAACCGTTTGGTGCTTGTCGACTTTAACGCGCACCACGATTTTTGGCACTCCTGCCTGTCAAACGATCGTAGGGGGATGGAGCTGGCGGAACAGATAGACGATTCGACATTCTGCACAATTAATGATGAAGCCCTCACCAGAATTATGGGCACCTGTAATAGCTCGCCGGATATTACCATCGCCAGTGGTGGTCTGATAAATAGCATAACCTGGAGACTTATACTCTCCCGACTTTATTTCTGTGGACAACCGCACCTTTGTTAACTTTAACAAAGCTAACTGGGTCGGCTGTACAGAATTTACCGAGATCACCTTCGCAGCACTACCCATTCCTACAAACATCATCGTTGGCGAGCGTCAATTCCTCAAGGTGATCGGGAATTTCCTTGTCCTTGTACACAGACGACTGCACGATATTGACGTCGGGCAATGTAATCGATGGCATGTGCTCAAAAGTAAACGGCTATCTCTCTCATATTCACAAACTGGTCAGACAGTGGACAGACTAAAAGTACACAAAAACTCATTCCTGGGTCTTCCGTTAGATAACTTCGACGACAACCAAATCTAATCTTACTACCCAAGCGGGGAATAGATAACCATAACAACAACAACAAATTTACTGTCTATGGCTGCTTTAAGCAGCTATGCATCAGATATGTAGTATTCTACTCATGTGTCAAACGTACTCACATAGGCAGTTATGTAGTTTCTTCTTAACGCAATAGCAAGTTTGTTTTGATTTGTTTACAGCAAATAAACCTGTTGCTTTGAAATACCTTTTATTTTATTGCCGTCTTTTAAAACAAGAAAAGTGGGAAAATAATCTTTAGAAATTCTGCAAGGGCTAATTTTTAATTTAGTTTAATTATTTCATTTGGAATCAAAAATCTGCGCCTTAACGTATATTACAAAAAGAGCTAGAAATACATACATATGTATGTACAACCAGAGAACTTAAAACAGTTAAGTTCTCTGGTACAACTAACTTTTTAATCCATTATGTCACAATTTTAATATATTTAATAAAATTCCATAAAGCATATTTTAGTTAAATTTTATTTATGTAAGTATATATAAATTCATTAAAAGCTAAAACAAATTCATATATATAACATCTCAGAATTTGATGTACATACAATGTACATATACATCTATTATCAAATCACCGTGGACACATAGCATGACGTCCTCCATCTACTAACAAACTAGTGCCAGTCGTAAAAGTGGCCAAGTCACTGGCTAAAAATGCAATAGCATTTGCTACCTCTTCTACGGTACCAGGTCGACCAAGAGCGTGTGCAGTTTTCGCGCGTTCCACAAATTTTTGGTATGTCTCCTCATCCATACCGCCGCGTTTGTGTATATTTGTTACAACTAATCCAGGATTGACACAATTTGCTCGAACACCTTTTGGAGCAAGTTCCAGAGCGATGCAACGAGTGAATTGTTCTAAGCCCATTTTAGAAATATTGTACGCAAGTACACCGGGGAATGAACGTATGCCATTCACACTTGATACGTTTACGATATTCCCTTTGGACTTTATCAATTCCGGTACAGCCAACATTGTTAAGTGATACACAGCACGTAAATTGGTGTTCATCACACGATCATATTGTCCGAGGGTTGTATTCTCAATACTGCCTGTTTCAATGATGCCAGCATTGTTAACCAATACGTCCAATTTATTATATTTTTTTAAAGTTTCCTGCAAAAGTCGTTCCGTGTCATCTTCCTTTGATATGTCTGCTATGACCAAATGTGGATCCTTACCAACGGCAGAGCACTGTTCTGCAACGACTTTTAAATTTTCTTCATTACGTCCATTGATGATTAGTAAAGCTCCCAATTCGGCGAATTTTACTGCAGCACCTGCTCCTATACCGGAGCTGGCTCCTGTGATTAACACTACTTTACCCTCAAAGTTCATGGTTAAATGCCGGTGTTGACATAGACGCCAAGTTATTAATAGAATATTATGTAATCGTCTTGTATAAAACTGACTTTTACAGGAAGAATAATTTTTCGATAGTTTTAAACAATTTACTAATGAAAAGTTCGTATAATACCATGTATTTAATAATTATTTAGGTATGGCCATAAAATTAGAAGAGATTTAAAACACTTTAACTACGATCATTTTATAAATCTACATTATACAATAATACTGTGGCGTACACGAGTACCAGAACAAATCAGAACTGACGATAAACTGCCAGAAGCAACTAGACAGCGAATTCGTAGTTGCCAGAATGTTCTAGCAGCGAAGTTTTGTTAAAAATTTACTATATAAGGGCTGCCCGATTGTGCGGCAGACACAGTTCTAATTAGAGTGTTGTCGTGTAAAGAGCAATTAAGCTATAAGCAATAAGTTGTAAGTTCGAATAGCGAGCAATAAGTGTTAAGTTGTTGGAATTGGAAATAAAGTTAAGTGTATAGCATTAAATTGGGACTTTAATTTAACAATCCAGTGATCGAGCTCAAGAGTGAGTTATACTTAGACGATTTATCGAGAAATCTGTTACAATACAATAACTGCAATAGAGCTAAATAACAATAGTTGGGACTATCATTTTTCTTGGGGAGTTCTGGCGAAGATCAATCGTTTTGAAAAAATCTTTTTTGAAAAGAGTGGTTTCTTCCTCAAAGTGCGCCCGAATAACTTTGCTTGATTCAAAAGTCTTCAGACAAGTCTGCAGAATAGTGGAGTCATTGTGGAATAAAGTACTTTACCGAAATGTATTTTAAGTATAAATTTCTTGATCTCATACTACATTAGTAAATGTATAAAGAAAATACCTTTTTATAACTCGTCAGCTCTCAGAGATAAGCTGCCATATACCTGTATCATGAAAAGTTGTATATGTAACTTTATTTTTTTTCCTTATTGTTCATGTTTTGTTTTATAAATAAATCCAAAGATTATTTCATAAAAATGAAGTGTACAAAGCCAAGGTCTCTTAAACCAAGGTCATTTAAACCAGCGAAGAGAAGTAGATTTAATGGAAAAAACAATCGATAGTAGTTAAATACATGAATATATATGTATGTATATGTTTGATTAATATTTTAATGATAATTTTTAGTAAATATACATATCTAAATACACTTTTTTTTGTCCCTAAATAGAGAATAGCAGAGAACTTAGAACCACGAAAAAGTGCAAATTGAATTTTGTATGATGCTCGATTGGACTGTTAACAGAGGTGAACATTCCGAGCACGGAATTCACCCTTTTCTGTGGTATTCGCTGCTATTTAACTGAAATGAGAGTTTATAACAACGTTCTCTGGCAGAAATACGTGTCTACCAACATAAAGAGAAAAATAAAATACTTTAAACAAAAAATACAAATGCAACTTCACACATGCGTGATTATTTTTTGTCATATAAACAATTTTTATGATGAAAAATTGATACAATATGACTTTTTTTGCAAAAATGCGAAAGATTATGCAAAAAATATATAATATTGTTAATTGTTCCAAGTTCTCTGGTTCGATCATACCTGCTCGTCGCCAATTCGCAAATGATTTTGCCATGATAACAAATTCTACATCAAATATTTGCCAACCTCATTGGCAATAGATTGACAGTTGGTTGGCAATAATTATTGGCTTTGGAGATGCGGCATTATGATTGATGCTTTGTCTGTACAGTGGGACTCCATGAGAAGCGTATAAGTACGTGCGTTGTGCGTTTCCTGCACTTAACAGTCCATAAAGCAAGCAAGACAAGTCCTTAAAGATATATATTTAACATATATATTTCCTTTCCAATAGGCAGACGTATAGAAAATTAAAGAATTCAAATAAAGGGTGCGAGTTTATCTAATTGCCATTTTCCAAATGCACGTCCACATAGTAGTACAAAATTTCATATAAACTCAAAAATTACGAAGGATTTTAAAAGTTTAAATTTACCAAGGGTTTTATAATCAACTGTTCGAAAGTAAGAGACTAAAATGTGCGATTGTACATAAGTATTTATTAATGTTTAATTTTTTTTTATAATTCCACGATTAAATCAACTTTTCTTTTAACTTATTTATGTCTCTCTTAGATCCACTACAATGTGCAATGCAGTTAAAGGTATATTGTATTACTTTCATTATTATTAATACTTAAATACAATACATTTCCACTTTAATATTCCATTAACCATCGATTCCCCACGATTTTATAGTGAATGGATTCAACAAAATTGCAAATCTGATAGAAAACGCACACACAATACATATACAGTGCATACGCTTTATAAAGCAATCCAAAAGCGTTGACTTAAATTATTACAAAATCTTATATAGCGTTTCATTTTGCATTGGTTCATACATCTTTATGTTAGGTTATATGTAGTTGTGTATTTGTTTTTTGTTTAGTATCTTAAAAAAATATTTCTTTATTTTTCATTACACTTGCAGCAATTTCGCGCAAGTCTTTTGCATTAAAGAAAATTATGTATGTAGAGATATTTGTATTTGGAGGCCAATATAGACACCATACATATATACAGTGTTGTGCTATTAAAACAAACTTTAAATTATGTAATGCTATCCATAATTTTATGATTATACATTTTGATGCCGTTACATGGCCTAAGCTCAAACGTTAAATAAATTTTCAACTGTTTACGATGCGAGCACGTTTAAGTTTTGCATTCTCGCAAAAAAATTAAGGCGACTTAGCCAAAAGTTTATATAAATGACACTTTTAACTGAAGTGTGTGCTAGTTTCTAAATACTAAAGTAAATCTGTATTTGAAAAGTGTATTTGTTTAGATAATTTTATAAATGATTATACTTTTGCTTACCGATTGTTGTAAACTATTTTGGAAGATATATTCGAGATTAAAATATTTTTATTTTTATGGGTGTATGTATGTATGTACGCTGCATGTATTAATATTTTGTTAAAAAACAAATAAACTATGAGTTACAAGCGCAAAACATGCAACAAAAAAAATAAAAAATAAATAAAAAATTAAATTACAAATAAAAAATTAAATTACAAATAAAAATATATAAAAATTAAATTAACAAATAAAAATTAAATTAACAAATAAAAATTAAATTAACAAATAAAAATTAAATAAACAATAAAAAACAAGTAATTTTCTTTCGTTAAAGCAACAACAATGTCGTTTCAAATTTCAACATTTTACTTTTCAATTTGAAAAAGTGAAAATTTGAGCTCTTGAAGACTCGTTCAATGCAGACACATATCACGTGTTTAATATGTGTTATACACAAAATGCTGAAAAATTAAAAGAAAAACATATTAACTAGTAAGTTTATATACATAGATACTCGGTTTGTTCGCTGCTATCATACTTTCATTTTTCTTGGATAAAATTGAGAGTGAAATATTCAGAACAATGGCTTTGTAAATAACATAATTACATACACATAATTACATAGCGTGTTAATACTATTGATTTCAAAGCATGTAGTATATGGAGCAAAAGAAAATTAAAAATTGCAACACGCAACTAGACTTAGATGGCGCCTTGAAAAAAGTCCATGTAACAATAATTATTAGTATAAAAACAGCAGAAATAAAATTAGCAAAAAATTCGATTTAATTTTTCCAATGTTAGCTATGTATTTTAGGCTCGGCAGCGGTTTGGTGGAAAATTGAACATTAATAAATTAATACAATTTAATAAAAATTAATTCTAAACATTTTGATTTTTTATAAAAAAAATATGAGGATTTAAAGAGAGTTAGTTAGTTTTTTTTTAAGTGAAATCCATATCAGTACACTCACAGTATAACTAAGCAAATTGTTAAAGATAATCTACAATTACAGTACATAACTTACAACAAGTAATGATAGTATATTTTTCGTTTGCCTCCTTCCATGCACGTACATATGTATGTTTCGAGGTAAAAATATTCGTGTTTAAATGTTTGTTTATCTGTGTTTATTGATTTCCATCAAGTAACCTGCGGGTTTGTTAACTCATTTGCCTACATATTTTTACATAAAAAAATTACTTAACAATTATTACTTATATGCGGCAAAGAAATACAATACGAATCATTGTGAATGTCAATGTAAATGGAAAATTAAAAAACAAAATTATATTGTAATAAAAAATTCTTAAATTAATCACACAAATGTTTGTGAATGATTGCGAACTGAATGAATGCATTTCTTAAGCGCATCAGGCATTTGAGCGTCACACTCACGCACTTACGTACGCGTGCATACACTATACTATGCGGCCATTGCTTGATAATCAGGCAACTAAATAATTATTAATAACGAGTAATTGTAATGCCATGTAATGCTACGCTTTTTGGGCTTAGCTCATACATAACAAGTACAAAACACACATACATCAATTGAGAGTATATGCACATCGGCCAAACATTTGATATACATAGGTCGCTGCGTTGACGACGTTGACCGCTGAGATCACTTAACTTCCTTGGCCATTAATTAGTTCATCACATATCTTAACCAGCTCCGCATTTTCTCTCGACTTTTGCAGTAATTGCTCATTGATAGAGGCACGTGAGATTTCCTCCTTTTTGAGTAGTGCTTTCAGTTTTGTTGTTTCGATACTGTGCTCTTTGTTAAGTGATTCGAGCTTTTTGTTGGCGCTATGTGACAAGTAAAACAAAAGATATTATTATAGACAGACCAAATAGGTTGTTATTCGCAAAAGCTTAACTCACATTTCCAGCTGTTGCATCGCATGATTCTTCATTTTTTCATATCGCTGCTCTTGAAGTCGCAGATTTTCCAGTATTTGCCGCTTCTCTACCACTAAAGCCTCTTCGTCTGCTTTCAGCTGCAGCGTCATTTCCTTACTTTTGCCATATTTGCTGTTTAGTTGATTAAACAAAAAATATGTAGTAATTTGAGTGAAAATAAAGACAGGCTTCTTACACATGCAGATCAGCAAATGTCGTTTCGAGTGACGTGAGATGTTGATAATTCGAGTCGCGATCCGCCTTGACCTCCGCCAACTGTTTCTCGTAGTTTTGTAATAATTGCTCTTTTTCAGCGATTAGCTCAGCAATTGCTTTTTCGTACGCTTCAATGACACCGCTGAGCCGCGAAGTTGTCGAATTTAAGTTTATTTTTGTACATGTGCAAAAGAAAATATACAAGAAGTGAAATATTTGTACGAATTAGCAAAGAGGCAAAAATGATTAATTCAAATATATAAAGTGTGGGCGATTGCGTATTAGGCACTTACGTCATTTTTGTTATTGTTTTGTCTTTTTCCGTTATCCGCTTGATTAATGCCTCCTCGCGCTGTTCAGCTTCTTTCAATTTCTTTTCGATATCCTCAGTTTTGAGTCTAAAAAAGGGTAATGAATGAATAATGCAAAAATAATAGCGAATAATATGTATGTAGTGTATGTATAAAACTGCAAATTGTAGATATACCAAATATGGTGGAAATAAGCTTAATATTTTATTTTTCAGTTTTATTATTGCGCTCCACCTACAGTGTTTAGTATTAGCGCCACTGATAATTAAATTTATCTTTGAATGTTTTAAATTTTTCTTAAAGGGCAGTGACTTACACTTCGTTTTTAATTTTCTTCTCGAGTTCATCCATTTTGTAGTTAATTTGTTTTTCATCGGGTTGTGAGCTAGAAGCGGTAAGAAAAAGTAAGGTTAGTTCGACACTTATAACTAAAAATAAATAGAATCGACTTTATATAAAGCGAAAAGGAAAAATGCCTTGAATTGATAATTTTTATTTATTAATTGAACATTAGGATTAGCGCTGGTCTAACAATTATTTTTACAAAAATTAAAAGTCACAATATTTGAGTGAAGAGTTTAACTAGTAAATCTTCTGCTAAGAAATACCATAATTTAAATCTTAGAGAATGGCGAATCAAATGTAAATAAAAAAGAGAATATATTATATCTATTTCTTGTGTTAAATGCAGATTGATAACTTTGTTTTTGTCTACACATGTGAGCAGAGCTCAAAGATAAAAGGGAATGCGGCGAATAAAAACTAGGCGGTTTATAAGCTGGCAAATAGCATCTAATAGACCGAATTTTAATTATCACCATTTTTTTTCTAATGCAAAACCGCAAAGGGGAATAAGAATTTTGTGTTAAGAATTTTGTACTAGTTACGCACGGAATTATTATAATATATTTTTTGACATTATATACTCAGTTTTTGAGACATCAATCTGAAATTCTGCACACGAAATGCCGCTATCAGACCACTACAGCACATAGCTGTCATTCAAACTGGCCGATCAAAATCAATATGAAGATCTTTTTTCTATATTAAGTAGATTTCGACTTGAATTCTGTTTATACAAAAAATACGAGCCTAGAAAAAACTAGGAAACGGTTTATCTTGGATGCAAACAGTTGGTCGGTTACGTTTTCAGATTTAGTTATATGTACATATACATAGTATATATTACACTTCGTTCGTTTAAAGTCCAACTATTTGCTAGTTACTTATGTATAATATAATAATAAACCGGCGCTTGTATTCTGTCAAAAATATTTGTCCAATTTGCACTTACTTTGAATTCACAAAAGATTTGTTAGAATCGTTGTCGATATTCATATCCTTAATCACGTCGACACTCATACTGGCATGCTTCTATGTATTACAAAAGAAAAAATATTCATTAAATTTTGTCGTTTTGATAAAACTATTCATATTCACCTTTAAAACAGCTGGTTGTGGTTGGCGTTGATGTTTCTCTGCCGAAATCTTAATCAAGTTCTGTTTCGACTTGGCACTCTCCTCTTCGTCAGTTTTCCTTTTATTATCTGTCTCAACAACAAACGATTGATTATTGCTAATGGATGATGTGGACGCTGATGTTAAGTGCTCGTCCTCTTCGAGTGTTGGACTTAAGTTAGTTAGATTATCGCCTAAAATGTTTTGCAATATTTGTGGTGTTTGCTTTGTTGGTTTCTGTTGTAGCACTTGATTTGCAGGTACTGGCACGCCAAGTAACGGATCGAATTTCAGTAAAATTGAACTGCGATCAATTGGCGCGCTATTATTGCCTTTTGTGAGTAGAAAATCGAAGTCGGATGGATTCAAAATTACTAAGATTTTTAATGGGTTTCACATTAACGATGAGCGTGCATGAAAAGTATACAAAATAAACAGTTATTGTTAGCAATAGTCGATTATATACAATAAGTAGTTAGAAAATTGATGTATGTGATATATCTCAATGATAAAACACGTACAGACTTCTGTAAATGACTCTGTTAATGTTTTGAATATTATTTTTCTTTTTGTCTTTGTTTTCGAAAATTTTTCGTTCAGTACCGAATTGTTGGAAACAAATATTTTGTACATTAAATAATTGAAGAATGCTGCTAAATTATCGAAATTAAAAAAAATTATAAATAAACAAATTTCCATAAGTGAAAATTTGTTAAGTTTAGTTCTTAAAAAATTCAAATAATTGTATCACGTAATTTTTTAAACGCAGATTGTGTTAAAATTAAATATGTGTGAACCTATTAAGGAAAAAAAATTCTTAAACCATTTAAAATTTTTTTTAGATACGTAATATGTATTAAAAGTTCAAAATTATAAGTAAAAAAAAAAAAGTGTTAAAAAATCGTCAAATAAGTTAAGGGTTAAAGGTAGTCAGAATTTAAAAAAAATCGAAAAAAAATTCCTGAGTCCGCAATTGTGTTAATTATAAACACTAGAATAGCTATTAATGAAACTATTTTTGAATGTCCAAAGATTAGTAATAGTCACTGCAAGAAACTTCGGTTGGAACTAACTTATTAACTTTATTTTTCAAATTTCTGTTGGTTTTTACTTTTATAAAATAAATAAATTTATTGGCAAAATCAAACTATTTGAAAATTAAATTTTTTCATGTCTCTGGCTACACCTAATCCCTTAAAAGTAAAACTAGAGTTAAGAAATTAAGTTTTTTTTTATTTGTACAATAATTTATTAATAATTATTATTAAAACGAAATGTATCCAAATTAACAGCAATGTCTCCACTAAAATAAGTAAGCAATCTAATTAAACGCCAGCCTCTACACTGATCGTATTAAACTGGTTTACTAATAAAAAAAGGTGATTCTCATATTTCCGCAGATTCAACCATGCTATTTATCGCGCATAATAAAAATCTGAAGCCTTCACATGCCTATGCAAAATCAATACAACTAACACTGTGAAAATTCCTTTGTTTTCCGTTTAAACAAGGAAAGAAAATAATAAAAAAGCTGCAAAATAGAACTAACTACTTGTTTGTCACCTACGCTGATAGAGATTGATTATTTGTGGGCGTACCAATATGACAAAACAAGCAATACCACAGAAAAGACATGCTGAGCATCAATACAAGAACATATATTACACATCTCAATAAGAGCAGAGGAAGTAAAAATAAGTTAAACGTACTTGAAATGGGAAATCGAACAATTTTAATTGTAAACAAACAATCAAAGCCGATAAAAAGCGGCTTGAAGAATAAAATATTTGTTATACTTATGTTGCAAATATTTTTTTTTTTTCAATTTATGGCACTTTTGTTAACTTTGCTAACTAAACTGCAGCAGAGACGAATCTATATCAATAACGCTTGCGAAAATAAACAAATAATTATGAGAGGCAACTAGACAAGCAATCAAATAACAAAGTATATGAGACTGAGAAAACGAGTCAAGTCTGCACGACTTGGAACACATGAGCGAATATAAAAGTCAGCAAGTGAAAGACGAAAAAGACGACAGGCAAGGAAATGAAAGACATGTGTGTAGAAATTCATTTGGAGAATGAGTATGATCAACATCAGAGTCAAATTGATTTGGCACGAAAAACGAGAAAAGACGAGCAAAAATAAAATAAAACCACTATTACAGAATGATGCACAGATGAGGAGATACACTTTGCAATGAGCACTTTAAATTGGCGTTAAAATAAATGAGTAATTACATATGCTCCTACACAATCACACATATAACGGGCGGCAATATTATCAATCAAAGATAGCATGTATGACTACTGCAATGTGTAATGATTTCTCATGGAAACTTAAAGGTTCGCAATTTGCGGAAATGCTCTTTGCATTTGTTTACAATGACGCGCGTTGCGTTAGTTGGCCGCATTTTTTCTTATTTGAACTGAAAAGTGACTCATTCGAGCGTCTCGCCGCTGCTTTTCCGCCCTACGAGCGCATTTGCCCTTTCATTTACAAAACCTTACAACCGGAAAAGCAGCAGCGCACAAATACATTGCAACATTGGATGGACGACTAGGCGGAAGAACTTTTGCTTTGCTGGTAACGCGTAATTGTGTCTCTGCCTTCGTTTTAGATACACCAAATGTCGACCTACTATTATCTACACGATTGTCTCTAGAGGGCAACAACTTTTGATTAAAGTTTATGTTAGTTTATAAATTAACATATCGACTGCACTGCACTACACACTCACACCCATATATATACATATATATGTATACACAATTGTTAAGATATGTTGAGTTATTGAAGGTTGCGGTCATATAGCAGATGAAAAGTAAAACTATCAAAATTCCATTTATTTCACTATACCATACACTTAACCACTTTGGGTAGACAGGCGAGGACGGAAAAAATCCAAATTCATGTACGTCACGCATCTGTTAGATACTTTGGACGATTACATTGCTTGGAGCATTTTCAATGCCTTCGCAACACTTGCAAACGTTATGGGATGTGTTAAAATTTATACTTTTGTAATTGGAAAATTTCGGTTTAATTACTTGTTTTTAGCTTTTGATAGATTTTCTTCGTGGAAAATTCTCAGCACAAACATACACTCCAAATTGAGACCGCAGCAACACCGACGATGAATAAAACAAAAACGTAAACGTCGTAAACGAAACACAACGCGACGTCGACGACCAAACTTGAGAAACTAAACGGCAAAATTCTCCACGTAGAATTTGGTTTCTCCAGCAGAAGCAGCAGCAGTCACACGTCCAACGAGTCTACACGCCATTCAGATAAGCGAGAATGTTGTGCATTTTGTAGAGCTGTATAGGTGACTGGAGTTGAGTTGTGGTTAGTTCTTGCCTGAAGAATAGCATTTACTAAATAGCGATAGTACGTGCATTGAAAGAGAGCGACAGAGAGAGTAAGTGTGAAAGTGTAAGCGTAACCGAGAGTTGGTCACTTCCAAGGTGCCAACAGAGAGCGGGGGAGTGAAGGGTCAACAAGTTGGTGGAGTCAATCAATGTTGTTTATTTGGCATATATATGTTTGTAAACATATATGCAATGGATTTTTAACAGCCTCTCATGTATTTTCAATATAGAAGTGCTTCAAAGAGCATTTATAATACGAGAGAATAAAATGGAGCACATTGATTCTAATGCTCTCTGTTTTGTACTCGCTCATGCGCTGACTTTTTGACTGCGATTATATTGCTGGAGACTGGTTTTGTCATATGGCCTGACTGACTAGTCAGAGTTGCATTTCTAGCAGTCTATATAAAAATATTTAAAGGGGACATATTAAGGACTTATTTATATTAATTAACAAAAATATATATTTTAAAATAAAAAATACCAATTTTAAATCATACAGTAATATGTATAAATTAGGCAAGCTAAGTAAATGCTAGTAATTGTTGTGCACATTTGCTAACTATTGTTGTAAAATTTATACTATAAACTATTTTCGATTATCGAATATATGAAGAAACAATTAAGTAATGTTTTTAATTTTACTCATTTTAATTAATGGAAGCAAATGCCTTGAGTTTGCTAAACTTACTGCCTGACATTAAAATGCCCATTTCAAGAACTTCTCCGCCGAACATATGCACAATTCTTTAATCCTCAAAACAATACTTGTAGTATTATACGAAATTCTTAATTAATGCAATTTGATTCAAACGGTAAATTGGTAATCTTTTCTAGTTAGATCATAACACAAACCATTGTCACTCATAGAATCTCTGAGTTGTTGAGGAAGATGAATGAAAGAAAATTACTAAAAATACACAACTTAATGCGCACTTATATTTTCTATTTTTATAAAAACGAAAACCTAAAAAAAATTAAAAGTGGTAAAGCTACAAATCTAAATTAAATCATACAAACATATATGTGACTATATTAAACAAAAAGAGAGAAAACGTGGACAGGAACATTAGTGCATACAAAAAAATGCTATTGACATTAGCCTATGCTACTAATGTTGTCATTGACTTTAAATACCATACATGACGTGCAGAGTTTGCTGGGTCAAAGCAGCTGCAACGGGAGGGGATGGCATAGACAACACCGTTGTACTAACGCATAGTATATCATCGCAAATTAACCGTTGGGCATGCAAATGACAAACTGACTGACTGTTGGTCGATTTGCGAATAGTAAAATAAAAGGAAGATGGAGCAGATGCAATATATAGTACGCATATAAAGATTATATAATTTTTTTTTAAATATTTTATTTTTTATGAATTTTGTAGCGAGGATTTAAGTTTTTTTTTTAACAAAAAATATGCGTGTATAAGATTGTATATGTATATGTACATATAAAAAAACAGATATAGGTACATATTATAGTATTTTAAAACTTTATGCATTCCGCCCTATTTCGCAAAATAATTAAATAATTAACTACCTTTCACCCCAAACACACCATACGTGTGTGAAGGTATTGATTTGGTCTGGTGTCGTGACAACCGAATGACCTGCCTAATAAATATGTAAATTAGCTGTAGACTTTTCTATCACTTTCAAGTTCAAACGCGCCTGCTTGTGCGAGCGGAAGGTCAGAACCACCCTGCAACCAACTACCACAATGAAGAAGCAGAAGGAAAAAACGGGAAAAAGAGTGGTAAGTAACTTGACTGTTTTTCTATGTTGGGCATTCGCTCTTCAACTGCAGTCGTAGCCTTGATTTGTTTTTATGTACGGATGCGTTGAAATCAAAAGCTATGTGGCATGCAGCAATAATCTGGCCAGTATGCACATATACATATATATACCCGACATAAAATACCGGTTGTTGTATATGAGTTGCTAAGGTGAAGTGTACTATATAGGATTGGATGTGGTTTGCTAACAAAGTGATTTTATAACATAATGGTAAAAGCTTAGGGAATAAAGTAATATGATGGGGGAAACAACAATAGTGTTACAATGGAATATTGTTGTCCATATTAGAATGAAGACATGGTGAGTCGGCTACAATTATGACGCCTAGCAGGTGGTAATATTTTCATATTATACATATAAGTGCATGCATTAAGCAATGACGATTAGCAGTGGGGTTTAAACTTTCGAAAAAGTCAGTACATTGTATTAAATAGGTTAAAGAGAACAACAAAAACTCACAATTATTTCCATTCTCAAATTGCTCACTTGCAAATTCTTGCTGGTCCACATCAACGTTTAAATGAGTGCCGAAATTACCAAAAGTGCTTGTTGAAGATGGTTGCTCTTCCATGGGCGAGGGTGTACAATTTCCAGCAAACACATCCTTCTCATCACTGGCATCGCGTTTGGTTTGCTCTTTGGCGGATAGCGCTTCAACGACATCTTCAGTATTTTTGTACGCATGGATAGATGGTCGTTTTTGTATGGTAGCCATTGGTGGTGATGCCGTCGATGATGCTGGCGATGGTGGTAGTGGCACTTTAAAGGCATCATCATCCATAATAAGTTGGATTTGGTCATTTCGTGCCCGATTTTGTAGCGTCGGTATTGGCGGTGATGTGCTTGTTGTTATTGTGTTTCCAATACGATTTTGTAGAGTTGGTATTGGTGGCGAACTACAAACAGTTGTTGTGGGAGACTGCATCGGTGTACGGGATTTTATTGTGTTGCTTTGGCCAGCCGCTACTGCTGGCTCTGCAGGTAATGTGTCGTCTATGTCCATAGGAACATTTATTTCATCAGTATTTGGTCCCATCGGAAATGTTGGTTCAGATACAATGTAAGTACGAGGCCTCTTAGTTGCATCAGAATTATTTTCGCTTGAAGATTTCTCTGCTACTATATCTTCTGAGCCTAAAATATTAAATGTTCGTCGATTACTGCTCTCACTCTCTGGTTTTTGAGTAGTAACGTCTGTTTCCTGTGTCATTGCAGGCATATTAAAGATACGTGGTTTGTCCTCATCTTTTTCATATTTTTGTGCAACGATACTTGGTGCTTGTGGCGCTGCAGGCATATTAAAGGTGCGTCGTTTATCGTGATCGTTCACACATGTTTCTGTCACGCTCTCTATTTCCCTGGAAGGTGTCACTTGAGGTGATACATTATATGTACGACGTTTATCTAAACTGTCCATTGAAGAAACACTTTCTAAAAGAGCAACTGTATCCGTTGCTGTGTCGCCATTTACTTTTTTTGACACAATTTCATCATTAATAGGCTCATTTGGACATACCGTAGTGCTAGTAATGCTTGCAGCAAGACTTTCCGATTTTGTATGCTGTGCTGATGTTTCGTCGACCGTCGATGTTTTTCGTGAACCAAATAGCTCCAGCTTCGGCTCACTGACTGTCGATTTTTTACGTTCGATTTCAATACGCTCAGTGTATTCGGATTTTTCTAAGAATGTCATATTTTTTGGCACGGCCGCAGTGGGCGAGCGTGGAAATTGTTTGAGTGAGTTGCCCTTATGTTTTATAGGGAAACTTGGTGAGGTAGCTGAACTTTTATTGCTATGCGTTGATGAGTCTATATCCACTGTTAGATCCAGTGCATTTTGCGAACCAGTCCAGGAGTTACCGATTTCTTGTTTCCCTTGAAATTTATATTTCAATAACTCTTCTTCGATGGGATGTAAACTGGTATTTGCCGAATGAATCGAAGTTGGTGATGTCGAACCAATTGTTGCTTGTGTAAGATTGGCTGTTACTTCCGAAGCTGTTTCAGTACTGCTGCTATCTAGATTGTTATGCTCATAATTAGTATTTTGCGTTGTTGATGTAGGTATTTCGATACTTTTGTTTAGAGACACCTCAAGTTTTGTTTGTGCAATTTCTAACTCGGGCTGAGGCAACGCAACATCTTTGGGTGCAGGTTCGTTTCTAATAAAATTTACTTGCTTACACTCAGTCTCTTCGGCATTAGTGACAACATCTTTAGGCTCTGTTGTTTTCGAAGTTGACTCATTATCAACTAAGACATTAGTTGTAGACAACTGGCATCCTTCAACGCTTATATTTTGTTTTATGTCAGTAAAACTCTCATCTATGTCCATTGGTTCTTCGTTAAAGGTTACATCTAACGGATGCGTATTTTGCGCTAACAAATCCTCACCACTCATAGCTGAGAGCAGTGATTGCAACTGACCTTGGTCACTCTCATCCTGTTCTGACGTTTTATTTATAGTGACACTTAAAGGATCTGCTTCACCTGTAGTGAGTGTAGCATTTCTTGAGTTAGCAGCACTAAAGTATGACTCGATTTCTGAATTCTCAAAACTATATTCATCCGCTATAAAACCATAATCGTTAGCAGACCCGATTTGGTAGGACTGACATTCCGTGAAGGTTTCATTGTCCGATGAGGCAGCGGTGTCCGGTTCAAGTTTTACCTGCAGGTGTTGAACCGAATTTGAGTCATCTAAAAACATGAAAAAAAAAAATGTAAAAGAGTGAAGGTAAAATGCGCTGGTTTTATCTTTTTACTGGCTTACCTTTTTCAAGATTACCATCATGTTTTTCATGCTCATTTATGGCTGCTGTTAATGTTGGTATAAGACCGTCTTCAAAAGTTAGTTTTGCGCGATCTAAAATGTATAAAATAAATAAACACTTTAAATAAATCGATTAAAGATAAAAATACATATACAATGTCCCTTAGTTTTTTATTTAAATTAAATATTATGAGTAATTCATAAATAAATATAATTCCTTAATCATGTATGAAATTTGACAGGTTTAAAGTTTCAAATATACTAAGATATAAAAATCTTTTGGTATTAATTAAATTTAGATTAAGATCGTACTTAAGTACTTAATATGTGGGTATTACCGATACCAAAAGTGTTCAAAATTCGATTCTAAGAGCGATCGAGATAATAGTTGTGTATCATCACTTTCGAACTAGAGAATAAATACGCTTCCGCTTCACAAGCAGAATTGAGTGAAAGTACTCGGTACTAAATAGCACATACTTAAAAATACGTAGAGTCCAAGTCAAAAGTAATGGATTTTATTTAGGATATTCGCTAAGATTTGCACTTCCTGAAAGTTAGCGATAAACATTGCTTTATAGTCAACTTGTTTGTATTAAATAGTTCCGACTCCGCCGTTTCTACATAGCCGGAAAATACCCGAATTTATAATCGATCCAATTCGATCGAAGCAGGATGCCACAAAGTATTTCGAAACTGCAACTGCAATAACTAAAACAATATCACAGAAGTACTCGAAGCTTCTCCCACAAATCGTTTTAACAGAATAAAAATAGTTTGGGAAAAAGGGTGGGATATTAATGAACGTAGCAGCGGTTTTAAACTGACTGATTAGGGAACGGTGGTTAGGCGGGTAAGTAGTAAAACTTATTTTGCGTATATGCTTACCTTCCGCATACAGATTAAGCGCGGTGCGCATTTCTGGCATTTTTGTCTCATTTAAATCGCTTGCTGCATCTGCAACAAATAAGACAAATAATAAAATCGTGAATCAAAACTTAATTTAATATTGCTTACCACATTTAATATCTACATGAGCACCTGTTTTAAGCGACACTGGAGAGAGTCCACCGAAAGTCCCAGCTTTCGGCTCAGGTTCGCTCGCTTTAATAGTTGTCGTAGAAACGCTATCAGCCACAGGTGCCATAGCAGCTGATTTTAGTGGCGATGAAGGCAATGACTCTGTGGATTGCGTTGTGGGCGTGGCTTTGAGATTTGCGTTTTTCGAGCAAACAGCGTTGTACTGCAATGAAATAAAACACAAGTAAAATATGAAATCAAGCCAAAATAAAAACTAAAACTATTTCAATGTCAATAGCTAGCTAATGTGTGAAGTTCACGTGTGTTCGACTGTGAAGAAATTTCGAAAATGAACTACACAACAAATCCACCAAGTGCAACAGGAGTGTTGCATCCTTCTCGATTTTTTACACGCGTAGACTGCGCTTTTGACAGTGAAATTTATAAATATGATATTGTGTGCGAATTTAGGTGTGCGCATTGCAGATATAAACAGAAAAATCAAAACACAAACAGGCAATGGCAGGTGCAGCGAGAATTGTAAGTTCAGATATTTTTAAAATATACTTGTGGCGCGGCTTTCACCTAGCAATGGTTGCAACAGCCAAAACAAACGACACTCATGTGTCTATGTTGGTACTCTAGAGTTTTCGTGTTTCTACTGATAATTTTGAATATAAAATAAAACGCAATTTGTGTTGCCTTTTTCGCAAATTAATAAGCTTTTTTTTCGTTTTTATGCAAATTTAAAATCTGCAATTTGTGTGATTTTCGCAGGCAACTCGCCAACTGCCAACACAATTCAGTTCACTGCGCCTGGGCCGGGCAACACAACCGGTAACATCTTCTTTGTACCGTCACTCATGCCGATACACTTTCGAAGCACAGTCTCTGCCTTTCTGTAGCAACATGCAATTAGCTTAAGATATTGTAGATATGTATGAGTATATATGTATATGCATATATTATGTAGTAAATTGGCGGTGGCGTCTGTCTATTGTGGCGGCCTATTTGCAAAACGATATTTATGTGTGTATGTGTATGTGCATGAACTGCATTTTTTTGGCTTTGCCCACACTATGTCAAATGTGTACCTAGTTCTCTCTATTTCGCTATTAAACATCGCAAGCTTTGTTATACCCTAAACAGGGAATATTAAACTAACCATGAAGTTTATAACACCTAGAAGAAAACGTCGGGGACCCTATAAAATATACATATATAAATGATCAGAAATCAAATTAAATTTTTGCAAACGTCCTCTCTCTCCAAGAAGCTGCTTATTTGTCGGAATTGCCGATAAAATTAAGTCCTGGTATAACTTTTTTATTTGATGAGATATTTTCACGAAATTTGCAATGAATTATTGTCCAAAGCCACAACACAATATCCGACCACTATAGCATATAGTTTGGATTTAGATGTTTGTCTCAGAACAAATTATGCAGATCGGAATACTACAACAAATACCTGCCATAGAAACTGGACGAAAAAATTGGCAAGATATCGTGACGAACAAATTGTTCGGATCGGACATTTATATTTGTCATACGTAGAGACCGATGAAAATCAAGCTGTTTTATGGAAACTTTTTTGTTTGTGAAAGGTATTCTAATTTCGGTGCAACCGAACTTAACGTTTTGTCGTTTTTTTTCTTACTTTTTTTTGGCGGGAAAATGTGCACGAAATTCAATTAGCAAAAGCAATACAAGGTTATAGTCACACAAAGTATTTACGTGTTTTGGTAAAACTTATGTATATTACATTCGTGTGTAAAACAGGGAAAGTATAAGTCATCAAATAAATTTAAACTTTGAAGACTTAAAAAAATAACTTGATTAAAGTTCGAAATACAATATTATAATAAGTAAGGAAAGGCAAAATTTTATATTAAAAAATGTTGCAAAAGATTTAGTATTCATTATTCGAGGAAATCGTGAATAAATTACAATCAAATTTAATATCTGTTTGACTTATGGTATATTGAAGGCAATACACTTAGACTTAGTTTTATTGCTAAATTTAAGTTGGCGTCAGCTAAAATTTTATTAAAAACACCTTCAAATGAGATATACACATGTATGAGATACTAACTCAACCAAAGAGGCTAAATTTAATATATAGAGTTTATGTGGTTAACGTCAACCAGAGGATCGGAAATCATTATATTAGGGATATGAGGTTCAAACCAAGGTCTAGACAAATTCCATTCGTAGTCAGCGCCAAACCACATAATTTTTAGGAAAACTTGTTCATTTAATTTCATTAAAATATTACATTTTGACTAACCTCAACGGTTTAAAGTCAGGGGGAAAGACGGAAATCAATATATGGGGACAGAGAATGGAACGGGCTGATTAATTTTGACATTGCTAAGGTATACTTAAAACATATTTCTAGCAATTTCTTACATATGGTATATAGCATATACACTGAACGACATATTCGCCATAAAATTTGTTAGAAAAATGAAAATCATTTTATGTAGCATATGAGAGTTGGGGGTAGTATTTACCCGATTATCTATTTTTGCAAATACCATATACAATTAATATATCAAGTACTAATAAAAATGCTCTCGGGGTTTTATTAGGGTACCTCACATATCATCACAAAACTATTATAATCTGTGCTGTATTATTGCAAAAATTTAAAATGCGAATTTACAATCATAAAACAAATTCAAATTACGCAGAACAAATTTATTTTGGAAACATTTGAAAATATGTAGATATGTATTTTTATATGGTGTACACGACTGTATATAGGTACATATATGTTCATAACAATAGCAGTGCAATTTTGTGTATGCTTCGAGCAATTTGCGAGAACAATTTTAGTTAAAATTCTTTGTTTAGCTTAGCACAACAGTGTAGCACATGAGTTTTAGTTCGGTTTTGGACAAAGTGGCAGTAACCTTTATTACGAGTACTTTTCACTTTACTTTTTTTCTAATTCCAATATGAGCACTGCTAGTTTTATGGACACAAATGTATATTATATATACATTAAAATCTGTGACCATAATGAACCAATACCACAAATTAACTACGACGCGGCGTAAAAGGCCACAAAGATAATTATTGAACGGCTACTAAATGGGTATGCAGTTGAACCGCTCTGGTTTAGTTTAGTTATATGCAGGTTTGATCAGTTAGAATAAAAAAGTGATGGAAGTCTGTCATAAATAAGTAAACACATAGTATGTGATGAAGAATTGTTTATTAAAACCAGATATGGTTTATCAATGTTTTTTTTTCTAAAAAAGTTTGATTTTAAAGTTGCATTTTTAAGAAAAATTGGGCACAAAATATCCCGGAAAATTTTCGTATGTGGATTCGACTACATAAACCATGAGAAATATATGCTGCACCGTTGCACTGAAGTCTTTTTTACGCGCTGAAAGCATTAAATGTGCTCAAACCCCTCACTGATATCACTGATCTTTCACTTGAAAGCTTCCAACAAATAGCGACACACTAACCTCGATCACAACAAACGAACAGATTATACAGATTACGGTGTAATTAACAATTAATTAGAACGCACGAATGCATGTGGCATGAATGCTGTAGTGTCACATACCTCAGTCGTCAATGCCTGCGTCAATGCTGTTGGTGATAATGATAATGGCCGATTCGGCAAATGATGCTGACTCAGTGCAGCGGCAGTATGTAAATCAGCTTGTTTGCTCAAATTGTCATTGATTTGTACGAGCAACTCCTCGATTGTGTTGCCAACGCTGTTAGACGGTGGATTCATGTTGCCTTCAGCACTGCCATTGCTACTGGTGCTTGCTTGTAAAGAATGTGCCTGTGTAGGCGATTGACTAATTGGCGGAGAGGCGCGCGTTGTTGCTGCAACGGCAATGGGACGAAATTCGTCTTGTTCATTCATTGCGTCCATTATATTGGATGCCACCACCAGCGAATTGACTAAATGTTGTTGTAGTGGATCCGGCGTGCTGTCACGATCAAAGGCCAATAATGGCGAGTGTGATGGTGACGACGTGTGTTGTGGTGTAATGGGACATGAATGACTTGTTGCTGGTCCTGGCTCGTTTGACGTTGGCGGTAGCGAATCGCTGCGTACCAAACTTATTGGTCGTTTTATAAGATTGGAAATGAACTCCATTGTATGTGGTGGCGAATTTTTATAGTAGAAGCGCTTGAGTTTGATTTCGCTAGTTTGTGACAACTTAAAAGTTTGCTGAATGCTTTTTTATTTTGTAAAGCGGGTGGAAAGTAACAGATGTATGTTTGTTTTTGTTGTTTATTTAATTATTATTATTTTTTGCTTTGCCAAAATCATTTAACACGCACGATTGATTCACGTCAATTGCGCCGGTAGTGCGTGGCGCCACGCCCACGTATGGCACCAAAATTGCTCGCCGAAATTCTCGTTTTTACGACAAAAAAGGTTAAAGAATCACGTAATTAAAAAATATTTCGGGGATCACTGCTGCATGCACCATTAACTTTGTCTAAATTTTTGTCGCGATCATCGGCAACACTTTTACTTTTTTTTAAATAAATCCAAATTACTTTATTTTCATATAATTATTTATTTTTTCAGTTCGTTGCTTCAAACAGAAATATCAATTTTTGAAAATTATAGTGTTGCTTCTTTTCTGCGAGCTCAACGAAAGTATTCAGAGTATTTTTGTATGCTCGTACATGTACCTATGTATGGATGTGTGTAGTTTGGACTCGAGTAAACACAATTATATGCGACGATCTGAACAGCGCGACCACAATTGAACGTAAGCAGACAAGCGAACTATTCGAGAGATGTTCGAGGAGGCTGTTCCTGTTGCGCGCAAGTGCGGGCGTTCGCCAGCTGCTTTGTCTGAGTTATTGATTGCGCCGTTGTCGTGCGATAATTACGATCAACAAGCATCTTCACCTCAGTTGTGTATGTTCGTATGAATGTTCAAAATTGATTTGAGATTTTCCACGATTTCCTTTTTTTTAATTTGTGCTGCTCTTGGTTGATCTTTAGCTCATTCAGTTTTCTTTCTCGCAATAACAACACTTGTCTAATGTTTATGTACGATCACGTCGCGGTGTTGATCGGCAACCAGATCAGTGAGACTAATTTGTTGTAGTTGCCTCGATTGTGTTTCCACCGTTCATGTTTGCCGTTAAATTTTATTATCAGCACTGCTTCGTAAGTTCATTCATTCATTTTTATTCGCGAATTCGGCATGTGAATATTCGTTTCGAATGAAAAAGGGTTTGTCTAATGTTCGAAAATTGGCTAATTAATTAATTTACGAATGCACAGTTCTACAAATTGAAGATAATAAAATAGATGCTTATTTATTTTTCTCTTATTAAGGCAGTAAGCAATTTTTAATTGAGCTTTAAATATACGAAAGTGTATTTTAATTTAGGCAGAAAGGTTGCAATAGCAGGGGAACTCATTGTTTGCTTTCAACTACTCAATATAATTGATGTATGCATGTACATATGTTACTGATTTTTGGATGTGACTCGCTAATAGTTCTCAACTGATTCAATGTCTAAATAAAAATAACATAAATTTAAAGAAAATACAGTGCCTTTACAAATAATAGCAACAAGCACAAAAGTTGCAAGTAGGTTATAATTAGTTTTGTAACAATAAATTCTGTTACAAAGTTTACAATGCATTTAGCGAGGATAAATTCGCAAAAAAGAAGTGGTCGTCTACTCGTGGTTCGAACTAATTCAGCAAAAAAAAAAAACTGTTGGTGAACGCTTGCGCAGAAGTCCCCTTAGAAAGCAGAAAACTATGTCAGGGGAAATGGATACATAAGTATGTACATCGACCAGATCAATGTCAAGACTTCTTCGAGTTGATCTCCACATGAAAACCTACCATCGGTCAACTGGTCCTCTTGTGTTTGAAGCAATTTATACAATTTCGCACATCGCTCATTTAATACATGTATTATATTAAATAAAATTAACTTTATTACAAAATGTATCATAGTTTATTTTTTTTCAAAGCTTGAATTTGTAACAGAACTTATGGCAGGACAAATCTATTATCCGCATATCCGAATAACCGTAAATCCATCGATATTAACGGTTGATACAGATGAAATCCGGATTTTATGAATATATGATTAGTAGTTACTTAAGCAATTATTCGGATGTCCGGATCGAATATTCTAATTTGAGTTATTGTTTATCACTGTTAGAATTTTCAAAATTTTTTAATATACATGTTATATATATTTAGCCTCCAGAAACCCACACATATAGCAGTCATACCTCTTCGGTACGACACGTATCATGACTGGTACCTTAGATATGGTAATATACATGATAGTTTCACACTTGTAAAAAGCACTTCTTATTTGGCTGCGTCAGCTGGCTAAAATTCTTAATTGTTTTATATAATTTGTTTAACTTTTCACAATAATAAATAATTTTTACATACGAAACCAGAAAAATATAACGCCAACGTAAAAATTTATTGAAATGTTATCAAAACAATCTTACATAATAAAATAGTTATTATTAATAACAAATAAATTCGAAAACATAACGAGCAGGAGTATTTTTCTTAAGATTATAAATTATAATTAAGATGGAAATACCTCTTAGTCCTTTAGCTTCAGACTCTTAATAAAGTTTTCAGAACTTTACAGATCGCGATTGGTTTCACATTTAACACTGCACAATAAGAATAATAGATTTGCACACATGTATGTATTTATATCCACTCAATAGGTTTTCGATCGTCAAAATTTGTATATAATATTTAGTTCCACTACAAGCACTGTAACTAATTCATAGATTTACCACTTCCGAAAAAAGACCAATAGCAAGCAACGAACGCACACAAAAATGCAAAACTATTTAAGTGCAACAGAAATTGTAATGTAATGTAATGCGATGCGATGGAGGTACAGCCGACAACACGGTGTAACAGCGAATAATCATGTACAACAGCAGGCGAACCGGCAGTCAATGGTTTCTCAAGAGGTGGGAGTGACTTGGTTGTCTTCTGATTATAAGATATCGCACATACAACACAAATACATACATATGCGCTATAAAATGCAGAAAAGTGAGCATTCAGAGGAGTGAAGACAACAAAAGAAATGCGCTGCAATCCAAGACCAAGAAATTGAAACGCTCTAAATCGTTACCGTGTAGAGAGTAACACTTGCAACACTTTCGAGCTACTAAGTGGAGCCGGTGCTAATAAGTGTAGCGCAAACGACATGGGTGCATGTACCTTGGAATGTGCATAAGTGAGTGCAATAAAAGACTGAGTATAGCAGACAAGGGTGAACTGCACTATTACAATAATACAACAACATGGGTTGAGTGTTAGGGAGCAAGGCATGTGGAGTATGGAGAGCTAATTAAATTGAAAAATTATCGTAATATTGTGTGTGTTATGATTTGATTGTAAAATATATATGCATGTGGTGGCATATGTTTGCATTTTGGGTTAGGTGTGAAATCGTTGTGATTATCTTTAGTAAAAAGGAAGCCAAATATCAAGAATACCATAAAACGCAAGTTGCAATGTGAGCATTATTATTCTAAAACTTCTGAAACTCTGTTCAGGCCGGTGATATGATCAGAGATTGGCTTTGGAGTCTCCAACTTAAAGCGAAAGAGGCGTTTTTTGGAGTAATAATAATTCGTGAAATTGATTTTTTTTATTATACGAGGACACATTGTGGGTGTTTGAACTTCTACAGTATGCTCAAAGCAATTGTGTCTGAATATCAAAAAACGTGAACCCAACGGACATCAAAAGGGCTAGGTTAACGGATTATGATACTGGTGCAGTTTGAAGTGTAATTGATGTACAAGAAGTTACCTAAAGTTGTAACTAAAAGTTACGATTTTGTAATTTTAAATGGCTATACTCAAATAAAAAGGATACAGTCTGCTTATAGAAGACGTCCTTACTAAAGGAATAACAAAAACTACTTTTGCTCCACAATCTTTCGACGTAACAAAGTTATATTAGATGCGTCACATTAGTCCGTTCGAGAACCGCACTTTTTCTTCTAAGTAATTACGTTTTCTCGCGGTTCTTATTGGATTGCTACTTAGTATAATTGATGCTTTTTTTACGTTACTGGAATCATATCCACAGCTTTCTAGGATCATTTGCGATATTTTTTTTTCTTATTTATGTGGTGATAACATCTTTTATGACTTTCGAAGTAACACGTCAAACAATTACAAAATTTAATGAACATCATTTCATTCAATGTTTTTATGGACATATTTTAGACCATCACGTCTGTACTCACATCGCTGCCCGGTTGATAGAGTGTATCTCATCAGCCTTCTTGAAACTATTATCGTCAATTTTTATCCAAACTTATTAACTTGAACACTGGTGTAATTTTCTCTTCTATAAGCCTTTTGTATGCTTGAACTTTTTCACTGTTGGCACTAAAAACTGCTTTGTAGCCGGCAAATGTATACAATTTGATCGGACAGAATACAATGTTACAACAATAAGTGCATACATAAATACAGTTGAAAGTCGCCTGTCAAAATGAGCGAGTACATAGGCCACAACAGAGGCGCGCCAACGTCAGAAATTAAATGAAAAGATGTAAAACAAGTAAAGAGAATAGAATTTACGCATTGGCATCAGTTGGCTAAATATAGCAACGCCGAACTACAATATCGAGCAGACAAGCGTCGCAGCATTGCATCCTCGTGACAATCAAGACATTTACATTGCAACAAAAATGCCAACAACAAAAACCAAATATACACAAAAATCAACACAAGCCAAAAATCAGAAAATCATGAGGAGCCAAGAACCAGAGCGAAGCAAATCCAGTGAAAGGCTATGTGGAGAAGTCTTTTTGCCGTGTCCAATACCAGAAGCGTATTTGTAAATGATAAATGCAACAACTTGGGGCTGTCATGCACACAGAGAACAAGTAAAACACAAAAGCCTAGGCACAGCTGTTCAGGAGAAGAGAGCAAGAGATTGAGGGTGGCGGCCGCATGAATATGCTATTATGACAAAAGTGTGGGCGCACGAACTGGAGGCCACTGTTGGTATTTTTTTTGCTCTAATTTATATGCGGTGTCTGCCCTCGCAGGCCGGCGACAAGTTTGAATGTGGCAAGAGCGGTGGTGGTGGTGTGGGTTGTAGTGTAGAAAAAGATCATATTGTTGGGAATTGTTGAATTGCAACTTCTACATCGCTCATTGGGTTCTAATGTGTTTATGTACCAATTTTTCAATTATTTCGGTTTTTCTTTGTCAAGCATTTATGTATGAATGTATGTATGTGTACATGCATAGTATAAAACAGCGGTAATTGGAGGGAAAAATAGAAAAGTGATATATACAAATAAAACAATAAAATACAAATATAATTACATCTACCTACATACATAACTGAAAAATCAAGAAAATTCGACCGAAACTGATTATAAGAGGCGTAGTTATGGACCGGGTATACATACCTAGTTTAGCTAAAGGCTTCACGAATACTATTTACTCTTATTCATTTGATGTCAATACAACAGACAGGATACTCATTATAAGTGGGCTATTGAAAGGTATGGATAAATTTTTACACTCTGGTACCAAGTCGAACTATGCAAATTGAAATATTCTTATTACATACTCGTATGTATACCCTGCACAGCGTTTATCAAGTTTGCCATGAAGTTTTTATTACTCAGAAGGAAATGCTGTAGACCCTATAAAGTATTATATATACATACATACATACACATGTACTTATAAATGATCGCATGACAAGTTGAGTCGACTTAGCTATGCCCGTCTGTCTGTATATACGCGAACTAGTCTCGAAGTTTTAGAGATGTCGATCTAAAATTTTACACCTGTCCTTTTTTCACTAAGAAGCTGCTCATTTGTCGGAAAGGCCGATATCAGACCACTATAACATATAGCTGCCATACAAACTGGACGATCGGAATCAAGTGCTTGTATGGAAAACTCTTTCATTTTCTTTCAGTTGCTACAGAGTATAAAAGACTTTATTGATTAAAAGTGATCTTGAAAAGTGTATTGAGCTAAATTCAATGAGTTAAAATAAAAATTAATAAATACAATTAGTTCAATTCACAATCAACGCGTCAAAGCAAGTATACATATAAGGTCAACCCAAATTTGGCTTTTTACTTAAATACAGTTGTGTAAGTTCTATTTTTCCAAAAAATTTTTTTGAACGATAATGGGTGGTAATGCTAGCTACTTTAATTTAATTGTTTTGGTACATATTTTTTTAAATATTATATTATTAAGCAACAAGTGATAGCAAAACATGTTGCGACTGAATTTTATGTTTAATTTATTTATAACGCATTACGGTAGCACGGGTGCTCTAATAACTACATTCTTCGGAAGTCTCAACTTTTGCTGTATGTTTATCAAACCTCCCGACAAATGAACACCTTAATGCCTATTTATATTATAAATTCACCATACGTCCTAAAGTCGGAACTTATGTTTGCAGCTTTTTCTTTTTAGACTTTTTTGTTTTTGACTACCAAACAGTAAGCCAATATTTCTGTACAACTTTTAAACAACGTTAAAAAACGGATTTGATTAAAAATATTTCGACAGTTGCCTTAAAATTTATATTGGAACTTATGCGGATATTTGTTTTAATATATGTAGCTCTTCATATTTGAGCAATATTTTTTTATTTTAAATAAGAAGCCGTTTTATTATTATTGTTTCTTTTTTATTAGTATTAACATATTATCCTTTTTTATACATACTGATCCTATAAGTGGTCAAAGGATCGGCGATCAGTTATATCCGCTTGTTGGAGCTTACACTGAAGTTGCGATTGATTTCGTAGTACGTCCTTCTAGTACATTTGTTAAAATTCAGTAAACCAAAACATTTTTTTATCAAATATTCGAAAAAAAAAATTGTAAACTGCCATTAAAGTAAAAAAAAACACATATTTTATCAACAAATCAACTTAAAAAATTTTAAAATTTCAACTACACTATCTCAACACTTGTAATAAATGAACTTAATATCACTTAATTTTACTGTTGGTAGGACTATGTACACATAATTTATATTTGGAATCTATTTATGTACCCACTTTATGAAAAAATAACCAAACTAAGAATGTCTTATTTCGTTTTACAACTTAGCTTCAATGACTGACTATTTTATTTTTGCTGTCGATGCGTTGACCAATCGAAACACTGGTTATATCTTGCAATTCCAATTGGAAGATATTTTTTATAATGAAGATCGCAATTTTCGATTAAAAAAATTATTTAATTATATATTTACGCAACAGGAGTTACCTTAGAACTTTGCTTTCCACTTAAATTTCCCATTGCTCCTATTTATTGAACAATAGTTGTAAATATAATTAAAATTTACAGAATTACATTTAAAAATGTGTTATATTAGATGAAAGTATATATATGTTTTTCAAAAACAAGCAATTAATATTGTTATTGCACACGCCAGCGATTTCAATTA